GACGGGACAGAAGGACAGGACGTGATGGGACAGGACAGGACGTGACGGGACAGAAGGACAGGACGTGACATGACAACCGGACATGACAGGACATGACAGGACATGACAGGACAACTGTTTTTTCCAGGGAAATCCTTAAATAATTTCCTACATGTTTTTCCCTGGGAGTTATTTTCATTGGAAGATTTTAAAACTTTTCTTCGCTTATTTCCCAGAAACAAAAGGGAGAAATACACAAAGATTTTCCCCCTTTTTTCCCACGACAAAAACGAGAAAAATGCACTAAGTATTTCCACGCCCCTTTTTACCTCATCATTTTTCCACGGGAACAAAGCGGTAAATGTTTTGTTCTTTTCCCCGACATTTCCCACCGGCATTTCCCGTGGAAACACTTTTTTGATTTCCACAAGTTTTTCCCCGTTATTTCCAGTGGAAAAAAGGGGCTATGCGTCCTGTGTGTTTTGGTACTTTTATGTGTTCAGATCATACGAATGGGGCTTGGTTGCCAGATGTTATATAAACGGGTGATTTCAGCATGGTGACTCATACCCAAAGGTCCTGAACTTCAATCCGATTATGGGTGATTGGTGTTTTTCACCTTCACTAGCACTCAGCAAATGGTTGACTCTCACATCCCCAAGTGTTCACAGTATGAGCGACTGCCCGAATCTCTCTGCTCAGTTGTTCTTGGTGTCCCTGCAGAGATACATCATTTATATCCTACCTATGTCATTGCTCATCATGGAAGAAAGTCAATAGTGTAAGTGCATGATCCGAACATCCAAACATTGTTTCAAACAAACATGGAATTGATGTTTTCTGAATCGCTCTCCACCGGGGTTTTGCACGTGGAAATGACTGATAAGATCATTCTCCGATTCGCAAGAATTTTGGCTGATGGCGACTCCCATCGTCACTCTCAGCCTCGGAGTCCCGTACGCAGTCATTGTCGAGCCAGACCTGATAGCGATTGCTACCGAACGACAGGATCGCGGCAGGATCACCGACTCGGAACATCCAGGCCTATGCGCCCAATCCGAGTCTACTACTTAACAGCCTCCGATATGCAGAGGGTACTTTCTCCGCAACCTTCGCAAGCCACACCCGGCGTTCTTGTGCCACAGAATCCAATCCGACTGAACTGCAAGTCTGAACGCAATCCCATCAACCAGCACTGATGGATCTTCTGCCGAGTACATAGTACAGTATCTCCGAGTGACGCCGTACCCATATCTCTGATCTTCGTGGTTTACAGACGCCGCAGTGGACTCCCTGATAGACTTGGATGGTGTGAAGGACATTTGTGTCATTGGTGCAGGAGCTGGTGGGCTTGCGGCCCTCAAGATCATCTCGGAAACCCCGCAGTACAAGTCCGGACGATGGAGACCCACAGCATTTGAGATGCGCGAGAAAGTGGGCGGAGTATGGCGAGTACCCTCTCATTCGGACATCGTGGAGTAGAGTCGTGGAGTAGAGTTCCTCCGACTTACGATTCTGCATATACGCAGGTTCCCTGCCTCTCCCACAGGAGATTTTCCACTCACGCCGCTGTATGACTCGCTCACGACGAACCTCCCGCACCCGGTCATGGCATTCCACTCCTTCCCTTTCCCCCCTTCCACCCCGCTCTACCCGCCTGCAAGTACGGTGGAGACGTACCTCCAAGCCTATGCTGCGCATTACAAGCTCGGACAGCACATCCGCTTCAACACCGCCGTGCTCTCCGCCGACTGGGACGGGCAGCACTCGAAGTGGACTGTGCGCATCACTGGGGACGAGGTCCTCACCTTCGACCTGCTCATCGTTGCGAACGGGCACTACCATGTTCCGCGTTTCCCCGACACGCCCGGACTCGCAGCATGGCTCGCGCAAGGGAAAGCCTCGCACTCTGCATGGTACCGCCGCCCGCACGATATCGGCAATACGGTGCTCGTCGTCGGTGGGGGCTACAGTGGGATAGATATCTCCGCGGAGATGCGCACCGCTGCGCAGACCGTGTTGCATTCCGTTACTGGCGGGGAGCCCGAAGACCTAGACGGCGGAGCGTTTAAACGCCGTGGGCGCATCGCCGAGTTCGGCGACCCCAGCCAAGGGCGCGTGGTGTTCGAAGACGGGACGGTCGACGAGGAGGTCGACCATTGCATCCTCGCGACAGGCTATGAGTTCTCATTCCCCTTCCTCTCCCCACCGCTGCTCGAGGGCGCCGTGCCGCCAGCGATACCTCCTCTCCCTCCGACGTTGTACAACTCCTCGTACAACCTCTTCCCGCTCGCACGACACGTCTTCCCGCTCGTCTCGACTATCCCGCCCTCGCGCCTCGTCTTCCTCGGGCTCCCGATCCGTGTCGTGCCGTTCCCGCTGATGGAGGTGCAGGCACGCGCCGTGATCAAAGCATTTGCACAGCCGGAGAGCCTCGACCCGCTGCAGGAGGCCGTCGCGATCGTTGCCCGTTACGAGACGCTTCGTGCGCGCGTCGGCGACAGCGAGGCTGCGATCGCAGAGGCGTGGCACCGCTTCCAGGACCAGGAGCAGTTCGAGTACCGCGACGAGCTGCATGCGTGGATCGGTGGCGAGTATGCCGGGCCAGAGTGGAAGGTGCCCACATGGACCAGGGAACTCTATGGCAGGAAGGACGTGTTGCGCAGTGAATGGAAGGAGCTGGAGCGGCTCGGAGAGGCGGAAGAATGGGTCAGGGGAGTGGGGGAACATGGTGAAAGTGAATGGGTTGATCTTTTGTATCGATTGTTGCGCAGGGTAGACAAGAAGGGTCAAGCAGAGTTTGGAAAATTGTAATGATCTTGAATGTTACATCACGAGAACTTCAGGAATTAACACATCTACTAGACATAGAATATCATACGATACGAAAGTGATATATCACATGGTTGACACGATGTAGTGATGGAGTACAGAGCAGAACAGCATTGGGAGAACAATCAGATGCACTTTAAGAAGAACTTGAACATGTAGGGCTGGATTGAATGACAGGCTGAAGAGTAGATGAGCAAGTGATTGGAAGACACTGAAAGCATGTGAACATACCGGGGATTACTCTTCCTTCAAAGATTTACCATCTGCTGATGATAGGACATCACCAGCAAAGGAGGGATCCCATCCCAACTGAGCATACTCTCCATTCTTTATGTTATTTAGAAAATTCTGCAACCTGTGATTATGAGAATCCATCCACATGCAAAACTCCTGTGGAGTTCTTGCTACTGGGGAAGGATTCTCTTCAGAAAGTACATGCTTCAAGGCTAAGCCAAGCTCCTGGACCTCAGCAAGGGATGGAAATTGCTTCTCCTGATGAGGGGCTATATAGTTGCAATAAGCTTCAGTGAATGCTAATTTTTAGACATAAGGGGACATACACATCTTTGGCATTTCATGAGAATCCTGTGACACTGCATTAGACATTCCTGTAGCATAGAATGGAGGAAGTGTGGCATGAGTCGGTTCAGGTGAGGTGGAAGGGTCAGGAGTTGGCAAATGTTTCTTATTGCTTGACTCTGGTAGGTGTGACTTCCACAGATCAATCCATGTCTGTACATCGATGTGAGTTGCACCCAGTCGCCGTGCCCATATCCCAACCTCTACATTGCGCGGTGAAGGGTTCTCTGAGAGGAGTACTTGCAGCTTGAGTATAGACTCTGGCGTTAGAGAAGGATGCACTGTCCGACATACACACACATTACCACTGCAACTGCAAAATAATAATGAATGCAGACATACGAATGTCATGAGTGCTTGCCGGCACCTCTTTTGGCACCATCTTCTGTCGCAGCCCCCTCCAGTAACGCTTGAGGTCCTCGAAAGTGTACCAGTCACATCCATGGATCTCGTGGAGTCTCTGCAAGAGCTCCCGCAGATGTTGTTCAGTCAAATTCGGTGTGAGCTTGTATTGATCTGAGAGAGTGGTCCGTGTGAGATCTACGCCGTGTCATTGTGGTCGAGGGACGCGCACGCACCGGTAAGTAGCGCGTAGCCATCTGGCGCTAAGCGACGACGCGGCTTTCCATGCAGCGCCTCTGATTCAGGAAGTGCTGGCGGTCTTTCGCTGGGACCGGGGTCCATTGCAAGGGTTGTTCGAAAAGCCGTTGGGTAGGAAGATGGGGGAAGAGATGTCATTTTCGCTAAATCCTCCTGTTGTGCCGACTCACAGAATCTTACTGGATACAGGAGAATTCCCATTTTTGGGCAAGTCTGGCCGTTTCCTATGCACTAGTCTATTTTAGCAAAGTCTTCTTTGATAACAGCTGATCAGCGATAGCCAAACTAGGCAAGTGAATTGCACTGGACAACTTGCTGCTCACCCACGAGCTGCCATGCTAAGCAATGAGTACTGATTAGCCTTACTGTCAGTGAGGTACAGTAGTTGTCAAATATCCTTGCTGGTTTCCCAGCAAGGTGTTTTGATGTCTACTGCAGACCACTGGCAGGCTCACAGTGATCGTACAATGATTAACATGCAGATCTGAGCCACCCATACAATTCCAAGCAACACTTCCTCAATGATGACGATCCGGTATGTCCTTCTATCCTATTCATGGTGATGATTTGATCTCATTCTGCAACACAGGACTCAGGACGCTCGACACTGGTGCCTATCGCGCTGATGCATGCAGCAGAGTATTTGCACGTCCTCAACGAAAACATGACATCCCGAGGTTATGGGTGTGAATTTTCACTCGCACGTCTACTTCTATTGCACATGTGCGATGAGTCTCATGCTGCCGGGTATCGTTAAAATCCACCATGAGGTAGGTGTTCTCTTTGACCTTGTTCCACATTGATTAGTAGATTACTCAGTTGTCAGATCTCTCATGGACACTTTCAGCGGACATCTGTCTGCATCGAATGTTCGATGCTCCATGCTGACACCTGTATGGTCGTAGGAGACTGGGCGTGTGAATGCATACAGTGCCTAGTAACTCGCGCACGAACGGAATTATACTCTTTGTTTAGTATGATACGCTATCCTACTGCTACTTTACGTGGAGAATGTGCAATCCTGAAGATGAGACCGAACAATATCTGCGAGCATGGGAAGTATAGTCAGACTCGGCAGATGGCCGGAAAGGTGGTTGACGCGAGGGTCTGTCTTCACCGGCGTGCGCATGAACTTTTGAGTTCCTCTGACAACGCCGGACCCACACGCTGCTTCTTCCTCCCTCCTTCGACTTGTAGACCCTTCGTCGCTGGCTATTCCACTAGTCTCGAGCACAGGCGGCCATCTTCGCACATTCTCTCGGAATTTCGGTTTTTTTTCCCGTATCGCCACGACAACCTGCGGTAGCGCAGTGCCACTCGCAGATTACCCTCTCGTCGGCGAATTCTGGTGAAGCACCTGCGTCGGACCGTGACATCCATCTCGCCCATGCTTATCTTCCTGGCATTGCTACCCTCTGCGTATGCCTACTCTTTCACCTTCAACAGCGTTCCGGCCCAGTGCCAGGACCTCCAGATAGAAATCTCAGGTGGTGCAGGACAGCCCCCTTATAGCGTGCTCATCATCCCTTTCGGACCGTCGCCTCTCCCCAATAATGTTGAGGTCAGGACAATTTTCGAAGTTCCGTTCAATAGCTCCTCGACATCGTTCCAATTGAAGTATCCTGCAAATTCCGAGTTTGTGGCGGTGGTGAGTATCTCTGTTCGTGTGTCTTTCCGTACCCTTCCTGCAATGCAAGCGTGTGTGGTATGACTTTCCATGTGGTCGGGATCATCCGTGCAGATCAGTGTAGTTTGAATTAGACTTGTCGTGCCGCAGGATAGCGCGCAACGCATACATCACGCGTTTCGCGTCGGCCGCAGCAGAGGCATTCGGTGTAAACTGGGGCCTGCAGACGCCATAGCACCCGTCTTATCACCCTTCAATGCAACTGCAACCGTTCGTCGAGAGAGCCCGCACACCTTCGTTCTCCTAATACACTCTTCGGCAAGGTTCGCGATGTGTAGATAGCTGATTGATATATAGGTCAGTGATAGCTCAGGGTTCGGCACGGGTGGAACAAGTGTCGCGGCAACTGTACAGTCCAGCAGCGACTCGAGCTGCTTCAACGCCACGCAAAATGTCTCTCCCGATTTCGTGTTCAGCATCGTCCCCTCGAACCAACTCGTGCAATGTACGCCTACGCGGATATGGTGGGACCCTTCAACAGTGCAGGGGTTTGTCCGTCAACAGAATCCTTAGGCATGTGTTGACGTGACGTGCTACTATCCAATGCAGGACCCCACAATTCCATGGCGTGATTCCCGGCGGGCAGTCATTCGCCATCCCCGAAGGTTCACTGACGACCGTGGCGAACGAGGGGCTCGGCTTCTCCTGGACGCCCTCCGTGCGGACGGGCACGACGCTCCTGCTTCTCGGCGGCGACAATCGTGGTCCCGGCACCGGTGGCAGCGGGTTCTATATTATGTCACAAGGAGATAGTAATACCTGCCTCAACTCGACATCGCCTTCGTCAACGCCCGGCTCGCCTGCAGGCGGAAGCTATCCGACAAGTACCAACGGGGCAAGCACAGGCGGCGGTGGTTCTGGCGGGTGAGTATTCGATGGCTATATGCATCTTAAATGTTGTCTGACGGTGACGCAGCTCTCACAACCACACCGGGGCCATAGTTGGTATGCGTTACGTTACTCATCAGCTTGTTTGCGGTACGATCCTGACCCTGCCTTATTCAGGTGGCGTGATCGGCGGCATAGCAGGTGTCGTGCTCATCCTCGCAGCACTCTGGTTCTTCCATCGGCGCCAGCAGACGCAGCAGACACAGAAAGAACGGTCAGTCGACCTCTTGCAGGACCACGACCACGACCAAGACCAAGACGATGGGCAGCTGCCGCAATACTACCGGCCCGAGCCGTTCCTGCTTCCAGAGCCGACGATCATCTCGAGCGCAGGCGCGTTTGAGGACGGCGACGAAGCCACCAGCATGAGCGGGGGCGCGCGGGGGAGCATGGACCGCCGCCCAATGCGGTTGTCACAGACGACGATGTCGATGTCGGAGGCGGGCCTGTTGCGCCCGGCGACGCCCTCGGCGAGCGCGACGACCAACACGCGCAAGACGCCACACCCGCCAACCCTGCGCCCTGTCAACATCATCCAGCATGATGATGCGGGACCGCCACCGCCGCCCGGGGAGCAACACGCGGAGGAGCCGGAGACCATCGAGCTTCCGCCCGCGTACACGAATATCCGCCGTGCGCAGCCGCCACCGCCCCCAGAGGAAACAGACTGAGCGCGTTTTGCCCGTTCGTTGTTGTCACGGTGCGCCCTCCGTCTTCACCCCGTCTCTGGGCCGTAGCTGACTCGACTGGTGTGGGGTAGCTACTTCGGAGGAGGAACACTGGTACCGGCGTGCGTACACTCGTTGGGGTGTATCCCGCACGGACGCTTGCCTAGATCTACCTGTAAATTTATTACCCATTCGTTCAGGATTTCATTGCAGATACTCTCCTTTCCTTCATGTTCTTCGCCGCCGTGGCGGTTTCCCGACCGGACTCTCCGCGGCGGGTGTTATATACCCGGGTATAGCATACCTATACGTACCCGTATAATTGCAGCTCTGCTCGCCTGTTGTGAATTCGAGTAGTACGCTCGTGTTTAAACGTGAATGCCCAGCAAGGCTCCCGACGATTCCACCTGCTCCCCGGCAACGATCCAAGTGTCTATGATAATCTATGTACTCCTAATGTACACACTAATGCAAGGTATGTATAGCATTACTACGAGGTATAACCATCACGCAGCAGACGTCCGTGCGTCGTCGCCCGCCGTGCCGCGCCTCATCATCCCACCCCAGCCTGCATCGCGGGCAACGACCTCATGGCTCCCACACACGCAGGGAGACTCGTGCGCGCGCGCAGAGCGCCAGGGGACGAGCTCGAACGTATCCAGCGCGCGCGCCTCAACGTCGTCGTGCGCACCCGCGTAGTCTTTCACCACCACGCAGTCCTGCCCTACATTTGTGGGCACATAGTCCGCGGGCGACGGCAACGGCGACGATGACGGCGAGTCCTTTCCCGCACTCCCACTCCCGCTGGCGATCGGCAGGTCCTCTGAGATGACGGGCGTGAGCACGTCGAGCGACCGGCGCTGTGCGGCGAGGCTGCGCACGCTGAGAAGGAGGTGCGAACCCTGGGTTTCGGGTCAGTGGGTCGGGTTCGCAGCAGGGTTGAGGCGGGAGGGTTAAGGGTGCAACGGGAAGCGGTCAAAGTCGGCAGGAGGCCAACAGTGAACGGTGAGGCAGTAAAGCAGTCAACACTCAGCCTAACGTCCCACATTTACAGAGCGAGATTACTGACCGAGAAGGAAAAGATCGCCGAGATCCAGCTGCAGGAACACGGCTTCAGTGGGTGCGCCCGACGAGGAAGGGAAGGGAAGAGAAGGTGCGGGAGAAGGGGGGTAACGTACATGTTGGCGACGTCAGTGAGGACGATGTCCGTGACGTACGGCGCGACGACGGAGATAGACATCGTGACTGCGGCGTGGGTGAATCCCATCGGGGAGCGGGAGACCAGTTAGTTGGGAGCAGAATTAGTCCAGGTAAGGTCAGATAGACACGCGACTTACCGAAAATGCTGCAGGGACCGTTAGCGGTCGAACGGAAACGGAAACGGGATCAAAAGAACGACAACATCGAAACAGACAAAAACGGAAACGGTAAGGCAGGACGGGATGTGCGGGGCAGAATGGAGCGGGACAGGCCAGTAGAAGATTGCTTTAAAAATGCAGAACATAATAGAACAGCACAGTATATGACAAAACAAAACAAAACAGAACATGCCCGACGACACAACGCAACGCGCAGGGTACTCACAAAGCATAGTAGATCGTCCCATCGCGCACGATGCGCGCGAGGATGGGGACCTCCCTCAGCGGGCGGTACGCCGCACACTTGTAGAGCGACAGTGCGAACAGGAACGCTGTGCACGGGAGATGAGCTGCAAGCGTCAGGCACATGTAGTGGGGCGGGAAGAGGTCGCGGGAAAGGGGGAAAGGTGGGACGCACATTCGAACACCATGACAGGGACCCTAGGCGGGTATCAGCGGGTGAACAGTAAAATGAGGGAAGGGAGAGAGGGAGCACACCACGAGGCCTTGTAGAACGACGGTTGAGGTGGGTAGAAGCACCCGCGGATGGGCCACTCGGGCGGGAAGGGCGTGACGAAAGGAATCGAGCGTGGCCAGGCGGACACGCCTAGCCCAATGATGGCCTGCAACACGCGTTACAAGTGATTCACAAAAGGTGGGGATTAATAGTATAATGACCGTCAGTTCTCCTGAGCACGCCCCGTCACGTCAGCACGAGAGATGAGGTGTACCGAGGGTGAACGCACCAATAAACGCGATAGAAAGGACGTATGAGACTGGCGCTGGCGCGTCAGGACAAGGAGTATAGCGGCAAAGTGGTGCACGCGGGCTTACTAGTTTTACTTTTGCCATAGAATGCATATATGCGCAGCATAAGGCTGATCTCAACGCTGAAGATGAGAACTTGGAGCGCGCTGCGTCTCGTCTGTCGTCAATGCAAAGCGGCTATCTACGCGTCTGGCTACTCACACGCCGCTCCAGATCAAATTCGGGACACAGCTGGTCGAGGGGGATCGCATTAGCACGGAGTCCAGGCAGAGTCAAACACGCGCACACGCACTCGAGCGGAAGCATCTGGCCAGCCAGAGACCTGTGAGATCTGAAGTGAGGTATGTAAACCATGCACGGAAATAACTCGGACTTGCGCTTGAAAGAGCAGCCCAAAGTACCGCGAGAAGAAATAGAGGAACTTGGGCGGGGTGTTCGCAGACCTAGCGAACGTGAGCGACGGCACGGCAGAACGCGCACGCGAATTTGACGATACCGACTTCCATATCAGTTCGACCTGTGGCAGAGCGTCGATCAGTTGTGGGGAGGCGTGGGAGCGCGACAAGCGCGCGAGCGTACCTCCTCTCCAAACGAAAGGAACGTGTCGAACAACAGCCAGGCAAACGACGCGGCTGCAGAAAAATCAAACAGGTGAGCAGGCGATGTCAGCAAGAGCGGTGCGGGTACGCACACGTGCTGAAGTGAACCTGGTGAAGGGTGTGGGCGAGGTCGAGGAAGCTGGCGCCGTCGCTCATGAAAACGCGGGGTCGGGCTGAAGGAGACCCGGGAGATATTGCGGGGTCGGGAGAGGGTCATACGCCAGGAGGACGAGGTCGTCGAGGCAGGGGGAAGGAGAAGGAGAAGGAGGAAGGGCGGTCGCGCAGACAGCCCTGCGACGGAGACCAAGGTTTATTATATTGCATGGCCCGATATGGTGATAGTAAAGATGTTAGATTGCGTCGTGTTCCACTTATCAGCCGCTGGATCGCTGCCATCCCTGTAATACGTAATTAAAATATTCCTTAATTGCTTCGACCCTGGACAACCTCGCGCAAAGTTACCACTCTGGCGGGCACTAATATTTCCGCGCGACCCATAGACGCCCATCTGTTGGTGCTACCAGACACCTGTCTACCATGCCCGAGATGCCCGAGCCTCGTTATTTCCCTTCTCCACGGTCCCTGTGCCACTCAAACGCGGCCTTAGAAATGTTGTACCACTAACTGGGTACTAGTGCTATCAAAATACACGGATCGATGGAGTCATCGCAATAGGTACAATCCAGACTGTGCTTGTCCGACGTCACACACACGCCAACGTACGTACCCCGCAACGCGCAGACCCAGCCACACACACCTACCGTGCGATGACCGTGCGCACAACTGCCCAAAAGCGCTCTAATGCAACGCCCGCCCCGATACACGACCCAGATCATGCGATCGCCATCACGCCACGAACCGCTGCGGCTCCAGGTTCGGCGTGACCCCGCCCCCACCCGCCACAGTGCGGGGCGAATGCAGGGTGTCCAGCCGCCACTCCCCGCGGAGCCGGTGGTAAATCATCTTGAACGTAGACACCGCCCCCTTCTCCAGCACGAGCCCGATCGTCGTCTCGAAGCCGCCCGCCCGCCCGCCCTCCAGCCGCACCGCCGACACGCGCGGCATCGCGTACGTGCTCGTGCGCGGCGACGGAGGGATCTGCGACAACCGCGGGGTCGTCCCCGGCTGCGAGTACGCCTGCGTGCCCGGCGCACCAGAAAATTCGACCCGGAACCGCATCTGCTTCTGTGCCCCGTCCCCCGGCTCGTCCAGCCGACACTTGAGCACACTCCACCCCGCGTACTCCTCCAGCACCGTCATCACGCCCAGCTGCGCGAGCAGACGCGTGGTCTCGCTTCGTGTGGCGACCACGTCGTTCGTCGAGTACAGCAGATACGATTGTACCTTCCAGTGGAACAGGTTCGAGAACCACCCCTTGAACTCGCCCACGACCGGGGAATTGACCAGCACCGCGGCGTTGGGGGGTGACGGGGGCCGCGGCGATCCAATAACCGAGAAAGTGGCCCTCTTCTGCAGCACAGTTGGGCCCTGCAAATCCATCGTAGCCGCTACAACAACCAGCGAATGGAGAGGGAAAGAAAAAGGGGACGTCAGCGACTGTTGCGCTTCCCGACAGACAAACTAAAATGCACTTACGTCGGCTCTTCCGCGCCTCTTTCTTGTGCTCTTTCCCAACAGCGCCTGGTTCATTGATAAATAGCATGTTCCCCATTTCCTTGGCCATAGGAACAGAGTGCCCGAATCCAAGCCCACCGGTGGTGTACGCGCCTTCAGCATGAGCCGATAGCCGTCTCCCCACGGCCGCAGAGCCTGCGTCCCAATTCTCCTTGTTCCCGTTCGCGTTCCCGACCACGCTGTAGCGCGGCACAGTCGTAGACGGTGCCCGCCTATGCTCGCCACGTTGGCCCTCGTCTTCCTGTGTCTGTGCCTGCGCGCGCGCGTTCCACGACGCCGCCTGCATATTCACCATCGTGGCATACTCGTCAAACGTGCGCTGAAGCGCCGCGTCGGGCACCTTCGGTGCGCTTATCATCGGCAGCGCCGCCGCTGCCATGGGCACTGGGGAGTGGATCACGTCCGTGAGCGTTCCCCCAAGTGAAGAACGGTGGTGCCCGTGCGCGGGCCCTGGCACAGCGGAGCCAGGCGGGGACATCGCGGGCCCGCGCACCATCGGCGGCGGGACCGCACGATGCTGCGGGTACACGAACATGTTCTGCGCGTCGGGGGCCGCGAGGAACCGCTGCGCTTCCTGCGGGTTCGGCGTGAACGTGCCTGCAGGGGCGACGTACGAGTTCCGGCCCGCGGCGATGGCGGACGCCGGGCGGGGACGCTGTGGGCGCGGGCCAATGGGCGAGGGGATCGAGCGAGAGACGGGCCGCTCGAGGGGCACGTCCGTCACGATGGCCAGAGCACGCGCATTCGGGGACTGGCTGCGCGGCGGGCCCGGGGCGACGCGGGTCGAGAGTGGGTACGGGATCTGCGACTCGGCGCCGACGTTGGAGTGCGGCTCGGGGTGCGTCTGCGCCGGCTTCTTGGCCGAGCGCGGCGCGGCGTACTGTTTCGTGACGACCTTGCCGGCCGCGTTGAAGATCTCGTCAATGTCCATAAGGATCCCGTGTTCCTCCATCGCCTTCTCGCGGTGCTTCTGCAGAAGAAAATAGAACGCTTTCGCGAGAGTGCCTCGGCCAGGGACGCTCAGCAGGTCCGCTCGGATACCCTCGATGTCTGCGTGGCGCCCCCAGATGACACAGAGAGACTCGAATAGGTCACGGTCGATATGGAGTGCGGAAGGCAGCGGCTGCGCCAGCTCCGAGACTGATGGCGCCGGAACATAAGTGATGCCCGGCGTCAATCCCTCGAGCCACGGGTGCGCCAATATTTCAGCCATCTAGGGGACGGTGTTAGGTGAGTGCAAGCAGAGATTTTCCGCAAACTCACAGATATTCTCCTCGAGACGTCAACGACGAGCATGCGCGACAGGAGGTCCTTGGCAAGCGGGTCGACGAAGCTCGGCATGTCATACTTGCCCAGTTTGACCTTGCCCAAGAGCGTCCTGACGTTCTTGTCGTCGAATGGAAGGCGGCCGGTGAGCAGGGCGTACAAGATCACGCCGCAGCTCCAGATGTCGGTTGCCGTCCCGCAGTACTTGTGCCCATTGACAATTTCTGGGCTGGCGTAGTGGGGGCTCCCGCAGCTGGTCTCCAGCTGCAGAGTAGGTGGAGCGAACGCAGCCATGCCCCAATCTGCAATCTTGATGAGCGGGGGATTGAGTGAATGAATTAGGATGTTCTCAGGCTTGAGATCACGGTGGATGATAGAAAATGTGTGTGCATAGTTCAACCCATAGATAATCTGCTTGAAATAGGCGAGGGCCTCGAGCGGGGGGAGCTTGCCGCGGTTGACGAGAAAGTCGAAGAGCTCGCCGCCCTCGACATACTCAAGGATGAGGTACAGCTCCATCTCGCCCTCGTACACGTCGTAGATGCGCATGATGTTCGGGTGGTTCATGAGCTTCATCATCGTGATCTCGCGGTCGACGCCGAGCCGCTGCTTGTCTGACTTGGCCTTGCTCGCGAGCGACGCGCGCGAATTCACGAACGGCTGCAGTGGCAGAATCTTTACAGCCGCTAGCTGCCCCGTCCGCCGGTGCCGCGCTATCTTCACGTGCCCGCTCGCGCCCTTCCCGACGCACTCGCCGATGACCCACGGTCCGACATACTTGGCGTCCTCGGGGTAGTCGAACGCGCCGCTCCCGGCAGCCGCCTTCTCCTTCTGCCAGCGCGTGCCCAAGGGGGTGTGGTACTTGGCTGGAGGCGCGCGAGGTGGGCTGTTGGGGGCTGTTGGAGACATTACGGTCGTGGGTAAGAAATACGGAGAGAAATTATACGAATATAGAATATAGTGATGTTAGAATATGTTGTTATCGTCGCCGTCGTCGACAAGAACAAGACGACCAGCCGCCAGAATGTAGAGGGAACCAGCTCGCCGCCGCGGAACTTGAACGGCGCGTGGCGGCTGGCAGCAGAACAAACAACGCGTAAACAAGGCATATCACATGATCGAGCGCTTACCCACATGACATGAGTTGCAAAGCCATCCACTGATCCGGATCATATAGGTAGCCAGAGAACAACTATGTAACGTAGCAGATCGCCAGATATATCCAGTACAAGGTCAGTATGGTATCATCGAGAAGACATTCCGCCTCAAATTGATCACACCAGTACGCGGTCATACCAGGATCACAGCGAGCAGCAGGGCCATCAGGATGATTATAAGGATGATGATACACCAGCCAGATTTTGTCTCTTCAGGTACGATACACGAGTGCGATCAATGCAGGTTCATCTTAATCAACCACAGCTGCGCACCTTCCGTGTGGCGAATAAATCGCCTCATTCTGTGCATGGCGTCGCCGAGTTTCGAGTCTGTGCGGTCTACGCCCTGCTCGATGTCACCAAGCATTCTGCGAATGAAGTAATCCCGTTAGATCACACCAACCCTGTTAATTACGACGACCATTCCACCAACTCGTTGTGTTCGCCGATTTCTCTACCCATCAGTCCCGCTTGCTGTGCAATAGTGCTGAGTGTGCCGGAAATGGTGTCAATTGTCTGGTCTTGCTCGCGAATCATCATCTACGCGATGAAGAGGTAAACGATCTCATCCGAGGCTTAAACCGTGAAACTCGCCTGTTGCTCCTGCCTGGCCCACTCAGACTGCTCGTCCCTTTCATCCGCAGGTAATGGCTGGCTGGCTCCACGAGAGATCTCTGCAGGAGGTCTGACCTGCGACTTTAGCCGGGTTCGACTTTCAGCCTCGGATTCGATTTCTGCTCGCATGCTCTGTCGTTTCCGGAGACCGTACGGGCATCAAATGAACATAAGTGTTCACAAGAGAAACGAAATATGAACAATCGACGCACACACCTCAAGCTCGTGCCGTACATGCCCGACATACCGCCTTCTCTCGATGACTTCCGACTCTTCCAAACCAAACATCCGCGCGCCTGTAGTTTCAACAATTCTGATGCATGAGAACAGGAAATTCGAATCAATACGTGTCTCGAGGGAGAATTGCGGCAGACAGACTTCACACTCTCCTCCAAGTCTTCCAAATCCGCATCCAAAGCCGCGAGGGTCGCCTTGAGCTAAACCGCCATAGTAACATCAATTTTGTCAATATCTCATGTACCAAGCCGCTAATATCAGGAAAACGCACCTCATTTCGCGCCCAACCCAGCTCCTCGCTGTCTTCCCGCGCAGTACTCCGGATACGCAAGTACGACGCACGCAGCGTGGACGCCGTCTGCAGTGACGTTTGTATTTCCTGCTGCACCGCGTCGTACGGGTCCGTAGACATTGAGATTATCTTGCAGCTGCACAATGGAGTCTAACGATGGGAGAGTGGTCGTTGTGCAAAAGGGCCAGTGGTAACGCGGGGAAACGCGTGGTAGCAATGCGCAGCGCGAGCTTTAAAATCACAGATTGGAGTATCCAAACCCTGAGGATGCTTCGAGAGAATATTGCAGAAGCTGGTATACGGAGAGATCCAGTGTCAAAGGAGTGTCTGCGGCCTGTGTGTTCGTTTCAGCCTGCAGGCAAGACTGCAGCTGGAAGGGGACGCTGAGCTCGGTAAGGAATTCGGGGACAAGGCCCGCAAGTCCGCGGCGGTGGCGCCTCCGATCCCCTGATCAATCGGCGCGCTCCCAGATCTCACTGTCATCCTCGGCTGAGTCGGCTCGATTGAGTCGTTGAAAACCAGCCATGCAAGCATATCCGCGTTCTGAAAGCAGAAGGACAGGCAAGTTGATAGAGAGACACAAAAAATACAATATACTATTATAACGTGGGGAAAGCAGTGATGCACAACTACATCCAAGTTCGTGTGACGCAACAAAACATACGCGCGAGTAGCGTCGGCGAGGAACGATTAAACGGACGAGATGCGAGGAGAAGGAAGGGGACCGTAAAAAGCACACACAAGACAAGATGCGGCACCGCCGATCGATGGTCGTACAGCGATAAATAATTACAGACAGCACAAGCACAGATTAGCGTCAGAGCGTCAGAGACTGTACACTATCCAGCAAGAAATACAAATCGAGGGTGGGAGGCGAGCAGGGGCACTATGCGAAGGGGCCTAGCGCCTGCACGCGTTCGACATCCGGCTGCAGCGCTCCTGGCCGGAACGAGCGAAAGAATCCGCCGCGGGACGGCACGCCCGTACGGCCAACATTAGCAGTAGGAGAAGGAACGGTGATAGATGGTGATGGGGGCAGGTCATCACGGTCATCCCCGTCGGTAGATTCACGGGGGTCGTCCTTCTCATCCTTCGAGGGAGGAGTAGTGGTGATGCGGAGTAAAGACGTATATGCTGCGCGAAATGAGACAAAAATAAATAAACTAAAACGTCCGACAGGGATAAAGATACTCACGCTGACGGCAGACTGGACAGAACCAGCCCTTCGCCTTACGTTTGCGTCTGGGATTTATCGGAATGACGGGCACGGGCTGCGGGGCATCAGCCTCGGAGCCTGGGGGCACGCCAGCAGTGTTTCCATCTGTTGCATTGCCGTTCTCACCGTTCGCGCCTTCCGTACCGGTGGTAGCATTTGTCTCGTCTTCCTGATGCACAATGTTTCCGCCAGCGCCAAATTCGATCATGTTGATTGCGCATTCTCTGCAGGCGACAAGATGACGGCAAGGTAATAGCACCACCTCGCGCGGAGAAGAAAGACAGAGCAAGCATTCCGATGAGGGCTCATCCTCATGAGGAGTGGCCGATGGTTCGGTGGCGGGTGGGTAGACGTGGGTATCGGTGGGGGGAGTTGTTGCAACTGGTTGCGATGCCGTTGTGGAGTTAGACGAAAGACCATAAATTTCATGCAGGTGGAATGAGTGGGGACCAATCTACAACAAAATTTGATAAATTTGATTTATTGACGCATATGTATAAGTACTTACAGTTGCTTCGCGCTTGACAACTTTGACGACCCACGGCCTATTGTCCTCCACGGGCACCCCCTCGATAACAGTCGGAGGGATGCCGAAACGTACTACATGAAGATACGTCACCTGCTCGTTGACCGATGGCAGCTCCTTGCCCTCCTCATCGAGCGCAGATAACCGGATAGTGACTCTGACACCAACGTCAATTTCATCCTTGTCATACTCCTTCGACTTGTCATCGTCTCCGTGAGAGTTCACTTCGGCATCGAGGACGGCTATGGCGGGACCAGCCACGGATCGGTCGTGCTCACGCTTCCGGAAATTGAAGTTAGTGAAGCGTTTCCTATTCCAAGCAGACGTGGCTGTATCAGAACTTGGGTCCACCACATGGTGCGATTCTGCATCAGCCCCAAATGATGCGTCCCCAGGGTTGTCCTTCTCGGCGGTCGGAGCATCCGGCCGATGCTCAAACCTGCCCAATTCGAGCGTGGCGCCTTCCTCCAGCTTGAGCGTCTTGCCAAAGCCCCCATCGACAACCGATTCGAAGACGAGGAATTTGGACATCCCAGATGCGTCGTACTTCCCCGAGAGGCGATGTTTCGGAGATAGGAGCACCTGTACGCTGATCCCACACTTGGGGGCGTCACAGTCAAACTCGAATTCGAGGCCATGGTGGTGTTGGGAGTCCGCGTGATTAGGGTCGTCCGAGGGGGCAACCTCTAATGGCGTGAGTCGGAGAGTGGGACGCTTCAGGTTAACAAGAGCTTGCAACGTAGTAGTGGACAGGTTATTCTGATAATGAGAATACATCATGCACACTGACGCGGTGGAAGACCATAAGCGTACGCACCTCCTTGCTCTTAGAGATCCAGCTCTTCACAATCTCCGGTGTGAGCTCATCAACGCTTTTCTCGTGTCTGTCAGCCCACTCAGGGCCCGCATTGACGATCCCGATGTTAGGGCCGAAGAGGGTGTCTGACTTCTTCTGGCTGTCGGTATGCTCGGGACTTGCGACGTCGCCCATGTTAATAACAACGGCTTCTTGCGCCATCTCTGTTGCCCTGCGAGACGCCCTGGTATCGACGCGAGCGAGGAATGGTTGCTGGTGGAGTCGGCGGGTCCTGTTCCAAGTGGAATACTGGTTATTATCTGAGGGGGGCAGTCAGCGGTCTGAAACGAAAGGGGTGCTCGTACCAGACTACGGCTTACACCATGCGACAATTGCTGCCATCGTCCGGGGCAATGGTGAAGGAGAGGGTGAAAGAACAGGAAACGATGGTCGCCGGCGGGAAGCGCAGCTCTCTATCTCCAGTCTTTTATTTGTCATTCCGAGCACCACTGGCTTTCCAGGAGTACCCCTGACAGTCTCCGCCTCTCTCCGTCACTTCGAGTCACCTCTCGGCTCAAATACCTTGGCAGGAAACCATCGAATGCGGAACAAATGTGACACAGAGCCCACAGGCGCTGGTCACGATGAATATCTGGCAAATGTAGCGCATACAATCGTACTATTTGGGCTGTTTGGGGTCTCAGCGTCTCCTCTCATGCTCCCGACCACAGCATATTGCTCCCGCTGCGGAACGTGAGAGGTCTGTCCAATGACCATGCGGGCTTTCTGCCAGCCAGAACACAATTGCTCGACCTGCCATCCATTCGACAGCAAAGTGCATAACGTTACCAAGCCCAGGACAGGAGAATATTAACATCTCTCATCTTCAACCGCGACGGTGTCGCATCAACTTTGGGGCGCAGATAGAACTTGCCTTTCGAATATTCAGATCGGAGATTGCAGACCGCAGTCAAAATGTCCCATGGTGCAATTGCGCGATGATACAGCATAAATGGCATAGGAAGCCGCGCGTGTCATGTCATGTGCATGTGGTGGTAAGTGCTATATGATGCCAGATGATAGAGAGAGAGAGTAGATGCACTAAGCGATTAGCTTCACAACGCCACCGGCTTCCTTGATCTTGGCCCTGCAGGTAACATATGAGAATGTTTCCAATGCTAATGCTGCTAAGATACACATACTCTGCCTTGGCCGATACGAAACGAGCTTTAACGATGAACGGCAGCTTCGGCAACCTTGGGGGGATGTCAGTAACATCATTGCAACAGACGAATTCGCCGTGCTCACTTTCCGTTGCCCAACACCTTGCCGTACCCGTGTTGGAGGGTATCAATTACAGGAACAACCTCTGAATCCTCCGACAAGCCCTGCTTCTCCTCCTCGGGTACAAGTGTCCACAGCTTGTCCACGTTAATGATCGGGCGCCATTGCAAGTTGCGCGTCAGATGGAAATGGCGCATACCAACTTTACCGAAGTAACCAGGGTGGTACTTATCGAAGTTGGTTCTACATAACGCAAGGGCAAACGGTGCTTTAGCTCACGCTGCACAGAACAAGGCCAAGTGACGTACCGATGGTGGTGCTGACCACCAGCAAGACCACGACCTCCAGGGTGCTTGCGATGCTTTCCGACACGTCCATGACCTGCCGAGACGTGGCCGCGGTGCTTGCGAGTGTTGGAGAACCGTGTCGGCATTTTCTGTAACCAGTCCCGAGGTCAGCATCATCCACAGTAGGTCCAATGCATCCAGCGGCGTCAACACTTCATTTCCCGGCAAGAAGACATTCTACGGGAAGCTGAAGGGCTGCACATTACACTGACAAGCATCTGGACGTCATCGATGGGGGCATACTGACCTTGAGGAGGGCTTGGTTGAGGATCTACGGCGAGGAATTTGTGTTTGACCGGATTCGGTTGTGGCGGGGTATTTGGATTTATTTGCACTTGAGGGTTTGCTGATTAGACGCTCGTTTTGTCTTCGTTTTTGCTTCCTACGCATACCGTCTCTTCGTTGGTGAGTTCGTTCTCCTTGCTGTCTCACCATGATGTTGGCCGTAGTGCCTTTATTTATTGTCAATGATTCACCATGATCACAAAATGTGTCCTGAATCTTCAGCTGTTCGACAGGTTCAGCTGACCTTGTGCTGACTGTTCTCTTGCAGGTGAGTCCGTTACCCGTAGGTGAGCAGTCAGCTTCCCCCGTCCTACATTCACCATGAAGACAAGATAAAATCTCCTCACCTGTCCAACTGCTGTTCATGACGTATCCTCTTACTCATGGTTTACATGATCGCATTTCCTGTTCTCCATCACAACACGTTGGATTGACTACATCGCCTCATTACTCTCGTGTAGACAAATATGAACGCGCCGAATCGATATGAGCTATTCGTTCTGGAAGAGGGCGAAAGGCCGTGCGTGATGCGCTCCTCTGGTGCTGTGCCCACCTCACGACCTGTCCTTGCCGTTATGCAGCGTTGAGGTAACTGAGGACACGAAGATCCCGAACGCTGCTACCATCAAAATCCTCAAGCAGGACCACACGCTGGGCAACATGATTCGCGCGTACGTATCGTTCTCTATTCTTTGCACGTTTGGATGCCGTACCCACGCTGGGCCACCCACCAGCCAATTACTCTCGATGCCACAAGTCCTCTTCGCCGGCTACAAAGTACCGCACCCGCTACAGCCGCATTTCCTTATCAAAGTGCAGACGGATGGGTCCGTCACGCCTGCGGTGATTCTGGAGCAGGCGTGCACGAAGCTCATCGGCACGCTTGCGTCGCTCGAGACGAAGTTCAAGCGGGAGTTTACGTTCCGAGACGTGGACGGCGCCGTCGCGGAGGACGCGTATGGCACCGTTACGACGGGAGGTGCGGGGTGGACCGAAGGCAGGGACTATCTGGACTTCTAGATTGCGCTGGCTGCGAGGTTATTGTAGTACTGTAGCATTCATACCATAACCGATGTATCTCTACTAATTCGTCTAATCTACAAGACATGTCACATACCTCACTTACCTGCGGGACTTCGTTCAGCCGCCGATCATCGATGTATCGATGGCGTACTTTGGCTTGTTGCCATCTGTGTACAAGATCGTTCAAACCTCATCGTCCGCCCTCTCTAGCGGTGGCCGTCCGTCTACGTTTGTAAGGTGAGAATGATCTGCAGATAGCGTAGCTTCTCAAAGCGCTTGCTCCTGCTATTTATATGAAGCAGATCGACCACGTGTGTGAACGTACGTGTGAGAATTCTGCCACCGATATCTGAAGTGTCAGACAGCCGCTGCTCACCGCCACCAGTGACAGATGGCTTATCTCGGGGCAGTGGCTTCAGGAATGGGCATTACAACATCCGGGTCCATGCCCGTGATCATCCTCATACCAAGAGTAAGCAAGTTAAGTCCGAATTCTCAGTGTAGCCGAATTGACCGCATATTTTCCACGTTGAAAGGGGAAATTTTGCGGTTGACTCACCGCGATTATTGAAAGCCCCCTCATGCAAAACGGCGTCAATAGTAACACGGCATTGTCTCAGATGCATCCAAATTAGACGTCACTTTGGACGCTCTGGCTTGGCATGTAGGGACACCCTATTTTGATAATGGCCTCTTGCGCGGGGCAGTTTTGCCGTGGGACACTTTCCTCATATTAGAGGTCTTTCCTCTCGTGCGGACTGACCCTCTTTCGTGGTCAGGAAACCTTAATCACTGCCTGCGCAGCCAAATGCACCTACATGCGGCCATTGCCCGTAGGCTTAGAGGTCATCCCATCACAAACGCCTGAAATACCGCAGCCATAAACGCCTGAACGGCGCGCCAGTGTCTACGAAAGCATCAGTCACCTACTCCAGTGCGGAAGGTGGGCCGTGGATTATGATCCTGGCATCTCGCTTCTTCTTCCGCGCTGAGAGCCTGAGCCTAGGAAAAATATGGGCGCGATCTTCTGTCGCTATTGCCCAGCGCAGGTATCCTGGCGGCATTGTCATCCGGAAGGACACACAGGAAGTGATGAAAAGTCAAATTTTCTACTATTGCGCGGAACCATAGACTTGAAAAAGTATTATCTTGCATACAGGTTACGGCCGAATCCCCCAGCATCTGAAGAAACTTATTAGCTGATAGTAATGCCAGGAATCGAAAACTTTATCGCAGCGAGTAAAGCGGGGATATCACCCACTGATATGTGAGTAGTCTCCTCCAGACTTCGCACAGCGGAAGATATCATGGCGCTCCGGCGGGGACAGAGGCACCAGAGATATGACGGTGTTTCAGATTTCCTGGGAGTTGGTCCGATGTTGGACGAAAACGTCGTCCATTGCATCGTCTGGTTGCTAATGCTGGTAGTGGCAACATGATATGGCGATGCTGGACGAAACAGCCACGACTTCGAAGCCTGAAAGCCGCGCAAGCTCCAGAGACAAACCCGTGAGTGTGCCGGCACTGCAAATGAACAAGACAAATCGACTGCGGACCATAATTTGATACAAGCACGAATTTGGCTAGGTTTCTTTAATTTCTCTGTCATGGTCAAGGACAAAATAGTCCTCTTCGCGTATATTTGAGTGTAGCTACTTGAGAATTGGGGCTCAGGGGTTGCACGAACCGGGTCTGGTATGTGGTCGGAAAGCGACGGTGAGGATAGTGAATATCAGTCTCGTTGGAAGGCGACTGCCACGAGTAGAAGGTCCGTTCTGGTAGTGTTGCACACCGCATTAGTCCTGCTGGTTTACCCGTGCCCGTGTGAATCTATGGAAGCGAGGAAACAGAGACGATGTGCAGCGAGGAGCGGAAAAATGCTTCGCCCGGAAGCCATTGCAAATGACGTTGGATTGAGATGAGCAGATGTCCTAAGTTGGCAGTACTTCAAGAGTCGCATTAGATTTTCTGTGCCCGTGCTACGGAACTTACAAGACGCAGAGACGAAGCACAGCTGGGGGTAGGAATAGGTGTCGCTATGCCACCGGTGGTGATCGCGCAAGAAGATGCAAGTCGGTGCCGTCATGTGAAAGGTCCGTGCGACACAGCCGAGTAACAAGATACGCGAAGCGACGGCTTTTGCCTGCAGAGGACCACGATAACAGTAAGTAGGATCCCATAAAGCAAATGCCTCGGCAAATACCATGACATTTCTCGTCCGGCGAGGCACATACACAGTAGCGAAACGCACCGGTGTAGCAAGTACTCAAGACAGGCGGCACTGCGTCCTATGACAGAGCACAAGTTGACAAGCCTCATAAGCACCATTGTAAGTACCATTGCATTCCGGGAGCAACAGACATTGGAGTGCAGAATGAAGGCCGGACGCAATACCGGCTTCAGCGCAGGGTAAGTGGGCCCATTATCCAAGACAATAGAGCAGGGCCATAGGATCATCGCATGACGGGTCCGGCGCATCAAGGTGACGTCCTCCATTTTTATCAAGGGGTAAATCCGCACAGCCTTCCGTCGCGCCCACCATGGTATGGAAGCACTCAGCAAAGTCGCTGAGCGCTGGCGGGCTATAAGAACCGCAGTCGTGGACCGTGTTTGACGCTGCTAACTGGGATATTTTGGCCCTCGGCTAACAGTCCTCGGGCAACTTCGAGTATTTGACTGACCACCGGGAATGGCTAACACAGCGCCAAAAGTCCCGTCCGAATCGCAGAAGGCGCGGCGACCTCGTGTCGCCTGATACCTGAGAGGCACAGAGGTCTAGGAGCTCGTGCACTGTGCTTGGAAGGATCAGATTGACCACCCAAAGCGGGGGGGACCACAAAGCGCTAAGGCGGTGATCGGGTCGCTGACGGTGTAACTCATTTATCGCTACCCCACGAGGATAGAGCTGCTCCGTGGGGGACATGCTAGCAGCGGGGCCACACCTACGAAGCGAGCAGAGATCCTAGCCGCTGAAGGGCAGCGCTGGAGAGGCGCTCGACACCAGGGCACTGGGTAGAATTGTCGTGGGAACAATGAGCGAGCGAGAGTTTCCCGGAAGGCGAGAAAACGGATACGGACGGAAGGAGAGGGGGTGAAGGCAGGCTTACTGGGGGAATAATGTTGGCAAGGAGCCAGACGATAAAGATATAGATATCGCCTCGGACGGCATTGTGCGAAAGACGCCATGCACTAAATAAGCGCTGAGCATTCTAGATCTGCTGTTGGTTGTATGACTGATGAGCCACAATGGCCTCAACAGCCGTAGCAACGCGGGAATGCATATGGGCGGCCGATCGACGTGGCACGCAACAGGGAAGAGATGGGGAGGGTGGAAGTTATGGTTGCGCGTGGCCTACGCCCTATTGGACCCACCTGAGGCTTCGCACCACGTTGAAGGATGAGTCCGTGACTTCGCAGAACGTGAGGGACGCGTGGTGTTGGCTCACTTCTCGCCACCCTCGTTTTCGTCTTATATGAACTAAGCGCGAGACAAAGCAGATGCAAAGCATGCAAGGTGCCAGGTGCCAGACATGCAGATCGCGCCGTGGTCGATGGATCGCGATCCGAACGTCGACCTCGCGACCTGAAGAAAGGAAGGATCGGAAATGAAGTCTGCGGCGGGTGCAGAGCAAGCATATTCGCAAGCGAAATGGATCTCGCAGGTATTAACGTCCTCCGAGAGGGTGAACAGACGACCAGGGGGGCGAAAAGCGCATGGTACTAAGGCATCATCCCTCCGGCTTTGTACGGAGTCAATGCGACTGCTTCCCCGGCGCTTTGATGAAGTTACTACGGCGGCGCCAGTGAGGCGAAAGAACATGGCGCCCTCGCTTGGAGATCTGGGATTTGACTCAAGTAAGGCAGATCGAGTGAATTACGCCACCCTGGCAGAATCTGTAACTGTAGTAACGTCATGAAGACGTATGATTAATTTCGAGGCGGCAGGGCCCACTCACAACCCTATACACCATGTCTGCAACGCCAAACGTCACCGAAACATGTCTTCATACGTCGCAGGGAGCGCCACAGGCTGGCGTGCTGTATACTCGTGTTCCCCGTCAGTGATGCACCACTGATTGCGGTGATACACGCACGCACGGGCCAACCGCAAGGCACCACACCTTGGACATCCAAATCGAGCACATAGGACGTGTCATTGCGACGGGGCAGCGTGGACAAGGTCTGTACACCGCTAAACGTGGCCAGTCATAATTTCAGCCTTTCCATACAGGGTTGGAATATAGTAACGTCGCCTAGTAACGCAGCGGGCATGGAGTACAAAGACTATAGTGTGGCAACGCCCGGACAATAAGGAGGGTGACACCGACCAATAGGATCCGCAGGCGCATGATCAAGAAGGGTGCCCATAGTTCCGTCGAGTGAATTATGTACGACATGAGGAGGACGTCTTCTTGATCGCAGAAAAAGACGGGTATGGAGTGACTAATGGGCACCTGCACCCAGACGCTCGGAGGGGGAACCCTAGGCCTGTGAACTAGGGTGTGCGGGGTTACTGTATTTGGTCACAAATTTCTGGGGGAGATGAAATTGCGTAGTATGCAGACGAAGATGTCTGCCTGTCGACTTGAGATGCACCTATGGGGCGTCGCTGTCGGTGGCCGTAGGAACGGCCGGGACCGAGTCAGGACCTCTAGTGCACTTTCTTTGTAGCTACTGTACGTGACGGTCCGATCAGCGATGCCCACAGCCACCGTGGGGACATACCAGGACACAGCTGGCTGGAATGAGTCGGCGCAGGACAAGCCACCGCCTGGACAACAAGGAACGTGCCACCCAGCGTCGCTGACTTTCGCGCAGACAGGCACGCGTACGGAAGGGGATCGATATTCCGTCCGACGGTGGGATCCATCCGAAAGACCGTGTTCTCGAAATACACCGACTGGATTCATCAAGAGAGACGGAGACACCTTTCGGCAATCGTCCGGAAAGGTGTCAGTACGTAGCCCACGACGTATCTGCTCATCAGAGATGAAGAGATATGAGGTGAGAGGAAATATTTATTCGGGGGACTGGATAAGGCAGGAAGGGTCCCTTCCGCCGCATGTTGCCGTGCAAGTGAAACTTGAGAAGTTCAGCGGCATCAGATGTCGGCTGCCCACGCCATTGGCCCCCCGATAACAGTAGGTTCGCACTTTGTACTGCTGCGATGGGGCGCCCGCGGCCAAAGTGAGCTAGACCTAGCATCGACCCACGCCACAGCTGTCACAGAAGGGCGACAACTGATGAGGGGTTCCGAAGGATTGGGTCTATTATCTGTCAGCCTACTGCGGTGTAAAACCACGGACAATAATTTTTGAGGTTACGGGAAGGGAGGAGAGGAGGGCCTGGGATAAGATGGTGGCTGCGTCTGGTGCGTGTGGGAGGGGAGGTTGGGTGGAGATTGGGATTAGATTGCAGAGGTGAAGGCGTTCTTGGAAGCAAGCTAGAATTTCGCGCGCGGAAGGTTCTACCTGAATTACGTAAAAAGATTATCCAATTGGGGCCGCATGCTGCCGTAACAGAATACAACAACCTATAAGTGCTTCTACCACGCTCCATTGCGCGACGTTGCCCTCTTCCCCTCAGACTACCACCACATTTGCGCGTCCCGTCCCCCACCGTTCCATGTTTGCCACTCTTCCACCCACCAAAAGGCGTCGCACGGCTACCTCCGTCCTGGGCGGCGACTTCGATACGCGTCCTGCACGCGACGCGCTCACCAGCGTCCTGAACGGCGTGCCCATCTACAAGGCCGTCGAAGGTAGCGAGGAGGGAAGGAGAGGGAGAAAGCGGAAGGAGAAAGAAAAGGAGAAAGAAAAGAGACGCGCAAAGCCGGGGCCGAAGCCAGGCCCGAAATTCTTGCCCCCCGTCGCGTCCACATCGACTGCGGTACCCGTTGGGGCCACCGCGTCGAAGCGCAACCCGACCCTCCCCAAGCCCATAACATCGTCATTTTGGCAGGCGCGGCCCACCATCCACATTGCCACTATGCAGCGCTCGGTCTCGGTCACGCCCCCGCCCATGCCCTCATCGCCGCCCACAACCCCGGGCCCGTCCATCTCGTCGGCCACGTCGGCCACTTCGTCGAAGCGGCCACACACACCCAATGATGATGAGGACCTCAACAGCCGCCAACGCAGCGTCGCCAGCTCCACGCCGCCCCCGCGGGAGCCCAGGAGGAAGCGGCCTGCGGTCAGGAAGGGTTGGAAGGGCTGGGTCGAGGGTTCTCCGCCACCGTCGGAGAAGCTCATCAACCTCGACGTGGTCACCGTCCTGCAGGAGAGGAAGACGAGGAGCGGGAAAAACTTCGACGCTATCGGCGTCGGCAAGGAGGGTTGGGTGTAAACCCGGTATGTGATATTCGTCGATTTTACGGTTCGTTTGTACTGATACCCGCCCTAAAGATGCATATGCTGTCGATATCGTCTCTGGCCACTTGCTCGCGGGCCACGCTCTCGTTTTGGTGCTATGTGCTCCGTTGCTGGTTCGTATCTGAGCTCACTTAGGAATGGCTTTCTGTTATTGTGCTTTTAACATGTGGTCATTACTTCCATCTTCTTATTTTCCTTCGGTCGTTGGGTGTTTTACTTTCCCCTTCTCGCCGTTGCTCGGCGCCTTGTGTACACGTATGGTTATTGCACCACTTGGGGTTGGTCTTAGATCAGTTGGGTACAAGTAAAACAATTTAAACCGTGGACGTGTGTAGATACCGTCTAAAGCTTATCATCTTTGTGCCAACCGTCTGAATGCGAGTGGAAATTTTGTGGCCGCTGGCTCGTCGTTCTACGCGCGCGCTTGGAAGTGCCTGGGCGTAAGCGCCGGTGTGCGCTTGCCCGACGGACTCGTCTGCCAGTGCAGCCACCAGACGCCATCCTGCTCGAAGCTCGCTCTTGATCGAGGCCTACTGGGTCCGCCTCTAGGCTGCGCTCGATTGCTGCCGCCTCATCGTCTAATCTGTTTCCGCGAACGTTCCGAGGGGCTTTGCCACCGCCGTCGGGCGCCGCCTGACTCACATCTGACTTGCCTGCTCCCTCACACCACACCGACTCGCCCACACCGCTACACTAGCTGGATTCGTGGCCCATTGTGTCTCGCAAAAGCTCGGGCCACATCTGTCAGCTCGGAACAAGCCGTCCACCTCTGCAGTTACGCCGAGATTGTGCGCGCGGGGCGTATCGTATCGTATCGTATCGTATCGCGATGTTGACGCATATACCGTTCCCCGTTCTGCCTGCGCCACCGTCATGGTTCCCGGGGCACATGCTCCAGTTTGCAAAATCGCTCCCAACCCTCCTGACCCGCACCGACGTCGTGCTGGAGCTCAGGGACGCGCGTCTCCCTCTCACGAGTATCAATCGGAACTTTGAAGGTTCGTATGCCCGTTTTGGAGATGCTTCACCCATTCGGGTCTCTTCACCGGGCTGTGGGGCTTGCTCGGTGTGCAGGACGAGGGCTGTGTCATGCTGTGGCGTGCGGGTGCGGTTGCTGGCTGGCGGTGATGGGCAGTTGCCGCACTGGATAACTAATGACACTGGTCGTCCACCGCATGTACGGCGACCGTGATTTATTGCCTAGTGGCGCAGAACGTTATATTTTCCGTATTTTATTCGTCGCATTTCTGCGCCGGCGCTGGTGCTATGCTTTATTAGTTGAAAATTAATTTACGGTGGATATTTCTGGACTATGGCTGATACGTCGTTGTCTCCCCTCTGACAGGCGCCCTGCAGAAATGGCGGAGAGAACGAGGGCGAACCAACGACGAGACCATCGCTGCATCTGCTGCAGCTTCTGCCCTACCTTCACTGCCGACAGCCACTAGCACCGGCCGCGTATGCGAGCGTATCGTCGTCTTCAACAAGCGCGACCTTGTTCCAGAGTGGGGGATTGAAGTGTGTGCCCATCTTTCGCAGCTCTGCTGTGGCCGGCCTTAGATACATCGCTCTCAGTAGCCCTTTCAAAAAGCCATGGAGACGAAATATTCCGACCAGAGGATCTTCTTTGCCTCGTGGAACCGGACGCGCGATATCAGGGCGCTGAACGAGATGCTCGTTAGTGAGTCTTTCTCCCGACATCGCTCTTAACTGCCACAATAAATTATGTGCCTCTCAGACATCGCCAGAAAAAACCCGTACATACCGGAGTTGAACGTCCTGGTTGTCGGCATGCCCAATGTCGGCAAGTCGACGTTGTTAAATGCGTTGCGGAATATTGGCATCGCTGGACGTGAGTCGCACGTTTTCTTACCCCCTACGTCGCTCTGCACCACTTGTATTGACGTCTGACGACTTCGCAGCGACACCGAAAGCACTGCGGACGTCTTCCCAGCCAGGCCTCACTAGAGTACTCTCCACTCGTCTGAAGTTATCCGTTGACCCGCTGGTATATTCCTATGACTCGCCCGGCGTAATGCTTCCTTTCCTCGGCAACGGCGACAAAGGAGCTGAGCGTGGTGTTAAACTAGCACTCATTGGTGAGCACCTTGCCTGCGCTGATATGTCGAAAAGATGGACGTCTCATATTTTCCCTATTTTTTCTTCGACCTCTGTGCCCTGGCAGCCGGCATCAAGGAAGGTCTATATGACGTCGAGGCCCTCGCCTCATACCTGCTCTACCGCCTGAACGTCCTGGACCCCGTATGTGAGTCACCACCATATATTCGCAGCCTTCTAGCGGTCCATAACTGATGCCACTCCGCCCTCACGCGCAGCTCCCGCCTACCTGCGCATCCTCCCGCCCGGCACGCCGCCACTCGTCGACGTCCTCGAGTTCCTCGACACCCTCGCCCGGCGCCTCTGCATGCTCAAGCGCGGCGGCGTCCCCGACCAGGCTCGCGCCGCTGTGTGGTTCATCGGGTGGTGGCGCGAGGAGGGTGGACTCCTCTCCGCATCCGCCCCGCTACTTGCCGCTTCCCCTTCTCCCACTCTGGACCCCCCCTCGCAGCGCCGCGGCTGGGGCTTCGACGTCGAGTGGACCGTCAACGCGGACGAGGCTCGCCAGTACGACACGGCGGTCATCCAGCGCAAGATGGAAGAGTGCATCGACGCGTTTGAGCGTGCGGCGCTCGAGGAAGAGCGCGAGGGCGGTGGCGTGAGCTCCACGCAGGAGAAGAAGCGGATAAAGGAGCAGACGATTGCAAAACGCGTGGCAAAAACCCGGGCGAGGCTTACGGCGAAGCGCGGCGGCAGGTAGGACCCGGGTGTGGTTCTGGTATTGGTGGCTCGGTTTCGTTCACCGTCCAGCATACTGAGCATAGGGCGCCTGCACCCGGAATTTTCCTTGGCATGGTTCTATCTGTTGGCCCTGGCGCTTGTATCTTTAGGTGAGTATAGAATATTACGACGAGCGCCTGCGCTGGGCTGCACAACTACGTCATCGTCGTGGCTAGAACTGAGGATGTTTTCCAGATATCCCTCGTCCGCTCTTGTGCTTAAAGAGAGTCATTGCAGTGCATTATCCCTACCCTCCAATGTTTACCCCCGTACTCACTGAAATGCATCTTCCGTTCGGCGTCACCTGTTCGTGTCTTGCGCTGATGCTCTCAGCGGCTTTACCACCGCTCTAGCATCGGTTGTCGCTGTCTCTGCGTCTCCTTCTCACGTTCTGCCCTCGTAAACGTTGGGGTGGATGTCCGTAAGGGGAATACATCTGTCACATGGATCTTTAGACGACCTCTCTCTCTGGACGATCCATCATGGGCACTTATCCCTCAGGCGGAGCGTACGATGCCCCCCTTTGAATATCAGAGGACACGATTACTCGCGCCCGCATTTCGCGCGTCTGGACTGCTACACTGCCCTGCTACCGACGTTGGGAGCAAGTTGATGTACGATTGGTTCGTTTGGTGACTTTTGTCATATTCTGCGTGCGCCTCCGTTGGGTTGATTTATCATGTAGCGCCAGTTGTCGGAGTCAACCAACCCATTCCACGGGCATTGGCGCCACTGATTTGTCGGTGATTCAGCATTCGAGCTGAATCTTCTCGTCTGCTCGGTACTTGTCATTGAAACCCAGAAATGGCGAATATGCATCGTACCGCTGTGTGAGAGATTCGTTTGCTCGTACATTCTAGCCCGGGTCGCTCTTCGTCGACACGAATCGATATGATCACAGTTCGCCCGAGAACCCCGCGGTGTTTAGTGTGTCAGATCTCAAGGTCTTTACGGGTAACTGCTAAAAGTTTCTCTTCACCACTATTGTGAGAGCGATTGGAATCCCCCTCCACGACACTCCAGGGCAATTGAGACGCTGTGGCGGCTGGAGTTATGGTATGATCTCGTAACCCAGTCATGAGGACCTGCGCCACGACGGCGCTGCGAGATATCTTACGCGTTGGTGACCAAAGTGTCTCACATGCGCGTGCTACTACTCAGCCACTACGCCCTGATCATCGTACGCAAGGACTGGCTGTCATGCTCTCCAGTGGATACCTGTCATAGCGCGCGCTATTTTCGCCCAATCCAGCAACGCGATTTGACAACGAGCCTTTCGGCTGTAATGCCGTTCTACTGCTGCAGTGACTAGCCGTGGCATCCGTCAGGACAGTCGTCTCAGTCTCCGTGCAAGTTTTGTCCCGCGTTGAGGCAAATCTCGCCCTTTTCTGGTATGTTCATGCCCCTGCATTCATTGGTTATGTAGCATACACACCGGAAGCAGTTTATGGTGTGCCGGGAAACCGTCGTGTCTGTTAAAGCAGAGAAACGTATATCATAAAACTGTGCTACTCCGGAACAATTGTAGTCGATAAACAGATGGAAGAATACAGAGGACAAGGCAGAGAATAACGACACCATCTCGGTAACTCAAAAAAAACCAGTGGGCAAGTGCAAACAGCAAATTGATGAATAACCACAACGAAAGCGAGGACAGAGAAGAGGAATAGCACACCTGACGAAGATAGTGTTGAAAGCGATGCAGATAGCTACGAGAACAGGACAGCACAGACCGTAAGAGTACACTAACGATATGCGATTCGCGGGAGGGGGAAAACAAGAGCGAGCGTCCGGCGGTAGTGAGAACAACAACTTCCAATAGTAAAACCGCGGACATATATCGAGTCAACTGCAAGGGCGAGAGTGTGTGTGCGCATGAGGAATAGGTGGACGGAAAAGGCCTGGACGGCGATGGCGAGCGCAACAGCCAAGGGAAAGCCATGGACTGAATTTTCAGAACTGCGCGAGACGAGGGAATATGAGCTGCAAACGATCCAAGGATTACAGGATTAAAAACGGTACACACTACTCGGCAGCGAGTGAACTAATAGTGCACGCTGAGTCGAAGGATCTGAGAGTGCAGACGGCAAGCAAATGATGATATGCACAAAGGCAAGAATGCATCGTGGCAGCGGACTGTGATGAAGACGGTAAGGGGATGCAAACAGTAAGGTTACAGACAACGAGAGGATCTCGAGCGAAAACTAGTTTAGAACCTCAGCTTCGGTAGCGGTAGTATCTGGTTTCAATACTATATTCGGTGAGCTGAATACTACTCACAAGAGAAAGATATACTTGCAGGTATGTGCATTGGCGAGGAAGCCGCGGCATAGTTGTGATGATGGAGCCAACATCCTTCAAGCCGAAATGTGATATCTGACTCGCTGGCGAGAGAAGAACATACACAAGATGGATAATCCCGCGAGTGTCCCAGAACTTGCCAACTTGGCGGTAAGTATCACCTGACATTATGATCAGGGAGAGAGCTCTACGATTATATCCTGAGGGCGTGGTTCCTGAGGATCCCAAACTGGGGCTGTAAACTGCTCTTTGATACTCTCCACAATTCCAACAGGACAATGTCGCCGAAGTCGGGAACCGAGGCCAAGCCCCACTGCGGATTAATCAACAACATTGAGCCGTTGTCCTGGTCAGCTCTATCTATCAGGTGGCAGGCAGGGATTGAGAACTGATTGCAGCCTCTGACCTTCATAAACACCAGCATCTCTTCGCCGATCACCTGAACAATTTCTCCCACGGAGTACGCTTTCCCGTTCGGATGTATCACATTTCTCTGCGGATTGTATTTGACATATCCGTCATTGGACAAGGATGCCGGCCACTAACAGACAGTGTCAGCGCTACCGCAAGAAGTCAAGGTAGGATCGTACCCTGAACTTGATAGTCATTTTAACATTTGATGCCCTCCGTCCGCAACTCACGTCCTTGTAAGACAAGGCGTCATGGTTCCGTCGTTCTAATCCTTCGTAACGACCTTCTACGATATCCTTCAAGCGAACAAACTCTTTACCATTCGCAGAGAACTTCGATACAATGTATGGGTGAAATACTTGGCCATATTGGCGAGGCTCTTGTCCAATGATTATCAACTGCCCAAATGGAAGTTAAACTTGCGTCGTGAAGTGATATGGTGTGGACAGGGTATACCTCGGTACGTCTGAGCGCGTTTGCCAGAGATGAAGTTGGAGAAATGGAACACGGTACCGGATGTTCATGTTCAGTGGTTCCATGAATCTGCATCCAAAACCTGTTCTGTTGTCTTTGATGTTCCCGATAAGCGGCCTAAATCTCACGAGGGAGTAGTCATCTCTCGGAAAACTCGAATTCGACAACATACCTCAGTACCTGGACCTTCAAGTGCGTTCGATATTTCGGCGGGACAGAAACGAATAAGACATGTCTAGGAAGACTCACCAGCGGAGTAAACTTCGTCTGCGGGAGAACTAAAGTTGGCGACATCCTCCATGGTTTATGCACGAGTATTGCAGGCTGAAGGGTTAGAGAAAGATCTTTCCAGTTCCTGTTCAATCTCCAGCAACACATGTAGTATCCAGAGGTACGCAGAGGCCTGTCAGGCATAGTGATGGGTTAAACACTGTTTTATGAGAACCGCAGAGCGCTTGGATAATTTGAGTGTTTTCAGTAATTGGAGATCTCGAAGAACCACGACGCAACCCTCGCGGCCAGAGTCTGGACTCAAAATCAGCTTTATGAGGCACGTTGTACTAATTAGGTATGGTCTACCAAAGACTGATGGGATGACTGATGGGATTGCGTTGATGTCCTCATTGCATCCTTCCCGCGGATGGTGGGTGCAGAGTGAACCATGCGAGTTGGTGTTCGGCATGTTAGTAGACGCTACCAGTGTAGCCGATCGCAGCCTATGTAACAACGTCCACTTCACACTACCGAGACATTGATGCGGCATAAGCCCGTCCCCTTTTAAGAATTTCAGTGCCGTCACCTTGCAGCAGATACACTGCATGTGAACCTGAATTCAACCAAACGTTGAAAACGTGCATGAGATACTGTCAAGCTCTGGATATTCAATGAGGAATATCCGCAACCTTCTGACAAACAGAACGGAAACGGCAGTTCCAAAAAAAAATTCTCACCACCCTGAACTACCACAAATCCTGGAGCGCAGTTACTCGACAAGGACTATAGCAAATCGATGTCACCGAGAAAGTGCTTTGACCCCACGAATCAGGACGGCTCCACGTACGGTAGAATGCGTTTTACCATGGCAGCGCTCCACGGATTACATCGTAGGAACTCCTGCGGGTCCGGATCGAACATACCCGAGTTCCCAATATCCGAAGGACACCGCCCCACGGTGGTACTGGCAGCAAAAGAAGCGACATTGGAAATAGGAGCCACATAGAAGGGAAGGGTAGCTTAGCCAATGGCGTGGGCAGCCCACGAAGTACGATCCCATATGCATACTCCAGCGGTGGGTGACCCAGGCTACCCCCAAGCGGCTCCTGCACGTCTTCGAATGCTGCTCGGAGACTTTTCCAGCCGATAAGTGAACCATTCAACTACTTGTGAGCTGAGAAACGATATAAATACGTGCAGCTCACAGCGAATCAGTTTCGGGGAGGGCGCGTCCCCCACCAGCTAATCTGCTCGAGCTCCCCACTTAGTAATCCCACGGAGACCACCGCTGCCACTTTGAGCCACCATGTCGCGCCAGGGCCTCGGAAAATGGGCTAGGAACGTTGAACCCTTGACGTGGAACTTGTCAATTGAGCGCTTAAACAGCATCTCCGTGCACTCCTAGAGTGTATGCAGTCACAGGCCCGACACCCATACTCGAAAAGATGAGAGTTAGGGTCGAACCCCGTCCGTCTGCCTGGACAAAAAATAAGGCTTCACAGGTATTTTTCTGGCATTTGTCCCGACTAAAGAAGGGTTGACAGCTGATTTTAGGCCCAGATATGTCCGGATGAGACTAAGGGTTCTTAGCCGAGGTCCTGCCGCCGCTCTCAACTCCGCATTAATGTCCCTGCGTGACAGAAGAAGATGCGAAGGTTCCACCCTTCAAATTTCAAAGCTTCAGGAGCCACGGGTCGCATGGGCACGATTTTTTATGAGGATACGAACCTTGCTGCTGTCACCAATTTGGCCTAGTCAGTGCTCCGGGGGGCCAATTGCAAGTCAGATGCGTCCTACGCTGGTCCGACTCGTCTTGGCTCACCTGAGCATAATTCTCGGCTGCTTGATATCTGCTGTCTTGAGTACTGGTGCCAGCTCTGTTTGACGTGGCCTACAATGTTTACAAGACTTCCGAATTGCACGCCGCTTTGTTCGTCAGCTCGCTCCTGTGGGTAATGCGTGTTTCTGCCTATGTTTGGTGCGTCAGGTTCCTAAGCAGCTCAGAGTCATTGCGGTTGATCCGCTAGGGGACGGTCGGACCTGGGACTGCAGTGCTGTGGCATCGCGGCGCTGTCGCGCGGTTCAGTGGGAGACTCACCTACGGCGGCGTCGACTCCCCGTGCTGGTGGTCCCAGGTCTCGCCCAGCTTCCTAATATGAAGTTACTAATTACACATAGCAGTTTGTCTTCTATACTACCATTTGTAGTTCTTCTCCACACATCCATACCCACTTCGCACTCCCGTCGCCGCCTGTCCACTCGTCGACAATACCCGGCGCTCCGTTACGACTGCGGTGCGCATTCAGAGCGCGCCGGTCTGATGGCAGGGCGGACAATTTATAGAGGAAGTCATACTTAATTTGCGAAGGCTTGCCGGTGCACCCGATATTGATCTCATGCATGTCTACATCACCGGAGAATACTGCACTGTCTTGTGCGGAAAATGGTCGCGCTTGAAACCATTGCGTAGTGTGGGCAGCTGACATTCATTTCACCAATCCTCCGTTCAAATAATTGCAGCTACGTGTTCATCGCTCCAGACGACGAGCGTAACACGACTGCTCCGCGGCGGGACTATGATCAGGCATGAGAAATGGCCCGCTCACATACGTGTCCTACCGCGACAACCGTAGGAAGGTACTTGCTCGGGCGTACGGAGAGCAAGGATCTGCCAATGAGGTGCATTTGATTTGATGCCCGACCCATACGAGCCTTTTATCTAGTGGTACGCATGGTGCAAACCTCAGCGACTCTGCGGCGTCCATTATTCTAACCCAGCGATAACTTGTCCACTACGCACAAACAGCTGCCTTCATGTACAGTCAACCGGGGGGTTCACTGAATGTGGACTCCATAAGCCAGCTTCACGTGTTCACAGGCTCCTTCCCCTTCAAGTATTTGCCTGCAGGTCGCTATTAGTCGACCTGCGTTTTTCTCTGGGCTAAGAAGACATCCTTAGGTTACCGCCATTGACATTACATCTAGGCAGCCTGTCTGTATGGATATCCTGAGGCACGACCGAGGTTTGACGCCTTTTCGCAATTGGCCTCTACCTATGCAATACTAATTCCACCCTCACGTCATTCGTGTTCCATCGATCGTCTGCTCGTATATTGAAATCTTCGTTTACCTCTCGCCGCTCAGGGTTATGGCCCGGCACGTATCTCTGTTGATCCGCATTTTCTCAGCGCGTTTAGCTTCATGTAACAAAGAATATTCAGTCCGGTCGGGTTGTCCTCGAGCCTGGGTTATAAGTGTGTTCAAGTTGTGTATGGGTGCATATCTTCCTGAAAGTTCAAAACCCTTAGGCAGTGCCAATTGCTTCCATTTGCTTCACTACCATCGAGCTATCCTGTTGTGATATAAAAACAATCTAAGGTCAAAATGAAATTCCCATTAGCCGACTCGAACGACTGACCTCGTCATAACATTCCTATACTAGTGACGCGCTCTACCAACTGAGCTAAACGGGATCCAGAAGATCTCTGGATGCAAATATTATCAACCGTGTAAAGGATGCTGGAGATGCTTCTTTTTTCGCTCAGGACGATCAGCACCAGAATTGGGCCTCCATGCACTCCTTCTTTCAGCCCGAGTCCAGGGCCGATTCAGATCCCTTCCATGCCATCCCGTCTGCCCCCGCCCCTCCACAACCCACAATGAACTTTCAACAGTCGAACATGCAAGTCAGCATGGACGTCCTAGAGAGCCTCATGAACATGCAGGACGGCTCCGGGCAGGCTGCCCTCGCTCAGCAAGCCCAGACGACCCCGCAGGCGCTTCTGGAGCAGCAGATGCGGCTGAACCAGCTCCAACAGTTGCAGCAACTACAGAATCAGATTTTCCAGCAGCAGGTGAGTCAGGTACCCTGCCCCGCCCTGTGCTGAGTTGCCCCGGGATGGAGACGAACGGTTCTTCTTTCACGTTGTGTATATGCGCTTGAGAAGGACGCGGACTTAGCTGCGTTCGCGTTGGATGCGGTTATCCTGTGGAGACTGACAGGTTCTGCGCAGATAGAGCTTTTGAGCGGACAGAGCTCCTTCTCAGGACTATCCACACCGGTAGACCAGCAGAGGGATCCACAACAGTACGGGCTGCCGACCCCAGGTGTGTTGCACCTCATTGTCTATCTCCTTTCCCTCGACTGACTCCCGGCGCTCCGCGCAGCGTCATCGACCGAGCTCCGCGCACAACAAAGCACTGACTTCGTCTCCCCCATGATCCTGCACTCCAGCGCGTCAGCGATGGGCGGCATGCAGCAGCAGGGCCCGCAGGGGCTCCCGGACTACGTTACCCAGCACATCATCCCGCCAACGCCGCACTCTGCACCCGCGAACCTCGTTTTTCAGACGAACAACCCGTACCCACTCCCCTCACCCGCAGAGCTCGACTTCGGCGACATCTCTCCACTCACCAGTCCCTGGCTCGGCGCCTACACCAATGCCTCGCCCAGTACCCGCGGCCCCTCCGCACCTCCCACACGCAAGCGCGTGAACGGCTCGTCCAGCGGCGAGGAATCCGCCGCGACGTCCACCGCGCGCCCGCCCCGCAAGCGGCAGTCACCCACCGTGCGCACGGACCTCAAGACGCCGGCGCAAGCTGGTGGCGCGTCGAGGAAAGGAAGCCTTCGCGGGTCGCGCTCCGCGAACTCGACACCGCTCTTCCCCGCCGTCGCGCGCCCCGCACGCAACGGTGGCGGTGGAGCGCCCAACCCCGGACAGATTCCCGCGGACACGCCCTCGCCGATAGAAATACATATGCCGCCGCCCGCGCACCCACCTCCAGCAGCGCCTACGGGCCTCCTGGGTCCCTCGACGTCTGCGGACTCCGGAACGTCGCCGACGTCGTCCGGGATGAGCACGCCAACGTCGGCATTGGCGCCACCCGGGCATATTGCGCCTGTGACCCCTGCCAGTATCATGAACCTCGGCAGACTAGGCATCAATACGTCTACGTCCTCGTCGCATGCAAGCTCGTCGAGGCCCAAGGAAGGCAAGGGTAAATCCTCCGAGAAGCGCGGTGCCGCCGCCCAGCCCGCGACAGTTCCCAAGATGGCAAATTCGTCCACCTCGATCATCAGCCCGAGCTTGAAGCCAATACGGCCAGGTCAGTCCCCCAAAATTTCTGCCGTTATATGCCACTCATAACGCTTTTTTTTTTCCCAGCGGGAAATATGGCACTAAATCCGCCGTCGTCGACCTCTTTCGCCCAGCCCGTGATGCAAGTCCGCAAGTCCTCACATAAAGCAGCCGAGCAAAAACGGCGCGACTCCCTCAAGACGTCGTTCGATGACCTGCGTGGGCTGCTTCCGCCGATCCCATTGCCCTCAGAAGAGGGGTACCCCGACGAGCCCATCCTCCCCGGGGCAATGCCACCGCGGGGCCCGCCGAAGGGAAATGTCGAGGGTCCGAACAGAGGCGTGAGCAAGCTGCAGTTGCTGCGGTGCGGGAACGAGTACCTCAAGCTGCTCAAGGGCCGTATCGAGCGGCGGGACGATGAGATCTACCTGCTCCGCCAGGAGGTCGCGCGTCTGCGCCTCGCGGCTCCCGCAGACGTAGCCGGGGAGAGTTTGGACCTCGAGAAGGACCTGGATGCCGTCGAGAGCTCTGGTGCTGGGTTGTTCGTGCGCGCGGGGGTGTCGCCTGACGCGGACGAGGCGGACGAGGAGTAGGCGGTGCGGGTGCGGGCAAGAATGCGAATGCGAATGTGAATGCTGCGGGCAACGTTCAGATTTTTTTTCTCGTGGTCGGTGCGGTTGGTTGATGATATCCGGGTGATCTAGAGAGATAGTAGAGCATCAAGGGGGAACGGGCGTTGTGGACATTCGAGAAGAACGCAAAATTGCATGTACACTACGACCCGGAGACGAACAAGTGTGCGCTACCTACCTACCTTATACTACCTGCCGCGAGTACTCAGTGCAGTAGCGTCGTGCCAAGCTGATCTAGATGGGAGATGGCGATCTCGCGTGCAATTCCGCAAGTTCGGTTTTCCCGCACTTATCAGCCGCCTGGTGCCTGCGCCGACAACATTTATTTACGAGCGTTCCCTTTTGTTCGCCAGCAGCACACCTCTGACCACGCCGTCGCCGAGAGACATTTGCACAGCACCATGTCGCAACCGTTTGCCCTGCGGAGTCCCCTGTGAGTCGGTCCAGTCCTCAGGCGACAGACGGAGACAGCTCATCGTCTCCCGAACTGCAACTCTCCGTGTCTAAGTTCTGTGGTGTTTCTGCTGCACATTGCGCTCGATGTCCCCATGGCCGTGCAGGGCCTCCTGTCGCCAGCGAGCCTGCCCTTTCTCCAGCTGAACAACACCACACTCGTGTTCATTAAGGCCAGTCTCACCCGCCCTCGATTACCGCCATGCTGACATCTCCGACAGCTGTATGCCGCGCTCGTCGCAGGCATCTGCGTCGCGGCTCTGCTTTGCTACCCTCTCCCAGGTGCGAAGCCTTCCTGTCCAGAGCGGATGACCAAGTGCTGAATCGCATGACGTGCGGCACAGACTTCCTCCCCGGCAAGCGCGCGTTCGCGATGGCGCTCTGTATCTACCACGTCACCTGCTCGACTATCCTCTTCAACGCGCCGCGCATCGTCCCGATGTCGTTCGGCGCGCTCGCTGAGTCGTACGTGTCCCTTCTCCGTGTGCGTGTGTATCGCTCACTCACCGGCGCGCAGGTACAAGGTCACGCCGGAAATCGTGTGGGGCATCCTGCACGGCTGCGTCGGCCTCGCGATGGCCGTGTGGTGGCAGGCGACGGTGCACTACGCGCAGCTTGCTGCTGCACGCAAGACGCAGTAGTGCGCGCGTGGGCATGTGTGGGCCGCGGTGGGTGCTCGCTCGCGTGTCACGGTGTTGGGTGTACTCTCGGGTGTGCTGGCTGTGCTTGCGTGTGTGTGCGCGCGCGTTGTACTGGAAGGAAGCAGATCTTTGGAGTGCTGTCGACGTGGAATTTATAGAAATCTAACTGCTTGTTTATCTGCCAGCTGTCTTCCCCGTCGTGCAAGCTCGCTCACGAGAAGATCGAACCCTCCATTTTCTATTACAGCCCTATCAACGTTGTAGCAACAGTCTACCCTAACCTAAACGCCTGCGCGAGACGTACGTATATACAATCTCTGATCCATCTATCAGATGCAAAGCCCAACCTCGTGCAACAAGCATGCAGCCAAGGCACTCTAATCCGACATACAATGCGAGAAATCTATACAACAAACACCAGATAGCGTGAAAACCCGTAGTAGCCTGCAGCGGCCACATGTTCAATCGAACCGGCGCACCCTCGGCACGATCGCCCAGATGACGATCATAGTCGACATCATCGACACGATCCTAAAGAAGAAAAAACCATCCGACCCAGATCAGCCTCCATACATGAACAAACCACAAATCACAGCAGGGAGGGTGTACGCACAGCGGCTGCAGCGACCCGATCCCGAACTTGGACGCGAGGAGGCCCGTCACGAATGGCAGGACGGCGGAGCCCGCCTGGCCGAAGCCCGCGATGTAGCCCATGCACCCCGTGAGCAGCCACTTGGGCAGGATCGCGGTGGAGTGGTTCATCAGGATCGGGTACATGGGCCCGAGCAGCAGCCCGATGAAGGAGACCGCCACCGCGTTCTCGATGAGCGACGGCACGACCCAGACCGTCACTTCCAGACTGTTTGAGGTATCAAGGGGAGTGTGGGTGGTAAAGTTAGTAAAAGTTAGTACGGGAGGAGGATTCCCGGGGTGCGGAGGCACTTACATGATGGCTATGATGCCGTAGAAGAACATGATGCGGCGTTCGCCGACCTGCGGGAACGGATATGAGGAGAGGAAGACGGGGAAACAAGATGAAGTCCTGACCTTGCGGTTGAGCCACATCAGAAAGATTCGGCCAAGCATGAGGCCTTCGAATAGGTCTCGATATTCATTAATAACAGGCGGTTATCACGAAAATACGCACCTCCGAAGAAGCCGGACGAGATGTAGCCGGCGGTCGCATTGCCCCCGCGCTTTTGTTCAATGAACGTGACGATCCATCCTGCAATCACGTCCGTTGATCTCGCGCAAGAAAAGTGAACGAGGCTCGTGCACTCACCTCCGAGCGACACCTCAACGCCGACATAGATCAAAGAGAATATAGATAGGAAATGCACCTCCTTGATGCCCAGTATCTGACGGTACTTGTTGTCCCTCTCGGGATGGGTTTCGCCAGCGGCTTGCCCCGCTTCAGCCAAGATATCTGGCGACAACAACTCTGTAGTGTCGGCGAGGGTCAGCACTGAAGAACGTACCATCTTGCTTCTTCAAGCGGAACACTGCAAGGAGGACGAGCGTATTCGTGATACCGATGCCGGCGGAGATCACATAGTGATACGACCAATGCCTAGACGTCGCAAAATGCGTCGCCACCAAGGGCGCGACGAACGCGCCCAGGCCTGGAAAGCGACCCCGAGTGAGCTCCCACGACCAAAGACGCCCACCGCGACAGACGACACACCGTACGACCCGTGCAGTAACCCGAATTTGATCCTCGCATGTTCCTTCAGGCTCCCGACGAATCCATTGGCTTGCGCATTCTGCAGCGAGATACCAAACCCGGAGAAGCAGAACGCCAGACACATAACGGGGAACCGGCTCCCCGGGGCCATCAGCGCGTACCCGACCAGCTGGGAGAAGGCGCCTGGACTCGCAGGTGAACAATGCTGATGTCGATCAACAGTATTGCTGACCTATCACCAACACCTTGCAAGGAATTCAGCGTCGTGAAATGTGTGGAATATCGGATAAATTTCTCACCTTTCCTAAGCCGAATCGGTCGTTGAGGTAGACGTTGACCATAGCGCCGCTCAGGAAGCCCTGCGAGAAACATTTTGACATCATTCACCTTACATTCTCCGTCGGGACTTACGACTGTATTAAAAACGAACAGTAATGATACAATGGCAAAGCCAATCTATGCCCATTTGATTCGTACTTTCAGCACATGCCAGGACATAATGTTACTCACGCCGTAATGACGCTGAATTGTAGGCAGAAGAGGCCCAGTGGTACCGTCATTCCAGCCCTCAAGGAAAAAAGCATAACACAAAGCAGCGAATTGGATCCGGCTGTTGCGCCGATAAATCGCTTTCTGCCCCGCAGAAACGGTAGACGCAGCCAAGTTGACCTCGTCTGAAATATGCCACGAAGCACCAGCAGAAGCGGGCACGCTGCCCGCGGCCGTCTCAACGTCACCGATGGATATCTCCGACTTCGAAGAGATGCCTGGTGCACGGACTCCACTCGATTGCCCATATAGGGGCTCCTCCGTGGTCTTGGAAAGAACAGGTAATTCGATGAACTCTGGCTTGAAAGCCGTCGGAGAATCTGAAGGTCGGGTCCGAGGAAGCTCAGATCGTCTCCTGATCCGCTCGCTCGTAGGAGGGATTGCAGAAAGATCCACCGATCCTCTGGGTAATTCTTCCACGTCCAGAGCAGATCCTGGGGCCTGCAGGTGGGACTGAATGTCCGAGAAACTGACGAAGTCCCCGAGGCTGCGACCGTCGTCAGAAATATGCGCGGGAGGTGGACCAGCGATTGGAAGCGACATCGCAGACGAGTTAGAGGAGAGGGGTGGACTTGGTCGTTTTATAGAAATATTTTTTGCCTCCAGACCTTCCACGAGTCTTTTTCAACGTAATACGGTTAAGTCAACCTGTGACTGCGGGGTAGTCGGTCCGACACAGATTCGCACTCTGCTGACATGGATATCCGACATTCGGACACGGGAGAGAGACGCATGAGATGGGTCACGAAGGTCATTCGAGAAGATTTCAGCCCTCAGCTATCCTTCTTCTAACGTTGTTGACCAAATGGGAGCGAGACCTGATCGGCGCGGGTCGACCAGCCAAAATTAGTATGGGCACGCTCCGAGACGAGGATATGAAAAGCCTAAGTTGTAAGTACAGGAAGACTGAAACTTCTCCACTCGTGGGCAGAGAAGCGTTCGCGCTTGGTCAAGAGACAAAGCTTGTGTAGAAAACAACATGGCATGCGGGCGCCGGGAGACTTGGCAGTATGATCACGTGGCTACTTGCTGAAGCTCAGGCTGTTGGCGCCCGTTGTACTTGTCTTCAGTGCGCCTCAGACATCAGGATCCGATACATGCAAGCCCATCCTCAGTATGTACGTCTCAGCGCGTACCATGGTCCCAAGCGGCAATTGCTAGGCAACCAGGCAGGCAGCGCGCCACCTGCGTGGCGCATAAACCAGCCCGCCACTGCCAAAAGACCGATCGGGTCTATGAACGCGGTGGAGAAAGGGAGCAAGATCTTGCTGAGCAGATTACCTTTGGACGTGGGAGAAAGTGAGGTAGAGGTGAGCCTATGCAACATCGAATGGGGCCCCCATGAAGCTCAAACGGAATCAGCTGCTCTTCACCAAGACGGTGGGACCAGTCAAGGACGTATTTCTCGTGTACAACTCCCAGGCGAAATCGAAAGGAATGGCAGTTGTGACATTCCAAAGGCCAGGCGATGCTGCTGTAGCTAGGCAGAAGTACAATGGGAAGATCGTCGACGGCAGTGAGTATGCGTTGCTTCTATTCATTCGGCACAGCGCGAGGACACTTGTCACGAATAATCTTTCACGACTGATAGAAAGGCCAATCAAGATTGAGGTCGTAATAGACGAAGACCAGCGACCTCAAGCTGCGCCTGCCAAACCGCAGGCTCCTTCTCTGTTACAGAGGTTGGGGGCAGTAGTGCCTCCACTGGCAAGGCCAGCGGCCGCGCCAATTTTGCGTTCACCAATGTGCGAGCTAGATATAATTCTTTCCTTCAGATATTCACATCTTCCCTGTTCATCAGCCAAAAACGTGGGCCACAGCAAGCCGCCACTCCCGCTGCAGCAGCTCCTCGCCGCCCCAACGCGAAGGAGAAGCTGCGTATCAAGAAAGGTCCGAAGCGGGTCAAGAAATCCGTTGCACAGTTAGACCAGGAGATGGACGAGTATCGAGCGGGAGGGGAAGTATGACATGATGCTGGAGATTCTGGCGTTCTACCATGATATCCTTCGGTTTGTTATTACTATGATGGGGTGACCTTGTATCCAACACTGCTCTGCGCCTGCTCTAATTACTCTTCTTCGAGTTCTATCGTATTGCACACTGTATCTCTATTCTGAACAGATAATTGTTCCCTTTCCCGCGGTGATCGAGCAGGTCATTGTGATAAGATAAGATCTCGAGGCACTCCGCATTGAGTCCGAGTCAGTACTGGTGCACTTTGCTTGTGCCGTCCCGTTTCACAGATTCTGGAAGATGGTCGCACCACTATACACGACAGACTCTGGCCTGCTCTTCCACGCCGGTAAGATCCTCGTCCTCACAGTAGGTCTTCCGGCGCGGGGCAAGACCCACATATCGCGAGCCTTGGAGCGCTACCTGCGGTGGACTGGTGTGAAGACCCAAGTCATTTCTCTGGGCGACTACCGGCGCAAGGTATTGGGGGGTGCGCAGAAGCTTCCGCCAGACTATTTCACTCTAGGTATGTGCTGCATCTTCAGCCGAATAAAGCTGATCACCTGAATCACAGAAGGGAAGAAGAGCCCCGAGACGGTCGCCCTGCGGAAGACTGTCTTGGACGGCTGTGAAAAGCTCGTCTGGGACTTCTTCAATGCAGGAGGTCAGGTGGTCATCTATGATGCCAACAATGGCAGTCGCGAGCGGCGTCAGTACATTGCCGAGAAGTTCAGCGAGGTGGGGATTCATGTTGTCATGCTAGGCAAGTGGCAGGACTCCCCATAATGTGCTGCATATTTACGCGATTCCTTACAGAGTCGATATGTGATGATGAAGAAATTATTCTCTCAAATATCCGCAGTGTCAAGATCTCTTCTCCTGATGTATGCCACTGTCACTTATTACCGTGCGGTGTGTTCGAGCTAACTGCATACAGTACCGTGGGTGGGATCCAGAAAAGGCTGTTGCTGACTACTACGGTCGCATACGAGAACATGAAATTCATTATGAACCCGTGGAAGAGACGACGTGGCCTTTCATTCGTATCATGAATGTAAGCATAATATGCTTGTATTTTCTGGATAAACGGTGAGATTTGAACATGACAGGTGGGTGAGAAGATTATGGTCAATGTGAGAAGTCTCTCGCGATATGCATGTTTGTGTCAGACTCTCACCACGTCTTCAGAATATTCGTGGTTACTTGCAGGTGAGTGCCTCCACATCAATACACCTGGATGCTTAATAAATTCTTACATCGATTCTACAGACGAGGATAGTCTTCTTCCTGATGAATATCCACAACAGATTTAGGACGATTTACTTCGCCCGGGTTTGTATCTCTTGATACCGTCGGTCAAATGACTTCTGACCGGCTCCATGCTTATCACCTGGCAGTCCGGACAGTCTCTCATAGAACACTCCTACAAAGCTGACTCTGACCTCTCCCCTGCCGGCTGGGAATATGCCGAACGCCTCAAAGAATTCGTGCTCGAGAGACGAGTCAAGTCTCTGGAGCAAAGGGGAATTGATCCTACAACCCGTCGGCTGGTCGTGCGTACTCGTGTCACACTCACGGATACCTGCGTAGCATCTCACCCCATCTAGATCTGGACCTCCACCCGCCGCCGCTCGCACCACACAGCATGGCCGTTTCTCAGTACCCCAGAACACGACTCATCCCCGCCAGCGAGGGTGAAGGTTGTCGAGCGGCCGCAGATGTCTGAGATCAACCCCGGTGTCTGGGATGGCCTGTCTCCCGACCAGGTGCGGCGATACTACCCCGACGAGTGGGAGCGGTTCGCCAACGATCCGTATGCCTACCGGGCTCCCCGTGCAGAGAGCTACCATGACCTCTGCGGTACGTCCAGCTATTTTTGTGATATATATGGTAATGCTGATAATCCGCGCAGTCCGACTAGAGCCCACCCTCATTGAGCTCGAGCGCGAGCGCGAGGACCTCCTCATTGTCGGGCACGCGTCCGTCATCCGCTGCATGCTGGCGTATCTCATCGGCCTCCCCGCCTCGGAAATCCCTGCCATAGAGGTCGCTCGCGGAGACCTGCTCGAGGTCGTTCCCACCTCGTATGGCGTGTATAGCCAGGCTTACCACTTCTGGGACGGCCCTGGCAGGAGTGGCACAAATGGGGTAGGCAAAGACGATCAGAACTTCTACGAAAACTACGCGGAAGACACGCAAGGGAAGAGAAGGCCGGAGATAGAGGAGGCTACGATCGCATGAATTCTATAGCTACGTTGCTCAAGCTGGTAGTTGTAAACCATACATACCAGTCGCTGATACCGGTCTATTATTCTTGTAGAGCATGAATGGAGGAATATTATCATACTGAGACCGGGAGGACGTCGTCGAGATCACCGTCCCTGTTCTTCTCGCCTTTCTCATCCGAAATTCGACGATCTAGGATGTCCGAATCAAGGTCGTTCATACCCTCGTCGGAGACATTTAGTTCTTCAAACGTTATGGCTGCGCCATGGGAAGGAAAACACCAATTAAGGCCCCAATACACCAGGGCGGAGACTCCGAAGCCAGTGAAGAAGGCCAGCTGATAAATCCGTGTCGCGGCCAGAGGGACGCTGCGTCCGGCTGTATACATCCCCAACGTCGGTCAGTTGCAGCAAACGCATAATGATAGCGCTAATCCGTACTGGCGCCGGCGAAGCCCACAACGTTGATCAAAATCCCTGAAATATATGCAGCATACGCACTGTAGGTTTCTTTAATTCCAAGAGGCGAGATCATCGTTCAGACTACTCACCGGAAGTTGACACCAAAGGTGTACCAATACCAGCCGTCTCGGCTCGTCCGGTACAGATCCTTGATGCGGTAGTGTCCTTTCCGGATCACATAGTAGTCCGTGATCTGAGCGCGTCAGAGGTTGGGACTCAGTCATCAGGATACTGGAAACCTCCCACCATGACACCGGCGATAGAACTCAGAAAGACAGAATATGCTGAAAGATAGTTCGTGAAGCTGTTGCTGCTCTTCAAGAGGTTCCACGGAAGCATGCACATTCCTACGATGGCTGCTATGTAACCACCACGACGTATGTTCTGGGAGAGATGGTCAGCGTGCATTAAATTATCGTTGTCAGCACAGAATTTACAATGAAACGAGGGAAGAGCGCTGTGAGATCACATCCGGCACTGATCGAGTTAGCCGAGATGTTTGTTCTTCAGGCGAAACGTTAACGTATTAAAGAAAACCGAGCAAGATCGCGACATACCCTAGCTGAAAGGGGCAGAGGGAGAATGAGGGTCAACTCGATACAAGATGTCATTCAACTTACTTGAGCGATTATGAAGGACGCGGAAATGAACCAGACCTATATATATCGAATTTGAAACCAATGAACTAATGCGCGTATTGATAGTCCTTACCCCGAATCTTGTGGCATGCGAGGGATGGTCATCCAAAAACATCCCAAGTAGATTTATCGGTGACCAGATCGCCTCCCCATAGATCGCCTGCGACGAGGAACTAACGATGATTCCCAGAAAGCTCACAATTGAGAATCCCAGGGGCACTGTGATTAACTGCGGGAGAATGGCGTCGGACGGACGTCTCGACCGGGATGCAAAATCCGGAGCATTACTACACGATGTTCCTGGGATGATTAGCGGGTGAACAAAGTAAAGAAGGATGACGCACGTCACGAGGGTGGCCATGTTACTAACGCACGACATGATACTTGTTACCATTGCCCATCCCAACACTGAACCACGCAGCTGAGATGGCTGGTGAACTATCGGGCCTACACCGCGAGCTTTGACAATGCACCAAATAAAGAAACTGATACCGGCTACAGGGACGATAATAGCTTTGAGGGTGAACAAATGGCGGCTGTTTCACACAGTGAGCTGAGCCGTCACACCAAAGCACCGTTATTCGACCTACACTTTGTGAATGGGAATCCAGATCGCCGGAAGCGAGATAAGCCAGAACAAGAAAAAGCACATAAAATCTCGTGTATTCGTTCCCGAAGATGCAGGCATTGAGTTGTCTGTGATCGAGTCTCAGCATCTTTGGGAGTAGATCGGGAGTAGGTACCGCCGTACGGATATTGTTGACGCTTGGCCACATTGTTCTCAACATGACCAAGACACAACTGCCACCTATGCTGGCTTGGACACCGTACCAGATGCTGCATGATGTACGTCCATAAGTATATCGTGGTGACAGCGTTGGAACTACGAACCAAGCCATGGCGCCTCGGTTGAATACACACCAGAGGCTGCCCCACATTCCAAAGCTTGTGCGAGCGACGACAGGGAATGTGACGTGGAAGATCGCTCCAGGACGGGCGTTCAGAACGATGAAGGGAGCAACCACCCCGTATCCAACCCATACGGCGATCCAAGCTTGCCACCAGGAGAGCCCTAGCTGCACCATTGAGGAGGCGATCATCCACCTGGTTGAGGTGGTCAGCATGACTGGAGGCGAGTTCAAGGTATCTCAACTACGTATTAATATTGAAACTGTCCGCTATCCAACTGCGGACAAGATATCAGTTCGTGTCCATCGTGCGAAGCCCGCAGACACACAATGCGACGAAGTTCCACGTTCCCCATGTTCGTTTCTCGGGGCCGACAGGGGAAAGATCGTCGTTCTGAGTAACAATCAACTAAGAATCTTTGTGCGATCGAGATGATACTCACTACCAACAATGATTGTGCATACGTCAGATCTTTGTGGTGTGAGACCTCCAACGCTCGCACAACGCGCGACACGAGCTGCGAGGCGAAGAGCATAGTCTCAGTCGGCGTCCCTGTGTGAAAGAAGAGAGACTCGGCAGACGGGGCTTATCAGTTTGTACTCCATCCTCGTCAACCAACCTCTATCGTCTTCCACGACTGACATGTCGGCGCCAACTTTCGGAGTTTCCCATGTGCTTCCAATACGGGCATGCAGTGATCCGGTCGAGGAGATAAGCATATACGCTGAGTTAGGCGTTCCATAGAGATACAAGGTACAATACAAAGACATCACCTCGACGTCTTATAATACACAACCGCCTACGAGATGAACACCTTCCGCAATGCCGCGAAGCTACACGTCTCGCCGGTCCGAGGACAGATCACCACACCATCATGCTTCGCTGCCATATCCTCCAAAGCCTGAGAATAGCATCGTCAGCGAGAAACAACCAAGTATGAGGAGTAAATCACAGACCTCCTTCGAATAGACGTGACCATGGCCTGGGAAAGCCATGGGCATGTTGTCCGCATCCATAATCTTACCAGTGAGACGGCACACTATTGTCGAATTGAGGTGGTGGCTATATGGCACCTCCTCTGCGAGTCGGCCGAGGTTAGGGTCGCACACCGGACAATCGATGTTCTTGGTTTCTGGGTCATAACATGCGGGAAGCCGTAGCGATGCGAGCCCAGCATACATCGCGAGGTGGAGAAGGGGTTCGGTCGGTAGCGTGCTGAGATTGTAGATGGCGAGGCGGAACGACTGGACGAGTGTCGCCCAGCGTGAAGGGTCGTATAGGCGCTACATCGCAGACGATTCAAGTGTTCAGTGTCTTCCTGTCAGGAAGGGAGCTATAAAAATATGTACCTTGTACGGACCACATGTTGTTGTGGGTGGGAAGCACAGGAGCGCAGATGCTTGATGGATTTGCGCTAGATGTGTGTCTTGCCATGGGAGAAGATACTTCCTCGAATATGTGATTGCTTCCATGTTCTTTCGTGCTCTCGCAAGCTCAATATATTCCTGCAGACGTAGGTCAAACTCCAGCGGGTTCTGAAGATACTGTGAGCACGATTTCCCGATGGTGGCTGAAATGTGGCTCACCTTGAGCTTCCTCAAGGCAGATTTGTTCTCGCTGCACCATGCTAGCGCTTCCGTACAGCTTCGACATCCCAATGCCTCTTCAATGCGTCGTATATCCGAAAACAGATCAATGTCTACGAGTCTCTGCGAAAGCGAAAATGCACCAGGCATCAGGATCAACTCCAATCACGGCTATTGCAGTATTTATGCAGTTGCAGTGAGCTTTACCTCGATACCCTTCTCCTCCGCGAGCATTCTGGCCGTCTTCTCCTTGCCATTACGCAATGCCCAGTCGATCAGCCAGCGGTCCAATCGTGTGTCGGCCCATCGTGCGAACTCGGGGCTGTTACCAGACTGCATATCTTCGACGGCTGCAAGGTGCTGCAACCGCTCCCGCATGACGTTCTGCGTAGGAGCTCCAGCGGAGCTTTGCAAATCTGACAGCTGCGGCAGGAAAAAATGACAGTAAGCAATGAGTTACAGAATGCAGATTTTAGTTGCAACGCACCTTGCGACCGAGGTTCTCCACCCTGGTGATCATACCTTCGACCGTCTTCAATGCGTCATCTGGTATATTGCTCCTTGCCTTTGCGCGCTTCGCCAAGTCCGCAGAAATGGTTTGCACTGCGCCCAGCTCCTTTTCTATGTTCTTCTGCGATGTCCGGAAGACTTTGCGGTAATTCTCGTACGGAACCTGCTCATAGACGTAATGAGATCACGTACCAGCGAGGTCGTGATCCTACATTACCCGTGCAAATGGTTGCTCAAAGAGCATGATACCATCGATATTCAACTTGTTGTTACTCATTTGTGCGCGACGACAACTAGTAAGCGTTAAACTCCAGTGGCAGAATGACTACGAGTTTACCACGCTAGCACACGATAACCCCAGTCTAGATATGTGACTTCAACCACTCAAAAGTTGGGTTCACAGATAGGTATAACTGACAGGACTTCAGTACGCCGTCTCGCAGTCGGAGAAGATGTGAGCGGAGGGAGCCTAAGCGCTAGGAGCTGCCGCCCGCGTGCTCGACAAACTCCGCTCCGAGTCCGAAGGCAACACAGAGATTTCTATCTGTCCTTACTTACACAGCTTAGCCGCACCGTCTTCAACTTGTGTCAGAACAGGCTCTGTGGTCTTATGGCTGCATTCCAGATCCCAGGAACATAACAGTTGTACTCTGTCGGACGGTTTGAGAGCCGAAGGACGAGCGCATCTGCAAATCGTGACCGTTGCCGTGCCGCAATGTGATGTGATAGTGCTGCCGACGGTGGTCATTGCAACGATGCATGAGGACGCAGTTGGCTTTGTGGAGTTGGTGAGTGTGGCCAACTGATGTTTTGACCACCACCCACGCCGACTGCTCAGCAGAGTCAATGCCAGGATACGGTACTTCGGTGTCGAGGATGCTGCCCACACCCAGCTCCGAATGTCGAGATTCAGCTGGGCGGCAGGAGGCGTTACGCGTCAGGCTTACGTGCTCGTACTGGAAGGCACGAACGCAACTCCGAACTTGTGTCTCAACTCCCGTCGTCAGTGGTGAAATGAAACTCCTGCGATGAATGGTGTATCACCTCTGCGCTTGGCAGCGCGAGGTGTCCGTGTCTGGCTCGCATCTGGGCTCCATTCTCCGTTTTTGCTCGCTTTCTAGCATTGTGATACCCACTGCACAAAGACGTCCACAGACACTCGAAGAGAGCCTATCGAACGCTTATCCCTCGGAGCGCTGACGGGGACACTCGCCAGTGCTAGGCAGGTGTACGCAGGCTTGAGCAAGCTTTTTGTATTCTGGCTAAATCGAGAGGACAAGCTACAAGAAGCGACTGTGCATTTTTTTGCGGCATGATCCATTCATGATCACTCCTGTGGTTCCCATAGGCACTCGTCGAGACGGAGACTTAATGACCCCGACGAATTCTGCCGATTCCACCGCGGATCAATCCTTCCTCTTTTAAATGGTTATCTGCCTGGATCATTTCTGGAGAGGCGGTACCAGCGACTTTATACGCGGCTTTTGCCCTTGTAAGTTGGGGATTGTTAACGGACGCCCTCGCCTCTGCCGTGATAGCTCTTGATGTTTGCAAGCTCGCAAGGTAAGTAAATAATCGTTCAGTAATGATAAGAGTTCAATCTATGTTCTGCATAGGAACCCGCTGGATCATCAAATAACTAGCTTGTGATTTTGGCCATTTGTTGCTGTGAAAATATGCTAGCCATGTGGTGTGCATCACTGTGGACCAACGTGTGAAAGCTCCGCAAGACCGATGATCTCTTCTCGAGAAGCCTGACGGGGATCTCCTTTGCTATGTCGCGTGGTAAGTAAAAACTTGCAGTGATGCGTACTGCATTTTCGGTAAGCACAGCGTTGTTATGCCATTCTTGAAGTTGAAACGAATGGTGAAACGCTTGCGCTACGCAGTGTCGGTACTCGTCACTGAACGTCTCAAGGGAAGATATATACAGTATTGAGAAGGTCACCCGTGCGAAGGTTGAGACCATAGTGGTCGAACAAGTCGTATATCGGGGACCGTACCACTTCCCGCGAAAGAGCGGTGCTCTTTCGAAGCCCACCCGATGTGATCTTGGTATCGAGATCACATGCATTGAATCGCCTTCACCGATGAGCGCAACGTGAGCGCAAATGAAGTCAACAACGCCAATGCACGGCTTCTAAATGGATCTCACCCAGGCAAAACAGACAGTAATCGGATCCTCAACGGGCCGTTAAGCAGTTCAAGACGCCCAGGTTGTTCAAACCGGGATCACGGATTTATGGAATGATCCAAGCCCTTGAGCTTCTCGCATCTGCGCCTTCAGGTTCCTCATGCAACTATAATCTTCAAGAGGTCTGCCACACTAGGTATCTACAGACAGTGAGTCATTGGAAGAAAATTTCCGCCGCACCGACAGGAAACCTGGGGCTGTGTTACCGGAATCCACTGCGATGCACTGCAATGGACGTAGGAATATTGTAATTTTGCAATAGCGAGTAAAGACTGCAGCTGCGTTTCATGCATGCAGAGCGATTCTCGACCGGATATCGAGGAAAAAGGTACTTAACTACTCGTAGTCTTGATTCCCAGGTCTTTCACGCGAGCGCTCGTAGGATTTGACGAAACTACTGAGCCACACCATTCTTCAGTAATACGACGTTGAAAAGGAAACTTACGATACTGATGGTCCTATCGACGGCTCCAAGCCGCCCGGTCCTGGTCGAGAGGCAAGCTCATGTGAGGGACGGAATGAGAGAAGTCATCGTCGACAGTAAGTCGCTGATGAATAACATCGACTATCACGGGTCTGTCGATCCTCCGTTCGTCGACGACGGGAAGAGCCAGCCTGAGAACAACGCGTCAGGAAGTTCGATGTCCTGCAGTCTCACGAAAATAGGTGAACGGACAGTTACTGTCAGTTTGTGATTGATGGTAGGCAACTTGCTGGAATGAACACATGGCATGGTGGGCGTTCGGACGACTCTGGACGAGTAGGTGCTTGGGCGCTGATAGACTCAGCCACGTGGCGCTGATTCTGTTCCTGAAGCGGTAATCTCAGATGAGATCTACCAGACCGATCCACAAACCTGAAACTGCTCTGGCTTCGGTCTCAACAGAAATCCTTACAACCTTGCTACCTTCATGCAAATGACTCAGTGAGCCCCAGTCTCCGCCCCGGAGCTGTTCATCCAAGCGGTGATCGCTTCACTTTATGCAAAGCGCACAGAACAACCATCTCTTCGTTTGAGCTCGTGGCGGGCGGGGACATGGTGCGTATAATAAGGAGCGAAGAGTCTCCCCAAGCTGCAGCAATCTCCTCCAACTCAAGTTCTCTTCCAAGTCTTCAATACCAGTCTCAGTCTCAGAAGTCAGCCCCAATGAACCCTTTCACTCAAGGCGGATGGTCGGCCGGCAACGCGGGCAGCTCTGCTTGGAACCCGAGCATGGGGCCTCCGCCCTCGGTCTTTGGGGCACTTCCTTCTCTGGGGACGACCACGGCGCCGCGTTCAATACAGCCCGACAGCGTCACGTTCCAGTTCACGAACTTCAACACGACCATCTTGAATTGCTCTGTCGTTGGACCCCAGTCGCGTGTTGCCTACCGCATCGTTACCGAGGCCACCACGCCATCTTGCACCATATTCAAAGACAACGAGAGCCGCAATGTTGCAATGGTGCAGTGGCAGCCCAATGCGACTGTCGAGATTCGGAATGCGGCGCCCAAGCAGCGCGTCCGTGACTGGCTCAGCCTGTCGTCGGATCAAAAGTGCGTCAAATAGTCCGTTGATAATGACGAGATCCATACCGATTGATATCTCCTTTGCACAGAAAACGTAAAATGCAGGTTGGAGGCATCCAGTACGCGTGGTCTCCCATAGACGGCTTTATTTGTGTATGTTCACGTCCGCTTGGACTTCTGCTGCATCTTCACACTCGCCCCCCAGATGTACAAATCCCAAGCGACCGCGCCCCGCGTCCTTGCCCGCATCGCTCGAGGTGCCAACACGGTTCTCCTTGAACTTACCCAAGAAGCTCTGCAGCTGGGCCTACTAGAGCCCGCCATCGTCGCAACTGTGATGTTCATCTGCGGCCACAACATTGATTAATCGTCCTGCATCATCTTGTATCGCTAGAAATTTGCTCTCGTGTCGCCCTCGCGCCCATTGTATCGATTATTATTTGCTGTATCCTATCCTCGTCACTGTAGCATATTTAGTTGTTCCCGGACTACCTCACCTCCCGCATATTATTATTTAACCTGTAGCAGACTAGATCCCCGTTATTAATCACACACCTGGACTATTCTCAAGGAATGGAAATATGACAGGCTGAAGACGAATCCCTTGTCTTGGCGACGTGGGATAGTAGTAGGATATATTCTCTAGGAAGATCTGGAAGAATGCCGTCTTGTCAGTTGCAACTGTTTGGACCAAGATCCGCAAGCCATCCGCAGCGAAAGCAACGACACATCCATGAACTGCCTCGTTTCAAATACCATCAAACGACAGATACAATTCAAGGACAATCGTCCCTTCCTATGTGAAGTCAAAAAGCTACATCGAGGCAGACCTCATAATTCAAAGTTGGATAAAAACGCAGATAAATGCCACACGCAAGAGAAAGTGGTACCCGATCCTTAGGATATAGACACGCACTAGAAGGCGGGGACAGAGACTCAAGCAACCTCGATCGACCTCACGAATCTCTCCAGCGCCGCCATCTGTATATTACGCTGTCGGATGCCCTCGCTCATGAACGGTGAGCGGATCTGCGACTGGTGCTGCGGGTCAAACTCCCATTAGCGCTAACTCGGATCCGCACTGTCGATTAAATCAGATACGCACAATTGCAAAGGGCTTGACCTCGTCCAGCCGGCGGGTAAGCTCTGCAGTCATCTCCGCAAGGGCGGCCTTGTGTCGGGTATCAGAGCGGTCACGCAGCACGTCCGGCAAGATGCCAATCAGCTTCGGCACGCTATGTGCGAGCTGCTCCAGCTCACTCGCATCAGCGGCGTCTGCAGCAGCTCCAGCATCTGCAAGGCGCGCACGGAGCACTGGTAGCCGCGTCATTGCGTGCGCATAATCCATAAAGGCCTATGGAGAGTAGGAACTAAGAACGAATGTGAAAACCAGAGCAGCGACGAGTTGACTAACCTTGCCACGCACATGCCAACCATCCACAGGGTGGCCGATAAACTTCTTGAAGATTTCATTCAGCAGTGCGAAATCCTGGTGGATCACGGCATCCGGCGCTAGCGCGAGCACCGCGAGCTCGTGAGCCGCGTTGTACAGGCCAGCTCCGATGTAGAGTTCGTAGGCGCCGAAGACGTCATTATTGTCGAGGGCGTACACAGCCTGGTGTCGGGGATCAGTGCTGGCATCAAAAAAGGGCACGCCAAGGGTACATTACCTTCGCTTCGTGCACCCAGGCCATGGGAAGCTTTAGGCTACCAACAAGCCCACGGGTCGTCCAGTCATCCAGCTTTCCAGCGCATCGACCAAGCAGTGCTTTCACCGCTCTCGCTCGCCTGAAAAGCGATGTAAAATATCAAGCCGGCGTTCTGAGTCACAGTTACATACCCTGCGGAACCTTCGATATGCAGAAGGACAAACACTGCTTCCTGAATCATGCCCATTTGCTCCAGCTGTAGAGCATAACTATTTGCCAACAGGTCAGCACTTGGGCTATGACCTTCAATGGGCTCGTCATCGTCGCCGACCATCTCTGTCAGAACATCGCCCCCGGGTAATCCACGATCGGCGAAGTCGCGCACCCGGAGACAGCGGGACATAACAATGTACAGATGCCACGCGAGGCGATAGTCGATTGGGGATGCGCTAAAAGAGAATGGAGTAAGGATGGTGGAGAGGGAGCACACCGGATCCGCGAATAGTCTTATCAGAGAGAACAGCGCATCTGGCGGATTCGCAGAAGACGGGAGCTTCCACGGCGATGAGCGGGATTCCTGCTGTGCCTCCTCCGCGTACCACGGAACGGGCGCAGACACGACCGAAGTCGGCTCCTTCCACGACGCGTCATACGATTGGAACGCGTCCGCAACCGAAGCTTCCAGGGGTTGACCAAACCAGAGGTGTAGACCAAATGCGCGTTTCCAGCTAAGGCCCTCGGCGAGGTTGATATCAGGGCACTGCTCGACGCCGGTCCCTTTCGAGCCCTCAAGCGTGTCAACGATGCCCGCCAGCAATGCATAGACCTTTCGTACATTTTCACTGATGTGCGCGTCAACGCGCTCATCGCGCCACAGCGCGAGCTGCGACAGAAGGTCGTCCCTGAACTCCTCATCTCCCGGATACTGCGCGATCAACGACGCAAGCTTCACATTCCCACCCTCCATCGCGACCTCGCATGCCCTGTCCACTTGATTGCCCGTGAGCAGCATGAACACGACGTGCGCCCAGTCCGCCCCCGGGTTGTCCCGCAGGTCCGCATCGATGGACGACGAGATCGCCTCCTGCAGCCATTGCGAGAGGGCCGCCTTGCGACGGATAGTAGAGATCCGCGGTCGCACATCCGCGGTAATGGAATCCGCCAGGCGCAGACTGATGGGGTCAAACAGAGCGTGTCCGAGGCGGAACAAACACGCCTCGAAGGAGCGTTCGGTCGATGGGAACCGCGTCATTAGCGACGCAAAGGACATTGTACGCCGGGGATTCGCGAACGGTACGCCGTCCGCATCCGCCTGTATTGCTGTATATTCCAGATGATGACTGAGGAGCCGTGAGGCAAGCTCCGAGGCCTCGGTAGCCGGGACAGAGAACAGTGGGACGACGGTTTTTTGTACGACGGATGTATTTGCTGTGCCTTTGCTGTGTAGACAATTATAAGAGACAACTCAGAGAGGGACGAGAAACTCACGGAGTACTGTTCGGCCCACAGAGCTGCCCGAGATGAACGAGAGTGCCCCCAGGGCCCCATCCTACCCGGAACGACCGCCCAAAAGCCAGACCAGCATCCGCCACAAGACCCTCGCTGCCACTCACCGCCGAAGAGGAGCCATCAACACGCGAGTACTTCCTCGTGGGGCGGAATGGAGTCGGCTCGACGTCATGCGCAAAGGATGCTCGCTGCGATCGTCAGAGGCACATTTCGCATTAGAATCAACCTGTCTAACACACCTGTCGCGAATCTGCCCGGAGACCCTCTCCCTCCGAATCTCTGCTGTGCTTCCGCTGCAAGGTGGCCGAAAGCAAGTGTTTGCGGCGCGCGAGGGTCTGCGCCTGCTGCCTCATCGCAGCCTCTTCCTCTGGTACCCGAAAGAGAGACGTCTGCATGACGTGCATTTTTTGCGCGTCCACACCGAGCTGCCGGGCCCAAGGAATGAGCGTCGGGTCGTTCATCGGCCCTCTGGGCATCGACTTGCGAGGCGGGTTCTTGGAAGGTGCTGCTTCACTATCGCTCATGTCCTCATCTTCAGATATAGACTGCAGTGCACGGCTGGACTTGCGCGACGCCACGGTCGGCATCAGTTCGTCTTCGTGTATGGAGCCTTCTGACTCCGAGCGAGCGTCCTCGTCCATGTCAGTGGGAGCCGGTGGCAGCTCGTCAGCGGATACGCTTGATACTGAAAGATGATCGTCCTCTTCATCCTCGCTGTCTGTGGTGTACGCTCTGAAGCGCATTATTTTGGAGGTAAGTGGTGTCGTATGGCTATCGGCGCATCAAACGGGCGGAATTCTCAGCGCGTTCTTGGTAGGCAAATCAGAAAAGTAGTTGGGCAAAACCGACAGATGGTGATTCCTACTGTTGTACAGGACAATCTCCAACAGCTGGTGAGATCCGGGAGGTTGGCTGCGTGGCGTATGAAGAAAAGTTATGTTTAGCGCCGGTGGGCCAAGGCGCCCGTGGTAAGGGCGTGACAGCACTCAAGAAGTCTCGTGATGGTCACGCGTTTTCTCAGTCACGCTACATTGGCTACCTCAACAATCATGGCAGATCATGTCTCTCCTCGCGTCAATTCTGCTCGCCTTGCAGATCACATTAAACAAACTGTCAGGTTGACATGCAAGACCCTCAGGGCATGATTCATTTCGTTCGCAGGGATATACACGATCTGATCTTTGAAGCAATAGTTCAAAGGTGACACCGCGATTGTGCAAGCGAGCGACGGCGGAGAGGTTGAGATCAAGCTGCTCAGGGTACGTTGCAGATGATTTGTTGCGCTCGTCGTTCACTCCATGTCCCAATACCAGGAAGCGAACATGACGAAACAGTACGTCGAGGTCATTGGCCAGGTCGTCGACGCGTCGACGATCAGGATGATGTCGTGCATCAACCTCGGCGATGAACTTGGTATGAGTTCTACATTTTCGGTCGTTGAATAGCATGTGATGTCGCGTCGCATCTAGATATGAACCTCGTCAACGACGTCGTCGAGGTGTGGCATGACCCGAAATTCTCGAGAATGTTCTGATCGTCCATACTTCCCAGCTTGCATCAGTACTGCACTTTATTTATCGTTACACATCGGCCTTCACATGTACGACACTGACAATTTTATCACGGTCTCCAATATCGTAACGAATGTGCATTACCAGACAGCTACAGCAAGTCCGCTCTAGAATATGCACGATCAAACGAACGAACCGTCGTACAGCTACAAAAAATTACACCAAGAAGTAGCTAAATAGTCGCACAACAGTGTCCAAATATGTTTAGCAACGCAAAGAGATCGATAGACTCAGTTGTTTGCAGTCGCGTTCGTAGCATTCCCGCCATAGAACACTAAGGGTCGGATGCATCGTCAGCGAGAAGTTGAGTGGAAAACAAGCCGTGACTTACAGTAGTTCGAAGTGTACTTGACGGAAATGTTCTGGCTCTGGCCGTAAGAACACTGCTCATGGAGCGTTCAGCAGGTTGAACTGCTCGAATTGGATAACGGTGAACTCACCGTTGAAGGAGGCTGGCCACCGATAGTGTTGAGCCGGAAGACCGTGCTCGCAATATCGCCCTCGACCCTGGTGACCTCGAGCCATGTAATATCTAGCGTGCTGTTATCCGGCGAGGGCAACGTGCCGTTGGCCTTCGCGATGACGAACGCGTTGGAGACGCCCTCAAAAAAGCCTGACGACGTAAAGTCCCACTTGGGGCTCAAGCCACTGCCGGTGACAGGGTTCGGCACGAAGTAGTGCTGCGCAAGCACCTCGGGCGGGTTCGCGAAATGCAGGATGTCGATGATGTCGAGGATTGTGAAGCCATCGTCGAGCGAGGTCCAGGCGTTGTAGAGCATGTTCGGGAGCGACTGGAAGAAGGACTCGTTTACGACGCAGGATACGTCGAACAACTCCGCCACCGCGCCGACATTTCTGTCAAAGGACTGCCGTCAATAACAAAAGGGGAAGTGTGAATAGGACTCACGTGAAAGTGTTGGACGAGGAACAGGTGTAATTTTGCACACCGAAGGCGAGGCCGATGTGGGATGGGCTCACGGCTGGCGGTATGACCAGTTGTGTCTGGTTCGAGGGAAGGCTAGGGATATACGACGAGATGTCACAACCGGCCGAGGGGGTCCCAAGGAAAGACGATGCTCCGCTGGCGAAGAGTGCGCGAGTGGCATGAGAGAGGCCGAGGGCGACCATTGTTATGGATGATTAATCGGGGGAAGGGAAGGTTGGCCGTAGAAGCAAAAAGCTGAGTATCGACGACGGTTATTCGCGCGGCTTATATGTGCGCGTCGGGATGGGCGCCGCAGACAATTGTGGTGAGACACGCCTCAAGGGGGCGCGGCGCATGTATTGTTAGGGACGCACCGCCATTCTTCTCCAAACAGCGAATACATAACCGCGCCTTATTCGACATCCCCTTTCGGCGAGGCGCCGATTGGTTCGGCTACATTCAGTGGCTACTAGCGCCAGCTGAAACTTCGGGCATTCGTGATTCACTCCACTATACTCGCCTTCAAAAAGACGTACGCTGCGCAGTGCCGCTCAACGACCTCAGACTGGACGAAATTGCCATATTCCACGATCAGCAGTTGACTTGCAATATACGCTGAAATTGAAGTGGGGAGTTGACACGCTCGTACTCAACGCTACTGACGCCATGCGGTTTGAACCGATGTCATGGATTCCATGGCAACGTCCTGGCCTATTTAGAACATGCGAAGGGCGTCTGAGAGTGTACGAATAGGGGCCGATGTGAAACAAGTACTTACTTACACTTTTTTAAGTACTTACTGTACTCAACTCGTCGTGCAATCCAGTCGAGCGTGAGGCGCGTAGCTCGCAGCGTTTGAGTGGAGCCATATTCAAATTTATGGCAGGCAAATGGCAGGCCAAATAGAGCCAAAGAAGCCGCGGTCTTCCCTCCCGCTGCCAGCCTGAGCTGAGCGCACAGTATTGTTTCGTCACACCTGTCAGCCAGTGCGAATTGCCTTCATATACTGTTGGTGTTTGGAGGACCAATCTGCATCTCAGATCGATGATCTGACGCTTCGGTATCCTGTTCTCTTCACAGATGTACTTGGACTCTGAAGTCTCTCCGACGTTGGCGCGGTAGAACTGACGGAATCTGGTGTAGGAGCAACTGGATCACTGATTGAAGATCAACACTCTTTCTAGTGAGTATCTCCAGTCTCAGTGTCGTAGCAGCGGAAAACTTAGTTTCCCTCCTGTATTGCGGTGTAGTATCCACAAATTCCGTAACATACCAGTCGCGATGCCCAGTGCGCCCGGCATCCTGCTTAAACTCTTCATCCTCCCAATCATCCTCAGCATCCTCGTCTTCCCCTTCCAGTCCAACGTACATATTTTGTTTCCTCGCGAATCAAAGCCTCCACGTTTCCTGCTGCTCACGGCTCACCCGGATGACGAGTGCATGTTCTTTGCGCCTACTCTACTTGGGCTGCTTGCGGTCCACAGCGATCCTGAGGTGTATTCATTGTGCCTCTCCGTGGGCAATGCGGACGGCTTAGGAGCGATACGAAGAAACGAGCTTCAACGAAGTCTGGATATCCTGGGCGTGCCAGGAGGGAGACGATGGGCCCTTGATAGACCGTACAGTGATATCATCATGCATGTATTCGCACGTCTCAGACATTGTTTTCCCGCATATAGCGATTTACAGGATAATATCTCCATACAATGGGATTACGGTGCTCTTGCACAGGCTATTCTGCCGTATATTCTTGAACACAACATAACCACGGTGCGTCTTGCTCTGAATTCATCCTGCCCTTTGCCCTGAGGTTGGCGCAGATCCTTACGTTCGATTATCATGGCGTCTCCTCACACCCAAACCACATATCGCTACCATACGGTGCAACGCAATTAATTACTTCCCTATATTCGTCGCCAGACACATATGGAGGTGCTCCGCGCCTCTTCTCGCTCGTCACAACGTCGCTGTTCAATAAATACACTGGTCCGCTTGCGCCCACCCTCGTCAGACTCAGGATATTGTCTGCACTAGTGCTAGACCACTTAGTACCAGACAATGGCCTGGGCACTTATGGGAACTCGTCTGTTTTCATATCAGGCATCTCCGGGTACAAGGCTGCACTACATGCCATGATGCAGCACCGATCCCAATTGGTGTGGTTCCGATGGCTCTACGTCGCGTTCTCGCGATACATGTGGACCAATGAATGGATCGAGATTACACCATGCTGCGTTGAACCAGTACCAGCTGCAGGCGACAAGTAGTAATTAATTTGACTTATAGATATACCATTGTGAGCATCATTGTGAGAGGCCTACGTGATGTGTGCTGTTCTTCGTCCCTGATATGAGGCTCGCTATCCAGTTTCTGAGCCAGTTCACTCCATATCCGTCGATCTTTGGGGTACCTGTGGTGCGGGACGTACCGCGAGACCACCAGCTTCCAATGCGTGTGCGGAATGACGACGCTATAGGCCAATAGAAATAACCCATTATTCCCCTGCATGACACTGCGAGTTCAACCTCGATGAGTAGGCTGCACGAAGCAAGGACGTACCATATGAATGGTCCGATAATTTGCTCTCGCGCTGTGTACCAGATAACAGGACCCCACTGTATATGGATCACTTCTCCAGGCGAACTCGGCGCGTCGGTACTTCCAGCAACTTCATCCTCTACGTGCCAACCCTCTACCGCTTTACCCTTCCCCTTGCGGTCACGGAGCGGCTCCTCAGCCGACTTGCGCTCGACGCGCACGTACGGCGCGACAAGTCGCAGATAACTTTGTTCAAAGCGAAGGTCGGGAAGGGGGACGACGCGGCGGTGCGGTGCATGATGGTCTTCCACGACACGTTCCTCCTCGATAGACTGTCGGAGATACTCGTAGTAGATCCTGTCCATGTCCTCCTTGCTGTGGCCTGCAGCAGGCTTCGCGGATGGCATGGCTGTGAACGGCGCTGAACGACTAAGGCTCTGAACGCTTGCCGAGGATGCGTTCACCGAGTCACATGACCTTATACCATCTATATCAAACTGTGCCGGATGCCTTCATGACACAAGACTTGCAAATTTTCTGGCCGGTCTTCACCCAAAGTTCTGGACTAAGCCAGGAGACATTTCCCTGCAGGGGGGTGCACAAGGCTGATGTGTTTGCATTCTTGGCCTCTCAAGGATCTATATACAGTCACCTGCTCAGTTATACACCAAAAATTAAAAAAATTACCATGCTTCTTCATGAGCAAGGTTTGAAATTTTGAGTAGGTAGAAAATTTCATACATGTATGAAGAACTCACAAACCAAGTATTGAAAGGATTGAAGAGAATTTGAGGGAGATATCATCAGAATATGGGTGTATAAGTGGGTGATTTGAGACCAAAAATAGAAGTCTAATTTACATCCTTAGAAAGAACACAAGCTTCCACAACATTAATGGCGATTCAACTGTGCTCAATGAGACAAAATGTCTACATTGGAAGCTATGGAACATTTTGGTAGCAAAATCTAATTAATTTTATAGATTTGGCCTCAGCTATGCCTGCAACAAAAGTGTATAAACCAGTGGTGGTGTTTAACTCAGCAGGTGATAACTGTAAACCCATATGTTTTAGTCCCCAACTACAAGGGCTTGTGTCTTGCAAGATTTCCTCACTATTCCCAGTACCAATTTACTGTTAAGCCTTGAGTCTGGTCTGTCATCTGTGGAGTGATATTGCTAATATCTACTTGCAGACTATCAGAGGCTTTAGTGCCCATTGCCAATGTAGGCTACTAGAACTGCAGACTGCTTGTTGATATTTAAATGATGGATCTTCCTATAAGTAAAATAATATTAGTGTGAGAGATAACTTTTGCAATATTCAAACAGAAGGGGAAATACATGCTTGTGCACCTTTCAGTGGAACTGCATTCTTTAAATGAAGGGGAAACTGTCAATCCAGACCTTAAAAACCCTAGTAATTTGGCCAAGCTTGATCTGAAATATGAAGAAAGACCTAAGGAATTTCTTCAAGAGGCAATAATGAAACATTGAAATAACTATATGATGGAGTCAGTGAGTTTAGTGACCTGTATTATGTTTATAAGCTTAATTAGTTTATTATACAGTGAAGAAATATGATGCTATTCAGTTTCAGCTATCAAATGATGGGATGATATAGCACATACTTTTGGTAGCAGGTCTTCTAATATATAATACAGACAACATTAACGAGAATGTGATACATCTCATTGAGGCTATTAGTTATTATAAGATGGTTGACTCCATCCACATCAAATGTTTGAACCAAGAACTTCACAGTAAGCCAGCAGCTGACTTCATTATATATAAACTGTCTGATGTGATTTATGCACAGTTCTTCATGATAATATGCATATGCAAGCTTTAAGCAGCAGTGACTTTGTAAATATGGCCTCTGGGCGACTGAATCATATCATTGCAGCCTGGAAACATGTGACAGCTAAGCTAAACCACATGTACAATCTTATCATACATGTTGCCTCCACCTCATTAGACCTTTATCACTGCCTCACCCACTGACTACCATATGTAGTCTACTCTTTCAGTGAGCCTGTACTGCTGTCTTTGTGTGCTATGTCATCCTCTGTGCACTTAACAATAGAGGGTGCTGGTCAATAATACTCACATATGCTAAAGATATATAATAGCTGGAGAAAGATACCAGGCAATTAGGCACATCATATGAATAATTGAAGATAATGTCCTATGTTAAGAAGATTCTGCATGAGCTGACCTAGGATGCTATCTTCACATTTTGCTCCACACTTTTCACAATTCTGGATATAAACCTGTATATGCATGCAGAAGGTGAGTTATAGGATTAGCCTGTTTTAAAGTCCAACTCATCATATTATTTCTGTTAATCTGAGCAGAGTCCAAACTCCAGAATCCCAGTTTTGATAAAGTAAAGTATCCTGATTATGTGAATATTGCCAATAATATTACTTTTAGAGGTGGTTCATACACCTTCTGAGCAAGTAAAATATAAAGCTCTCATTGAGCAGGATTAGACTGAGGCAATGTCTCAGCCAGTGATGAAGAAAAATAAGCTCTCAGTGCTAACATCCAGCATGCTTGGAGTGAACTTGCAATGGCCTCACAGTATGTCTATTGATGTTATTAACTGTGTGTTTCAGCTAATCATTATCATTATTGATCATTCTAGCATATCAAGCTCATGTTAGAAGACAACCATTATAAAGAAAGTATCCTCAAGAGTGAATATGATGTGCATTTTTCTGCCTACCATAAAGTAAGCATCTTTATTATAAATAACATGTTCTGTATTAAAGTTAAAAAATACACAATGTGTGCAAAGACTTTGAAGTGTGCAAAGTCCTTCAAGAAGATATGGAATATGTTTGAGAAGGTCTCTTATGAATTGACAAGAACATACCTACATGAGGTACTATGTGTCAGTATTGATCCTTCTAGATGCTCACCTTATCTACTACCACAGATAGTCATATTTTTATCTATGCCTTGTTTATAAACATACAAATGCATACAAGCTCACAGCTGATCATTGGACAAGCAATTGTCAGTGTAAGATAAGCATGTCTAACATCTGATGCTTAAAAAGACATGAAATCAGCATGGTGCTGTAGGACCTATCCAGAAGTCTCATAAAGGTACTTCTGTAGATGAACATATGCTTCAACTCATGACTGTGAATGATGATGAGGACAATTCCAAGCTCCCAGCACCATACCCTGTTTTGACCTATGTGGTCCCAAATACTATATTATTATGATCACTCTGGCAGTCACACATAACACAGGCCTCATTCTCACTAGTATTTGGCCAGTATCACATTGTCACTAAGCTCTCCACTGCCTGATAGGGCATGTCACACCAGTTTTTGAGCCTCTCACACCCATTTTTTGCCACCTGCAGTGCTGTCAGGTCAATGTGTCACACATCTCTGAGCTGCCTGCCATGTCACTAGACTGAAACTTTTGATCACATGTCACACCTAACACCAGACTGGTTGTAATGATATAGTCTATCTGAGCCTCAGCCAGACCCTCTTATAGTGAAGGCACTCAAGATCAGGATACTTTGAACTATACCCCCACCCTTACCCTCTAATATCCTTATCCTTCACCAGAGGTAAGGGTATGAGTAAGAGTACTAAACTCTGAGAGTATACCCCTTAATATCTTTCTTATTTAAGGAAATAACATTGTAAACATTAAGTATAAGGCTTGTAACAGTCTTCTTTTCCCTTTGGAGCTTCTGTAAACATAGTTTAAGACTGTATCTAGGCTGTACTTAGGCTTTATTCATCATACAGTTACTGCTTACATTCTATATGCTATATGCAGTGATACCCTTCAGGGGTACAAGTGTTTGAAAGTTCATACCCCTACTCTTACCCTCTAATACCCTTACCTCTGACTCTTGAGAGTTATCCCTACCCCTGCTCTGCACTATGATAAATCCATCACAGCAAGTTTGTAGTGCAATATTGCAAGCAGAAGAAAATGCTGATACTTCCACATGGAGACCGGTGAAGCGAGCTCTTTATATAGGTCAGACTGACGCCTCGATTTGCTGAGGCACAGTGAAAAGCGCCTGCTGGCTAGGGCGTTGCCCAAGTGCCCACCTGTCAGCTGACCATAGCTAGCATGACTCGTACTACACACACACATGCTACATGGCCAATCAAGAGTGAGTCATATGCTACACGATGCGGCATGGTGATACAGTCGGGTGGGATCAGCCTTAGTAGGAACAGGCGGCAACGCCTGCACTGGCCAATCACCTTTCACCGATCGCTTACCGCAAACAATATTTACTAGGAGTATACTCTTAGTTGGCGTGGATCGTGACCACAACACCACTTTTACCACTGTTAGCGCTTGTGACTTCAGGCCGTTTCTACGGTTACACCATGGTTGCCTCATGATACGGGCTCATAGACACAAGTCAGATATGGCAAAGGTAATTAAATTATCAAGCTGAAGAAAGAAACTAATTAAATGCGTATTGCGCAGAGAAAACATTCGCGCGTCTTCAGCCCTAAACCACTAAGCCACAACACCCATGCACCGTCGCAGCACTCACCACACTATTCTCCCTGCCAGTCCTCATGCTCTACAACAGCTACGTAAATTGGGAGGCGTCTCCATAGTAGACGCCTCAACTTCCAGAGTCATGCTCTTGGAGCGAACTCCAAATATATGCGTTTACACTCGATTTAGCAGTCTTGTGCTCGATTGTCAATCTCTTTAAGTACTACTTGCCCGTATTATGCTAAATTATAGAGCCCGAATGACTAAGTTGGTTAAGGGTAGTAAATCCCTAGATTAATAAAATTCTTAATTTTACGGCCACATGCCCTATACCACGTTGTGGAGCTGAGACGTGAGCCTAGTGCAGTCAGTAACTTGTCGAAATAATCTATCAATTCGGTTCTATTGTGGGGTGTTGCGTCGAGATGGGTTAGTCTTATCAGTGGTGGGGGTTCAGGCGGGGCCAGGCAGCATCAGCAGTATCTATGGACCGATCGGGGATGGGTGCAGGTGCGCGATGCGCGCAGAGTGCTGGTGGGGAGAAGTCGCAGGATTCGCCCCTGCGACTTCTCGGGGGTGCGCGTACGTATTGATTCGGGGCTGCAATGATCAATATAAGAGTCAGATGGTTATCGCAAGGTAGAGGAACTAATCATAAGCAAGCAAGCAAGCATGGTATTCGCATCATAGTTACATGATGGGTGGATGATTGGTGGTGCTGCTGGCCGGCTCGACGAGGTGCTTCAGCATGCCTCCCGCAGGTGCTCCCCTTAGTCATACTCAGACTGCCGACACTATGAGATGCAAGCAGCGTTAAGTGATACTGCAGGGGTTAGAAAACCACAGCTTTAAAATGAGTAGCTACCGGCCCCTAGCAAATCTGATGATAACAACCGTTCAAATAATGACTCCTAACCGAAAACCAGCATAGCAAGAGCAACTGTCAAGTAGCTTGAATCGAACCAATAGTGCTGTTGCTCCAATTTTGCATACATGCCTTGATTGAGCCAGTCGAGAAGCGCTCCTGTAGAGCCCAAATCTGCCAACCCGGCGTGGCGCCTGTGTGTGGAGAGGCAGGTGACGAGATTCCATGGCTGTGGCCTAGCCACACAGAGATGTTGGCCTTGTATGTCTATAGACAGCAATGTGACGATAAAAAACCAATTCTTGCAGTGGTATGTCCTCCGTCAACATGGTCCAAGTATGATGCTCAGAATTAGAGAAGTCTTCCCAGAGCACCTGCCAGAGCTGGTCCTTAGCATTATTTTACCTAAGACCTGAGCCGCTAGGGGTTAAGTGAGTCGTTTTTAGCATTGCAGCTGCTTTTCAGGCATGGTCTCTATAAAGGCACTGCGCGCGCTAGTAATTGCATTACTTTGCAAAGCATATGACATATTTCACAGTTTGAACAGTAAAGGGTGCTAAGAAAATTGATTCAATCTAAATAACGAACAAATATATGAAAAACTCCCGTCTCAACTTGCAATCTGGTACCCGAGATAACATGTTCGGATGGTTTCGTAGTTGTGAGTAAGTTTAGGAGCGGTAGTGCTGATTGTAGCGTGTGTCATGATGTCTTGTCGCCCAAGTCCTTAGTCGTCGATAGCGCCATTGAGAGCATCGGCAAAGGTGATGCCGGCCTTCTTTGTGTCAATCACATCCGGAACAACGTCCCCAGCAAGCACCTCGGGGCTGACATTCTCGATCTTATCATCCAAAGCAGTGACAGTCTCAAGAGACTTTCCCTCAAAAGATGTCACCTGAATGATCGTGGACCCGACAGTATCACCATCTTGATGAAGGCCAAGCCTCTTAATCGTGCTGATAGCAGCTGCCGTAGCATCCTCAGTGTTCTCCCATCCCTCGGGCTTAGAGTAGAAGAAGATCACAGGGATATTGTCTGTTGTTGCCTGTACGCCAAATGTGGCAAGGAGATTGGCAAAGTGGGTTGGTGGGAGGATAGCAGCATCCACAATGGTCTTTTTCTGAGCTGTCTCGATGTGCTCATTGAACTCCTCAAGCGACTCAAAAGTGGCACTGAAACCAAGGCTGGGGATAACAAAATCGATATTGCTGTCGATCTTGAGTGCGTCAACAACGTGGCTGCAGGTGACCTTGGCGGTCTCAGGGCTGGAATCGGCCAAGGCAAAGATGATTTGGTAAGACATGTTGAGTAGTGGTTGATGTGGAAATTGTGTCGTGGATAAAGCAATGCAGTAAGAGACAGAAGCTGGTGGTATTGAAGAAGATGATCAAGTGCGATGGTATCGTTTCAACTGGGTGGGAAAGTGCAGCTTTTTATACACCACTTCAATCATCAGGCCTGGACTTAGATACCCCTTGGATGCACTGCCCCAATTTTGGGAGGCGTGAATAGTATCCATGTAGCGTCATCAGAAGGCTGTCTAGTGAGGCAGCTGCCGAGGCCCAGTAAGCTGCGGATGAAGATGAGGCCTCCAGCGGCGCTTTGCAACCACACAGCCGCTTGGAGGATGCGCTTGGCGATGAGTCACACTACAGCTGCCCGCGCACAATCTACTGAGCTAAACTAGTTTGGTAGCGCCGAAGCTTTCCTAGTTGTGGAACAGAAGAAACTTTAGTTCCTATTGGCTGATTTACGGCAATCCTCTCAGCCGCGATGCTCGTCCATTGCAGCCACGTCGCTAAGCCATGCGATCGCCAACTGCTACTAGCGCACGAACAAGTTATTTTTAGCCTTTCATCAGCCATTAAGCGTTCTAGGTGTACCTCTCACCCTTCTATAAGCTGACGTAGCTAAGCAAGGCGTACTGCAGGTCCGGGGCTCTATTGAACTATCAATTAAAGTAACAAATATGGCTCAGTAGTGGTTATTTTGGAGTAATTGTGAGAAGTTGCACCTTGCTCCAAGCTCTGCCACTGCTTGGAGGCTGACCACAATTAATAAACCTACGCACTGCCTTGCCTTCCTACAGGGCTACTCCATAAGTCTACTTTGGCTACATGAGGGCCTTCATTTATTGAGACGTTATTTTTAGATTTTGTTTGAACTGAACGGACTAAGTGCTGTGCAAGTGATAGACTACGGCCGCAGCATATTCTTTTCGTTCCATGTCTACTTCACGGATTCTAATCAGGACAAATGAGCGGCTGAGGCAAAAGGTTGTACTGATGTAGACGCTTTTGTTCTTGAACAGGAAATATTTGTGCCTCGCTACTGCTGATCAAGTGGCCACAAATTTGTTTGAATTAGTTGGGGCCATGGCGAAATCCCATCTAAAGCTCTAAGCTGTCATATTGCAATCCTACAGCAGGCAATCTTCTATCAATGATAAAAAATTGTCAGAGAATTCTATTTAGTCTATAGTATGCAAGAAACTTTTGAGATGTCCATATATACAAGAGTCTCAACTTGCCGTTTTAAGCGACAGCATCTGATACCACTTAATACACAATGTCGCTAACTTAGACCGTACACTGCTTTCCACCGCGTTGATTCCAGCCTAGAGCTTCATTTTTGCTATGCATCCACTCGGCACGCGGTGTAAGCTCACCTACTAGCGTCGGTACGGAAAATTTGCTTGCCCAGATTTTCACCACATCGCCTGGGAACAATTTGATCCCTCGGCGATTGTCAATTTTGAACCAGGCGGTACCACGGCTACTCTCGTGGACCCCAATGGTCGACTGAGTTGCCTCATCCAATACCAGTGGACTACAGCTCAAGGAGTGTGGACACTTTGGCGCAAAGATGATATTTGAAGCAGTGGGGGGCATCAAGGGGCCACCTACTGATGCCGAGTAGGCGGTAGATCCTGTTGGGGTCGCAAATATCACGCCATCTGCTAAGAGATCCTCCATTCCATCCATCGTCAACCGGAAATGTGGCATGTCATCTTGCTGGTCACGCTCGATGAGGGCCTCGAAATTCCCCCTTTTGGCCTTCGGCAACTGTTCGGTTCCAGTTGTCAGCGCGAATAATAGTGCAGGTCAAGCGCATATGGTCGAGCACCTCTCAGTCTTGATCGCCCATAGCCCATTTGAGAACTGTTGCCATGTCCCCAAAATCGAAGTTTGCCATGTAGTTGAGGGAGCCTAGCCGAAAGGTCAGAATCGGCGGCACCTCCCCAGAAAACAGTTGTGCGGCTGCAAGAAGCGAGCCATCACCCCCGAGCACAACCACCAGGTCGATTGGGTGCGGCCAGTCCACGTGTATCGAGCTATCGCTTTTGATGGATGGGATGTGGACTTGATCAGGGACCCAGCCGTGATGATCGCCAAATGACTCGCATTGCAAGAGCCCTTCGGGAATGTATACTGTCGTATCGGTTGGCGCACTGGTACTGTAGAGCCAACTGAGAACCTTTTTGGCATTGGCAACATTTGTGCTATCCTTGAGATTGACTAAGACTAGGACGTGGCGGGCACAGCCCCTGATCATCCGCGTTCGAGGTTGGCGCGACCAAGGTCGGGGGCTGCAAGCTATGGCGCTCGCATCAACCAGTATCTCATTATGCGTGTGCGATGGCTCTAGACGCTCCGCGGGGGTACTGAGGTCACTGGCGTAATTGGCGCCGTCCATACTGAAACAAGATCGAAAAGAAGCTGTAGTGAAAAGGATTGAAGATAATGAATATGCTCAATGCAGAGATTACAGTAGAAAATAAACAACGATGAATTATTTGTCGAGAGTGCACAAGTAGATTGGTGCCTAATGGGTGTGTGCTCTGTGTATGCGAGATGGTCAAGCTCCAAGATGCGTGATGGGTTGCGGATGTGGCGTTTGACAGTTAAACACAAGCCTTCCATAGATAATTAAGGAAGTAGAAATACTCAAACCACCAACTACAGAGTTCGATGCTGCAGGCGCTGCCCACGCGGAAATATATACTTGCGCGCGCATCTACACATATGGCTGTGTAACTAGCGTCTACCGCCGGGTCCACCGGCGTGGACACTCGATACATCAGCTAGCGAGTGGTGGCAGCAATCCTCCCAGTTCTCAAGGGCCTCGGTCGCAATCCACTACGTAGTCTGCCTTACCAACCACCATATGTGCTGATCTCTAGATCATCCGGCTTTGATAGTGGGGCGGGGCAGTGCGTGGCAACTTTATACTGACAATGTCGAACATGCACTGTGCAGCTTGACTACTGTCAAGCACGGAATATCGTCACGCTCATGTTTGCCGCAGAGATTCTCGTCTTCAATATAGCGTGGAAATGGTCCCCCTCACACCGGGGCCACTTCGATGTCACTTTCAGATATCGCAAAGCGGCGTGCTGGTCACCGGTGAAGTGATAGGAAACTTCATCTCTCTGAACCCGTCTGGGCATAATTGCTTCGTTAACAAGACGCAATTTGGGCACGCCAAGCCTCACATCGCCACATGGAAGGATTCATAGTTTTTGGATCGTCTTGCTCCACGTATCGCGCGCGGTCATGGCAGAGTGCGCTATACGATTATATGCAGCTTCCCTGGCATTTTGCCACTCTAGGCTGTGCGGGCCGCGAGGCATCTGGTTGGATAAAGCACCAGCCCCCGCCAACAGACACTGCATAGCCACTGCTGTGCCGCAAAGTGAGATCCCGGACTCGACCGCGAGGCATCTGGTTGGATAAAGCACCAGCCCCCGCCAACAGACACTGCATAGCCACTGCTGTGCCGCAAAGTGAGATCCCGGACTCGACCGCGGGGAAGCCAACGCGGCTATGCACAGCCATATTATTCAGCCAGCCGGGATGGTCGATCTGTTCACTCTACAATATTTATCTCTCGACATGGCCTTGTGGCTTGGCGCAAGAAGCTGGCCTCGATCCTGCAGAGCATGCCTAGTGGGGGCTGGACAGAAAGTAGAGGTCACCACCATGAGGCTGCCAGCAGAGGGCTTCGGTGCCCGCCCAATGGCCGATCGTAAACATGGTTCATAATCCTGCTAGGCATGTGTAGTCTTTGTTGAAGTAATGGCGACTCAGGCCCATCATGTCAAAGTGATGAAGCACGAGGGATATCCACTCGCACTCCTCATGCTCAGACGCGACTTTTTTTTTCGTGGCCGCCTCGCGGACATGAAGGAAGATTGAATTGGCTACGTCCGGGGCTTCATGATGAGCAGCACTGTTAATAAGCATATAATAACTCAAACGAGGTGCATGGGGGACTCTTGGTAGCCAGCACTATTGAAACAACATGGTGGACAATGCTGCTTTTAGCTCACGTCAGACCATACGTCGGGACGCCATCGCCCTCCACCGCATTTTTGTGTGCTAGAAAGACTGTAGGTGCTCCGGTAAGGCGATCACTAGCTCTGGCTCGTGCATTCCATAAGCCCACATACAACCTGTTGCCACCTAAGCATTACAGTACCTCGACATAGGCAGTTCCTTCGCATTCGTCGCTTATCAAAAGCACGCTGATAAACGGGAGCACTCGCAACTCTACTTGCTGTTACGATTCTGAAGACAGTCTAGTTGCATTCACTAAAGGAGTACTCTGAAACCAGAGCTGAATGAGCGTGGGAGATCTTTGCCGAATTCTCCGCTGCGAGCTTGGCGTATGTGGCTCTTTCGTTGTTCGCGTTAAACAGGAACCATTACGCTGCGTGATGCGAGCTGAAGCACTCGTCGCCAATATGGTATCTGGTAAGCTACGGCGCTTTCTCAATAAGTCTGCTCAGTAGGCATGATCGATCCCAAACATTGTAGTGTACATTCCAAACGTGCGTCAATTACTTGAACTGACTAGCTAGCTGGCTAGTTAGTGTTCGATAATATTATACTGGTGAAAATTTTGCAACTCATCAGCCAGCAACATCAGCACTATCATCGGTACAATGTCATCTGAGCTCTATATGGTGCGAAACCACCGCAGGATATTCCTCTCGCTCGCCGCAGTTATTCTTGTGATTGTTGTGATCGCTTTCGTCATTATTATCTACGTATCTAAACTAAAGCAAAAGTAGCTGCGATGAGAAGCGCGGCTCTTGAATCTCTTCACCTGAGAGAAAAAAATTTTCTTTGGCAAAGGACGTGTTCATCTTCATTCTCGAGCAAGTCCACACCCTTAGACGTACCATATATCGGTCAGATTAAGCGAAGCTTGCAGTACCAGTCAAAAGATAGGCAGTGCAATGGCTCCTTTCCTCCACCAAATGCACACATCCGCGGATCTATTGTGCACCATGGATGGGCAGGATCGTCATCGGTCTCAGAGAAAAAGTGTCATTCGAAGATGCCGGAATGGAAGAGACTATGGTCTGGGACTGAGCCACACCGACTTGCTTTGGCGGAAGCAAAACAGACCGATTTGCCCGCTCACTTGGCAGAAGCACGACAGGGGCGGCGCAGCTGGCTAGAGCCAGAGCACCATTTGCACCTTCACCGAGCACGCAGCGATCTAAAGCAACACGTATGAGACAAAGGACAGAAATTGAGCCCGCCAGCTATGGCCGTTTCACCGACAGATACAGTCATGGTCCACACTACACCAACCGATATTGCTCGCCACGGTTTGGCTACTGTTGGCCAAATTGGAATCAAGATCACGCATTCGACACTGGACCTGCATCAGGCCCACCTTCACTCGACAACGATCAGCGCCTCTAGTGCCTCCAAGCTCACAATCAATATTGGAAGCAATTCATCATTTTTGTGGATCGAACCCACTAGGACGGAAGGTTTCCATTGATAACTACAATAACCATGGTTTCCCACGATGCGAGTTATAGAGACTGCCTCATTTATCTCCCTGGGTCCAGCAATCGGACCATTTTGGGTTTCACTGTCTGCTTGGAGTAATTTGAGGGACTGCTGAAAGCGACGGGTATACCGGGTTATGCGAGGGATATGAATGTGCATCAGTTCAAGAACAGATGGCCGGCATTAAATTACAGAGGAGTAAATCGGGGAAACAATTGTTCAGTCGGCGTGATCAATGCTAGACAGCAATATTCATTCAGCTTCGTCACATGTGGCTTGTTTCACGACATGTGTTGTCTTCCTGAGTGAGCTTATTTCATTGAGAGTCTGATAGTGGCGTATGGAGCGATTTAGGGCTCGTTTGGCGCATGACATGAGACGGAGTCCGTGGCTTCGTTCCACGAGACTCTGGTTGACTAAACTTTTAGAACCGTTGACAGAAACTTTTGAGCTGCATAGCCTCTCACTGTCTTCATCGCGCTGGCCAGTTGCAAATAAAAGCCGTTGAGTTGATCGTGGCTCATTCCATTGATATCGGATGCTTGTCATTAGAGTATTCTTGCATGAATGCGGAATGGTACTCTCCAATCGAGTACATTGCGAGGTGCGAACCTTCGTGCCTCCACACAATCCATGCAGGGTGCTATACAGTGCAGTACCTTAAAGGTATGGGCATACACCGAAGGACTAGTGAGATACTTTCTGATGGGAACCCCCCAGCAAGAGGCCTTGAGAAGCACGGACTCGCCTCACAGAAGCGGCATCCAGCAGATTCTACTTTGGCAGGGGTGTCGTATGCTACCAATCACTTTTCGCTTGCACTAGCCTATTACATCCATGGTCATCTCCTTCACATGGCTGCGCCATAGTAAGACTGTCTTTTCTGTATGGAACTTGCCGCGATCAGATTTCACGTGGGGTACATAAAGCTGCTATTCCCGGATAGCTGGCTGGCTGGCTGGTTGAATTTTTCGATAACATTAAGTGCCGAAAATGCTAGTAAGGATATAGGCTCTAGGCGACTGGCCGGCTCGACTATGTGTCAGTTCTGCAGGCTTTCAACCACGGTAATGCTGAGTAGTATGAATTAAGCCTATAGCAACAATATATGTAGATTTTACTATTCAAGCATCAACACTGAGCAGACGTAGGCCTAGGGAAGAAGACATCGTAAGAATGATATCACCCGTCAGTCCTACTATCGCGCACAAAGTTAAAGCGAGTCCAAAGAGTAGATCATGGTAATAGGTTGCAATACCCTAAGCCAAAGCATAGAACCCGAAACACGAGACTCAAGAGCTATACATGTCCTCAAGACCACAATATCGTAGAGCCTATGGCGAAGGTGCACTCGGCATGTAGAAGTATTGAGATTTTTAACCCAAGCACATTTAGAACAAAGGTAAACGCGCGATCTAGGTTTTTAAACGTAGCTGCTGAAGGTACCTTGGCAATACCGAGAGAGCTGGTTCCATAGCTCAAGATACGCTTAGTAATTGTACAACAGAATAGTGGCTAGCCAACATAGTGTCCTTCTCCTGCTGATGCTTCTGGAGTCCTCTATGGCCCACGGTTTCGTCTTTTTGGTACGTCTGCGTATCCTACAGGGTGTTCAGGGTGATAACACTATAACCGTTTAAGGTTTATATACTATTCTGCCACGTCGCCGAGTCTTCATGATATTTCGATGACTACCCTTTTAGTATAATGGCAGAGCATACCATATCACAGGGCGGTTTGATTAGATTTGAACTAAAGTCTTGGCAAAAGCAACCCACATTTCATGCCTTTTCAGGTTCTTCTAAGGTCAGACCAAACTATTGCGGATTAGAGGGGCAGTATTTCACTTGGCATAGCTTGTGGTGTCTCTGCTTTGGTAGTATTCTCATGGACACGGAAAGAACAAGATTGCAGTGGCGATATACTTCAAGAAAACTTCGGAAAGCTCTTCATTGGTGCTCACAAACACCAACTTCATTGACGTGTTTCACCGAGGTCTGATCCTCCTCAGAATACGAACTACGAGATCCTACCTACAATTATTCAACGTTTGCCCACACTACATTATCTTAATATAATTAAGATCTGAATCGATTAGTTAATCAGGTAGTCTAATAACTGATATGTGCGCTCTGCCATTACACTGAAAGGGTAGTCACCGAAACATCATGACTCGGCAATGTGGCAGGATAGTATATAAACCTTAAAAAGGTCTAGTGCTATCACCCTGTAACACTAACAAGGTAACTGATCGTTTAATATTATCGAAAAACCGCCCAGCCAGCCAGCCAGCCAGCCGGTCTAAATATTTATCTCTACAAAGGTATACAGTGTACCTACGGCTGAGCTTGCACAGTGCTGCATTGGTCGCTACTACGCTAATATACAGGCAAACCGAGAATTTTATGTGTAGAGCACAATAACTAGAGTCAATAATGGCTTGTAGCCGGCTAGTTCAGCGGCTACAATGGACTCAGACCACCAAATTTCGTATCGTTTGTGCTTTAGATATTTTATATAAATGGTCATCATTACATGCATCCACAAAAAGTTCGTACAGGATTATACGTCCCTGTTCAGGATTTGCCTTAGCCGCAGACATCCGTGCGATATGTACTAGCTGGAATTGAATAAACTCCAGCAATGTAAGTCACCGCATACCAACCCCTGTCGTCTAATGAACTGTAAGGGGCTGGTATAGTATTGTCGGGTTTGCGTCGAGATAGGTTAATCCTATCAGTAATAGGAGCCCTAATAGGGCCAGACGACATCAGCAGAACCTATTGTGGGGTGTTGCGTCGAGATGGGTTAGTCCTATCAGCGGTGGGGTTCAGGCGAGGCCAGGCGGCGTCGGCAGTACCTATAGACCGATCGGGGATGGGTTTAGGCGCACGATGCACGCAGAATACTGATAGGGAGAAGTCGCAGGGTTCGCCCCTGCGACTTCTCGGGGGCGCGCGCACGTGTTGACTCGGGGCTGCAATGATCAATATGAGGGTCAGGTGGCCATCGCAAGGCCGAAGGACTAATCATAAATAAGCAAGCATGGTATTCGCATGGTAGTTACATGATGGGTCGATGGTGTCGCCGGCCGCCGACTCGGCGAGGTGCTTCAGCATGCCTCCTGCGGGTGCTCCCATTAGTCACGCTCAGACTACCGACACTATAAACCGATTATAGGACTGAATAGGATTTTAATAAATGCAAAATATCAATAAGGAAAAGTCGTAGGACTCGCCCCTACGACTTCTTAAAAACGCTTATACGCGCCGATTCAGTATTATAGTGAGTAGAGAAGGACTTTAATAGCTATTAAGAAGTAGTATCTAATTATAAAAAAAATAAGTATAGCATTCTCGTAAAGTAGTTATATAGGGTGGTTGATGATGTTGATCAATTTAGTAAGACTCCTCTGTTATACCCTCTATAGGTGTCTATTATCGGATATTATAATAAGATGGGTTAGTTCTATTAGTGGAAGGGGATTTAGGTAAGGTTAGGTAGTATCAGTAAAACTTATAGACTAATCGGGGACGTATAGGGGTGAATAATACGTACCGGAAGCTGATAGGGAGAAGTCGCAGGGGCGAATCCTGCGACTTCTCTAGAGCGCGCGTATACGTCGATTCTGAATTATAACAATTAATATAAAGATTAGGTAGTCATCGTAAAGTGGGAAGCCAGTCATGAGTAAGTAAGTATAGTATTTGTATAGTAATTACATGGTGGTGGATGGTAGTGATGCCGACTGACTCGGTGAGGTGCTCCCTATATGCCTCCTGCGGGCACTCCCATTAGTCATACTAAAACTGCCGACACCATTAGTAATCATTAAACTGCCGACAGTAAGATTTTGTAGTTTGTTAGATGATAAGGACTGGTACACGGTAACTTACGTTAATAGCAAGTACGATAAAGGAGGCCAGCCATTGGGAGGCTTCTTCAAGGATTCACAAGCTAGTCCCGCCATGAAATAATTAAGACAGACTCTTCTAAGCCTATGTCGACCTATAATTAGCTTAATATTATCGGAATTTGGCCAGCCAGCCAGCCAGCCATCTTACGTGCAGGTGCAATCGGCACCACCCAGGCTTCTGCCTGGATGTCTGACGGTCAGACCCGAAATTAACATGCGCCATGGCGCTTTCGCTCTTGCCAATGTGATCACCTCTCATTGCGCAGCACTAGTGGACCGCTTACAACATCCTTCGGGCCTGATTGAGTCAGACGCCACCACGAGTCTTTCTTATGCACGGTCTGATAGTAGACACGGCGCAGGTGAGCACTGCCTCCAACTGAGCCGTGCGGTGTCGCAGGAAAAAAAAATTTTCGCCGCAAACCAAGGGATAAACAGGCGAAGCCTCGCAGTATAAAGAGTGCGGATGTTTCGCGCAGTCGAAAGTTAAACTCCACCCAAAAACTGTCTTCTCTGCAACCCCAAACCAGCAAAGACGCCCTCATCTCATCAAACCGTCAGATTGGACTACCTACCCACCATAGCTAAGATGGCTCAGAATATCGTATCAGAACTCTGCGAATACCTTTCCAGAGGTGCGTGCGTTGTAAAGCATCTACATAATCCGTCAGTCGAGACTAATTCTGCTTAGATGCCGCCGAGGATGGCTGCGAGATCTTTGAGCAAGTGGACACCGTTGTCGTGTCTGATGATATCCAAATGAATCAACAAATCTACTGCAAAGACAGCAAAGGCATTATGACACAGATGGGTTTCATTAGGTCTCTCGGTCCCGGCTCTCAACGTCCCCACCGACGTCTTAAACACCTATTCTTTCAAGATGATATGAATTGGAGTACGGAGGACGAAGATGCTTACTGCGTGTCTCGCTTTAAGCCACCATGGCATAGAACAACAGATTTCAACGGAATCAGCGACCTGTCTTTTTCAAGGGAAAGACCAACTATCGACAAAATCATTGGTGACATCTTGGAGCCCTACTGGCAGAGCTGTTGCTGCAATCCCGCCAGGACGAAGCCTGTCAACATCATCATCCTTACCAACAATGCTGCAAAAGATCCAACTCCTCTTAAGAGGGTCATCTTCAACAGCATTAGCGATATTTGGCTCTACAAGACGAAACCCTACCAGGTTAGCCTTTACTTTTTCCAAGTAGGCAACCCAGACAGTTTGAAGGACCAGGATGACCAGACTATGGCATTTCTGAAGGACCTAGATGATAACCTCAGAGACGACATCCTAGCTTGGCCGTTAAGGCCGAAGATGGAAATTGAGAGGCTCGATGAAGAGTATACGGGACTGATGAACGCCATCAGTGAGACTTCCAAGGAGAAGGGCCTCGGCATGTTTGACATTGCCAACAGTACCACGCTAGAGAACCTGGAGAGTGGCACTCTGACTGCACAGGGTATCACAAAGGTGGTCATCGAAGGACTGCGAAAGTTGATGGACTAGACGACTGAAGGACTGCGCTCTTGAGTTGGATAAACAGTGCATAGTGGCTTTTCATTTTCTCTTGCTTTCTCCCTGGTTCAGTTGGTCTCGGACAAGGCATACGATGGTCAGAAGGTTTTCAATCGCAATATGATGGAATACGTTAGTGCAGATGCTTCTCGTACAGAGAGAGCTAGATAAAAACGCCCAATCTCCACTCCCAGTTCGTTAGTTGCCTGATCTCGTGAACAAAACATCTATTGTAGCTGTTGAATAGGCAGGCTAGATCTCCCATATATAACCCAGAAACAGAAATGTAACCTTAAAAATCTGCACAGATGTTAAAATATGGCTGACTGGACTTGGCAGTGGGTTGTCGCTCCCACCGCTTAGCCACGCTGTAAAGGCTTATACTACACGCTCGCATGTATCACGGAAGTAGATTCTTCGCCGATCAAGTCACTAATGTATGGGCCTAACAGCCGGCAGTAATTCCGTTGGTCAATGTTAGTTGGTTAATATTATCGAAAAACCAGCCAGCTAGCCAGCTGGAGTGAGTACCTATCCCGGCGTTTTGATGTTGTGTGTGGCTTTGATGTATCGAGCGAAGGGCTAGGGAGTCTTTAACGGCAGCTGCTAGCATATGGGGCATGCACAGGTCGAGATCGAGCACACGCTCCAGGTGATTCAGTGACATTTCGTGCTACACTGCATGAGGGTGGTGCAGGGACTTCAGAGGAGATGCCACCGGCGGCCGCACTTCCAAAAATAACAGCCGAGAGAGGCCGGGCCCTGGAAGCAGCGTGTCGCGGGCAAGGCTGGGGTATCATCGTTGGAGCTGGCAGTGATGCTGAAAGTGAGCTTCCTGCTTCGCGAAGCCAATAATGTTATCAGAAAAAGTACCAGCCAGCCAGCCAGCCAGCCCCTGTGTCGTGAAAATTTTTTCGGGAGCAATCATGTGCGACCCCTAGTGCATATTCCGTGAACATGCCTAGCCCGGAGGCGCGGATTGAATGAGGCACAGGCTCGCTAATCAGCTACAGCGTACCTGCCAGTCATAGCAGTGCTAATAGTCACACCCTCCTATCTCAGACGTGGCTGACCAGTTTATCTCGTGGAATGGGCATGGTAGACGATGGAGCAGCAAACAAGGCGTGTCCGGGGCCGAGTTTGCTAATCTCAGTGCGAGAGAGGAGCGCTGCACCATTGGGTGGCACTTATCTGGAATGCGTGTGCTCGCCCTGGCAGCGCTGAGCCCGCAAGCACGCAAAGATGCAATATTCAGAGGTACGTATATTCGAGATTTCTATGAAAGCCAAAAGGACTGCGCTAAGGAACACCACTATTTTCCGATCTCTACCACCATCTACTACCGCCACCTACGAACACCGATTCACTGCCACCATACAAGCTGGCCCGGGGGAGACGTCTTCATGGATTGAAGCAACTTAAGCCTCACGTCCTGTTTCTGCTCGTCGCTTAAAGAAGGATATCCTGAGCTTGGCCCGGCCTCGCCATTCTCGGACATCAGAGCTAACATTTCATCCGCATCCACGATGATGTACATCTTTGACGCTGTTGATTGAAGATCTGTGCCCTTTGCCGTAGCCTCTGCCGCCACGGCCATGACCACCTCATGCACCCAATAGCCCCCATCTTCGCGAGACTCCTGTTTATGGTGCCGGAAATAGTCCCGGAGTTGGGGAGATTTGGTGAACAAGTCGTTCAGCTCGTCGTCCGTGAGCTCGAGCCATGAATTCTTGGCACTACCCATTACCAACACTTGATGAGGAAGGTGCTCTTCTTCAACATCGTTGCGAAGGTCCATGGCCACCTGCTCTTTGGTTTCCGCATCAATCATGTTGTATTGCATAAATAATTGAGCAGTGCGGAGCGTTTCAACATGAGGGAGTGCCTCGGTTAAAGGGGCCCCGGCTAGAGCGATGACGCAGCTGTGGTTCTTCCCTAGGTGACTGTCGAGCATTTTAATATCTGATAGCATATCGTCTAGACCATCGATGTAAACTTCGTCAAACATTCGCTGGATATACTGCTGACAGAGTTTGCGTATCTGGCCCCGGAGTACGTCTCCGGTAGTAGGGGCGTCAATAAATCTCTTGTATTCCGCGAGCTCATCATCGTTAAGTCTCCAGATAAAGTTGTAGGTTCTGTATGCATGGCGTTCGTCGAGTAATACGTCTCCAATAGACTCCTTGTTCATATAGAACATACAATCTTGATAGTCGTGGGTGGCCTCGTTGAGAATGGAGGTGAGAGTCACCGCGGTAGCCTGCATAGCAAGGATGGTATCCTCTCTGACCTCTGAGTCGTCGCATCCCTTGTCACGCTCGAAAAATGGCTTCAGTTCATCGGGAATGGTGTCAATCCAGGATGGCGTCTCCTTCAACGGCGTGCGCGCCTTATCACGGCCCACAATATGCTCAACCGTAGCATGTTTGCTGCCATATGGCCGAACGCTGAAGTCCACAGGGCTGGTATTCAGGATGCAATGGATCCCCGTCTGCTTCGGGTGTAGGAAGAAGGCTCGGACAGGCATAGCTACGCTGGCCGGGTTGCGGGCATCGACAACAGCGAGAGCCAATGGGCCTTGGGTAGACATTTTAGCAGCCATAGTAATGACAATATAGGAAGAATGACAGGCATTAGAAACTGGTATCGATATTTGTGAGTTGGAGAGTCAAGTAGTGAAGTTACTATTCAGCGGGCAGCGTTAGGTATAAGTACTTTTTCGCTTCCGACTAATGTTATTTTACCCCGGCTACAGAAATAGTAAAGCTCGACTTGCCAAGAGACCCGATATGGGGCGGGATAACTCCTGCCTAGGCCTTAGATTGGGATATTTGGATACTATTTTCCATTATGGACTAGCTTGGCGGCGGCAGATACGGTAGATCTACTGGCAGAAACCTCCCATAGCTTCCAAATTTGAAACCATTACGATGCAAGCAAATGATGTTGACTCGTACCTTCCATCGGCCGATCGCCAGCCTAATATCATCGGAAAAAATACCCGCCAGCCAGCTAATGCAGGCCCCGCGCAGCATGGATAGTGGTCTACCTCGCAAAAGCCGTGAAAACATTTCGGCGTACAATGCCGCAAGACCCGTGGTACACATTTCATAGATGCGCCCTGTCCGTAGGTGCGGATTAAGGGATACACACGCCGCCAATACTTCGTAGCGTAGTTGCGGGGCCTCAATCTCACATCAACACCAATCATACACTGGTGCCTGATACGTGGCTTGCCTATGCGTAATATACTCGCATGATAGGGCATAGCTGATGACCTAGTAGCGGACCAGACATGCTTGAGAGCGAACCAGTAAATCTCGGAGCTAGAGGGACGAGCCCTGGACCACAGGCTTATATGTCTGAAATATGCGTATTTGCAGTGATGGCAATGCACCACGACTGCAAAGAAGCAAAAATGAAGAAATTCAAGACGCGTATATTGATGCTTTTCATAAAAACAACAAGGACTATGCAAAGAGTCACTCCTATTACCCGTTATCTACCGCAATGGCACACCCCCTTTCTTAAGAGAGAGTTTCATTGCTTGAAGCAATGCAGGCCTCATTTCCTGCGTACAATTTTCACTTAAAGGACAGTATGCCGTAATAACCCCGGCCTCATACGCCACGAACTTGATTACTTCATCTTGATCTTGATCTTCGATCTCGTACATCACCGGCATCATTTTTTACTCGTGAAGTAGGGATGCGTGATTCGTGGACCCAATCGAACATTTCCATAGATGCATCAAGCGAGTCGGTGAGGTGGCACATGCCCGGCTGCACAGTGGTATGCTTGTTCAATATACCGCCTTGCGCAAATATTCCAGTAATACTAAAGGCCTTGACACAATACATAGCTTCGGCCAAAGCGGCTTTAGCTAGAATGAAGAGGCCAGGGCGGTCGATCCCCCGGTCTCCACCAAATTCGTTAATGTCAGATAAGATTTTCTCTAGGCTCTCGAGATCAAGTTCGCGAAGCTTCCGCTCGATGTATTGTATACAGAGCCTGCAGATCTGAACCCGAAGTACGTGTCCGGGAGTAGGAGCCTCGATAAAAGACTTATAGTACTCATTCTCCTCGTCGTTAAATCCCCAGGTGAAGTAGCAAGCTCTAAACGAATGGTCTAGGACGACATCAGCACGTTCGACATACTCTGGATTCCAGTAGAAATGGCACCCGTTCTCGTCGCCCATAGTCTCTGTAAGAATAGATTTGATGGTAATTACCGCAACATGCAAGGCAAATACGGGCGTCCTCTCTGATATTGGGGTTCTCACACCCCTCATGGTCCAGCATTTTCTTCAGCTCACCAGAGACAGTGCGACTTAAGGACGGAAGTGGCACTATATACGGGCATCACCCGTCAGCCTCACTCCAGTCATATATACCGTTGTCGGGTCGAACACTGAATTCTACTGCATCGGTATGTAGGATGCAGCTGATCCCCGATTGGTTTGGGTGAAGGTCAAAACTTCTGAGAAGCATGGCCACGTTTGTCGGCTTGCACAGATCGATGCAGCAGAGAACGTGTGATTGGAATACTCATGGTTATTATGATATAGAAGGATAAGAAGTAGAGACTGATGCCAATTTTTACTGGTGGAAGTGCTGAGTGATGAAGTTGTCAAGCACTGGCAAGCGCTCGTATAAGTACTTTTTGCCCGCCCTAATGATATCAGGAAACGGCCCAGCCAGCCAGCCAGCCAGTCAAGCATTCATACCAAAGTGCGGCTGAGCCACTAGTAGAGCACGGTACGTAGATTCAGTCCAGCACTAAATGAAACTCCGCTCTGCACTAAGCCGCTCCGAAATCAGTTGGGCAATTTCACGAGGGTGCATTGAGTATCAGGTATGAACGCTGGTGCCTTGCTAGTCCCCAGCTCAGCCTACCTCGCCCATTATCACACTTTTGGTGTGTATCTCCATTAGCCACGCTGCATCCTTTTTGCACCAGGTCCACACTACCTTGAGAGCTCTATTAGGTCCTAGGTAGTATCTCAACGACGATGATTCAGGTACGTCAGTAAGCTGACTGTATCAAACAGCTCTCATATATCAGTAAGCGCATATGGAGACTCGGAAACCATGCATGCGTCACGGATGATGCACCAAAAACCATACATGAGGTATGAAACACCCTGTCAACTCGGACATGGTTGAATAGTGCCCTCAGTGAACTTTTACGGGCCCAGCTGGGTATGCGGCTGTATGCTGAGATCAGCAACCGCTCTATTGATATTAAATGGCATTGATAGCCCTATAATTAGACAGCTGAAAATTTTCTTGCTAATTATGCAGAGACAAGGGGGGATGCTGTCTCAGCCAAAGACTCTATTATTAGTTAGGCTGCCACTTGGAGTAGCTCCGCGTCCTGCAATAATCATCTACCAAAGTTATTAACGGCCCTGAGATAGACCCATCCCCCTCTCCTTTGCTCGAAACCTGACCTTTGCCGAGCATATAAGAGGTGGGTCCGCAGTCTTCCTGGCCTGCTTCTTTCGAAAGCCAGACTCAGAGTTCATAAGAGATTTCCTCGCGTACCACAAGCCACCAGCTTTTTACGGTCAAACCAAATAGATACAATTCAGCATGGACCCCGAGGCAAAATTCCAGGAGTTATTTCTCCACGAAATGAACGCCCAGAGATCCGCATTACTTGAGAACTGTCATAGCGAACACCGAGCTTCGGAGATCCCGCCTCTACTGGGAGTCGCCACCGATATACTTGAAGGTAAACTCGAACCTCTACAGCAGTGGGAAACCATGTATTCCCAGAGTCGTGGGCAGACGCAGGGAGCTAAAAGGTAGCTACAAACCGCCCGAAAAAGCAGCATATCCCTTCCAGCGCTAATCTGAGCCACAGACCCAAGCCCTTGGTGCTCTATGGCCCTCCAGGTACTGGCAAGGAAACGTGGATATGGTCCCAGGGGGGCAAACAACTCTGGGATCTCAAATCGGTTCGCGTGGAAGGTAGGCATCCTTGCCTTACTATAATAGGGGATACCGACCTCATCGTCATCGAAGAGCCAGCTAGCAGCGAACAGGCCATCAGTCTCTATATAAGCTGGTATTGTGCGCAGCTAGGATATAACCGTCGGAGCGAGCCTGGGAGCGAGCTTGTGAAAACTCAGCAGTGGCAGTCTCCTATCATCATTCTGATGAGTTCCGACCCCCGGGGATGGTGGGGAGAGAAAAAAAACCTTCTTGAACACCTCTTCGATTTTTTCCATGTACCTACAAAGTTTTGTCACTACGACAGCATGCTGGAGGTGCAACAGAGGGAGTTGAAGTGAAAGGGGTGTTTTTTAAGCTAGGTTTAGTAGATATTGAAGCGAAATATAGAATTATCGAATGGAATACGACACAACTGTAAGATTTAAATCAATTTCAAATAGACTAGTGGAGGTGTATAAAGCCTATCTAGAGCCTAGGCTCTCAAAGAGGGTAAAAGTCGTCGGTAGAGTGTACGTTTTTTGTGTAGCTGCTGCTAGTTCTCACTCCGACACGCCAGTCATCCTTGTATTCCGCTGACGGGATGATGTTAGTGCGGATGTTCATTAATGTTATCAGGAAACGGCCCAGCCAGCCGGCCAGCCAGCCAAGTATTCCATATAGTGCCAGCGGCTTAGCCGCTGGCACTGTATGATCCATTGAGAAAGAATAGCACTGGATAAAAACTCGCTCTGCACTTAGGTGCTCTGAAATTGGTCGAGTAGTTTCACAAGAGATACATCAGACACAAGGTATGAGTGGGAGAGCTTTGTTTATCCCTAGCTCAGCCTATCTCGTTTACGATCGCGCCTTTGGTGCTAGTTTCGCCAGGCCTGGGCGGCTTTGAGATATCTAATAGATTATACATGGGTCTCAACATCGGTGTGCCGGGCGCATCAGCAAGTTTACTGCATCAAGCAAGCCTCGTGCATCGGTGAGCACATATGGAGGTCTGGAAAGCGTGTTCACACGCCACTAATGATCTGCCTGAGACCGTGTGTCAGATGCTCAGCGCCGAGTGGACTGGGGCGTCGTTGAAGAGCGTCGATGGTGAAGTTGTGCAAGTACAGCTGGGCCTGTAGCTGGATGCTAGAATAAACAGCTGCTCTATTTATAATACATGGCACCCACCGCCATAGGATTGAGCCACTGAGAATCTTTCTCGCCGTTTGTGCAGCAATAGGCAGCGATGCGGTGTCACCCCCGAGGCTCTATGCTGATTCGGTTTCTGCTTGGGGCATCTCTACGAGGGGCGCCTGTACGAGCTACAAGCGTTCCTAACACACCACCCCGCTAGCTTAAAATGTGGGCAATTTCGAATATATAAAGAGGTCTCCCAATCCTCTTGGCCTGCTGCACTCGAGAAACAGAGTCAAAGTTCTAAGGCGAATTTGCCGCGTACAGCTACCAGACTTTTTACAATCAAAACCAATAGACACGGTTCATCATGGACATGCTACGCAAAATCTGCGACCATCCCAACCTCAACACGAATTCCAAACTCGCAAACTTGATGGCCCTAGGCATTTGCCGACGAGTTACCGCCAAACTTCTACCCGGCAGGCTCTACTTGTGGGAACTGAAGGAACTCCTGCTTGAGAGAGGGATCATTGTCGATGAGCCCAAAGCTCTGCGATGGTGGCGGACCAAGAACATCGAGAAACGCAAGATAGGCCACAGTCATTTGTAATTACAACTCCGCTGAAGAAATAACACATCCTTTCCTGCACTAATCTGAGCTGCAGAGGCAAATCTTTGGTTCTCATAGGCCCTCCGGATACTGGCGCAGAGATGTGGGTACAATCACTCGGGGGTAAAAATATCTACGAGATGAAATGTTTTCGCAGAGAAGAGCTGGGGGATCACGGATGCTACGAGAAGATGGCAGAAGATGCCAAGTATTTTGTCTTCGAGGAGCCAGCCAGCACTGATCATCTCGTCTACATCAATATGCGCTGGTTATGCGTGCAGTTTGATTATGCAGCTGAGACCAATTCTGAGTATTGTGGTCTAGAGAAATGCCCTGCTATCTTTCTGACGAGTTATGACCCCCGAGACGGCAATAAAGACCGACGAGACATACTTGACCACATGTTCGATTTTATCCGCATACCGGAGAAAATTTATAGGTATGACGACAAGCTGGCCGCGCAACAGGAAAAAGAGCAGGAGCAGAAGAAAGAGCGAGAGCAGAAGAAAAAACAGGAGAGTCATGAAGACTAGAAGAATAGGACCATCTGATTATTAGATGTGGTACCCTATGAGCATTGCTGATTAGCGCTGCCCAGAGTCTACCGGGAAATAACAACCAGAATGAATAGAGATTGAAACGAAGTACAGAACCATTGAATAGAATGCATAGTTGTAACTGTTGCACCAAGCCCAACTGGGTTCGTAGAGGTGCATGAGGCCTAGAGTTGAAGCTCTCCAAGAGGACAAAAATCATGGATAGAATGCGTGTATTTCACGAGCTGCTGCCTGTTTCCCGCTCCGATATGCCGGTCATCCCCACATTCAGTCAGTGGTGGACGTTAGTGCGTATTCCAGCTAATGTTATCGGGAAACAGTCCAGCCAGCCAGCCAGCCAGTCAGCCAGCCAAGTATCTGTAACAGAGTGTGACTAAGTTGCTGGTACAGTACGGCTAGCGGATACAGTCCGGCACCGAATAAAACCCCGTTCTGTGCTAAGGTACTCCGAATTCGACCAGGTGATTTCACGAGGGTATATTAAGCACTAAGTATAAATGCGGGTGTCTTGTCCTAAGCTCAGTCTACATTATTTACGATAGCGCCTTTGGTGCGCATCTCCATTGGCCACGCTACATCCTTTTTGTATTAGGCTCTGGCTGCCTTGAGTGCTCCCTTGGATTTTCGGTGGTGTCATAGCATCGGTGTGTTGGCAAGCTGACTGCATCAGTGAGCACAGATGGAGGTCTAGAACACGTACATGTGCTGCGGGTGGTGCATCAGAGACCATACATCAGCTACCAAATGCCCTGTCGGCACGGGTATCGGTAAATAGCCCCCTCAGTGAAGTCTTACGAGCACGGCTGGAATCAGCAGCCACTTTATGAATAGCACATTGTGTCCATCGTTGTTTGGTTGAGCCACTGAAAAATTTTCTTGTAGTCTGCATAGGACGGGCTGTCATGCTATCTCAGCCCCGAGACTCCATGATTGCGCTACTGCTATGCGTGCTGTGAGAGTCCGCTACCCAAGCTACTAACAGTCCTGAGATACGCCGCCCTAGCCCACAGCGCAACCTATGTCGAGTGTATGAGGAGAAAGAACCGCAATTCTCCCGACCTACTGCTTTTAAAAGCAACATTCGAAATCCCTAGGAGGGCTTCTCCTTGTTCAGTCGCCGGCTTTTGCAATCAAAGCACATGGATACGATCTACCATGGACCCACTCTTCCAATACTGTGTGCGAGTGGCTGCGGAAGCTCAAAGACAACTATCCGTAATAAATGCAGACAATGTTCACAAGTGGGAACCGGTGGAGGCTCAGCTTATAAAAGGGGCCGCGATTGAGGAGCCTGAAGCCCTGCGACAGTGGCGAACTGAGAATTTCCGGAATTATAAGAAGAAGCAGAGAGCTGAAAGGTATTTACGAACCCGCTGAGGGATCGGCACATCCATTCCGGTGCTAATTTGAGCCACAGGCCCAGATCTTTAGTTCTTTACGGTCCTTCTACCAACTTTTCCAAAGGAGGGTGGGCCTGTACACTGGGGGGTAAGCACATCTACGAGCTTAAACACCATTGGCAAGGAAGTCTGGGACAGCCTACTTCTTGCGAAAGAATGATGAGCGATGCCAACCTCATCATCATCGAAGAGCCGACTGGCAGTGAACAGCTCCTCAACCTCTATTTCTGCTGGTTATACGCGCAGACAGTGTATGATACGATGAACCCCAGGACTGCGGATACTATGTCACATCATCGTCCCAGTATTTTCCTGATGACTTTTGATCCTCGAGACGATTGTGAAGCCAGCAGAGGCTTGCTCGACTACCTCTTCGATTTTGTCTACCTATCTACGGAGATTTATGGATACGACGGCAAGCTGGCCGTGCAGCAAAGGGCACAGGAGAGTTAGGAGGATCGGAAGTCGATGAACCGCGTACGCGCAGTCAGATATGGCACTTCTAACGCCACTTTCCATTGGTGCCGTCTATAGAATACTGGCACTTAGAAGTTAGACTGTGTGTGTATTGAAACGAAATACAGAATCGTCAAAGGGAACACCTTGCAGCTGTAATATTTGTATCAAATCTAACCGGGTTCGTAGAGGTGTATGAGACCCAGCTAGTGTCCGAGCTCTATAAGAGGACAGAATTCAGTAGAGAGCATTTATATTGCGTAGATGCTTCCTGTTTCCGCTCTAGTACGCTAGGCATCCTCGTATCCGGTCGATGGGAGGATGTTAGTGCATATGTCCCTTAATGTTATCCCAATCAAGGCACTGGATCGCAACTTCTACATGGTTGGCATTCTTGCGGCTGCTGCACTGGGGCGCCACCTCACCCAGTGTGCGCGCACTAAGGCCAGCCAGCTGCTTGGGACAGCGCTCCGGCAGTCAAACAGTGAACTGCAGACGGTGGCAGAGGCCGGGTGTTTTGATACTTTCTGGGCAAGCGTCTATCATCATGAAGCATTGTGGCAGTCAGTTGAAGCTATCTGATTAGGCGCCCGGCATACCTCCAATGATGACTACAGTTGATCGGAATAAATAGGTCAGCGGTACATATCGCTGCTCCATTCGCATTTCCGAGGCATAGCATAGACTAGGGCTGCGAAAACTCCTAGTGTCTACTCTTTAATAGTAAAATTTCGCTCCTAAAGACGCTTGTGCATCGATGGAGGACTTGTGCAACCCAGCAGAACTGCATGGGCTGCGCTAGCTCAGTAGAGCTGACTGTACTGTTTTAATGAAGCCATGACAGATTCTCGAGCGGCTCTAGTGTATTGGGTGTTGGGTTGGCGCAGCAAGCCTCGGTGGAGGGGGGCGGGTGGGGCATACTGGCACGGCTGATATGGATATTGGATTAGTTGCGAATGTGATAGCCAACAACGCCCACTGAGCAGCCTCCTCAGGTCTCGATCCACGCTGAACCCGTGACATGTACACCGTAGCAGTGTCACAGTGAGCTGGATGGCCTGAGTATCGAGGCTTACAGTTGCTGTGCCACCACTGTCTGTAGGCTGACGTTCACCACACCAATGGGGCAGATTGAGGAGACATGGCACTTGGGCAGCATAGCCTGACTCCACTAGCGGCACCTCCAGCTGTGGTTATGTCGCTATATGCACAGCAGTACTGCTGCGGCACAAACCGTACCGCTACAGCAGAAGCAGTGCCGGTGCTACTGTGGTCGAGCAAAGCCGCAAAAATGCGCAGTCGGCCACTGAAATTAGACCATCAAGAGGTTAGTTGATGGCTGCTTGCCCAACTTGTACCATTCGTGGCTGCGAAACACCGGAATCACTGCCCATCAGTCTGCCTTGCTTGATCACGATGAAAACTGCGCTATAGGATCAATTAGCCTCGTGCTATCGATGCAGCGTTGATCTGGAGATGCGTGCGTGGTTGGATGTAGGAAGCTCCAGGTCGGTATACCACTATTACAGCAACGGGGTTTTCATCGGTGAGCGTGGATAGAGAATAGGGCAGCATAAGGCCACTAGTCTAGCTCATTATCACGATTTTAATTTGACAGGGGTTACCACACACTTGTGGACAGGCTCGAGATAGCCGAGTTGAATGTTATTGTGATTCATATCGCATCGTACCTCGCGGTGCTCGGCCACGCTTTCGAATGAGACATCTTGCTCCCGGTATGCCTAACTCCCTCTCAACTACAACCTGCCTCTCGTGGCCTCTGGTTCTAATAAGGGGGCTCCTATCGTGCGAGCCTATGACAGTCTGACTGCTTAAAAAGTTGCTAGCTGAAGTAAAACGGCAACTGGAAGCGCTGCGGCGCCCGAGCCAAGAAGTGGCTCCCAGCGCCCAATAAAAGACTTGCATGCTGTTTGCTCTTCGTCTAAAATATAGTTGGCGTTCAAAGCGGTGGGTTTTTAAAAAATTAGCTACGTTAGAAGAGGCCTTATGAGGAACGCGGTATTAACTATATAAATATCTAAATGAGTACGGTAAGATTATCGTTATAGATGCTATGAGTATAAGAATCGTTCTTTACTAAGTTATCTTATATAACGTAAAACTTCCTTGATTCTATTTGGCTAATTAACAGGAACCTCTATCAGTTTAGTATGTTACAGGGTGATAACACTAGGCCCGTTTAAGGTTTATATACTATTCTGCCATGTCGCCGAGTCTTCATGATATTTCGGTGACTACTCTTTTAGTGCAATGGCAGAGTGCACCATATCATAGTATATAGACGATCTTTAAATAATTAAAAAGTTACGATGAATAAAATCTTATGGTACTAGTTATATATTAAGGGTTACTATAGTATCACGATTAACCGTCATAGCGACTTAGTAGAAGGGTGAAACTCCGCAGTGGAGGCCCTATAGTCCTGAAGCCTTAGTGGTTAGTTTAATAAAATTGAATTATTGTTAAAAGACAAAGCCTTAATAGCGTGTTTTGAGTGTGCTATCCAACCCGCTTTCGTATATGTAGGTTATAGCTACCGTACGACACAGGTATCGTGCGCCTAGATTACACTGGCCCTTTACATTGTAATGTTATGAGAAAACAGCCCAGCCAGCCAGCCAGCCAGTTGCTCAGCCGGTCAGCCAATCGACCAGAAACCAGCATCAAAGCATGATTGGAGCTAGACGGCTCGCATACAGGGCCTCCAGCACTGGATACATACGCCGAGGTGTTCTGAAAGTGGTTGCGCAGTTTCATGAGGGTTTCACTAAGCATGTTGGGGGGAAAGGTGTGCTCTGCTAGGCCCAGTGCACGCTCCATGCTGGTCATAATCATGCCCAAGTGCCCATCCGTACTAGGTACTATCTACCCCTTTTCATTAAGCCCGGTCTACCTTACGAAGTCCAATAGGCCATGGACAGTGCCCTAGCATCAAAATATTGGATACGCTGGCCTCACGCGCTAATGAGCTTATATCACAGTCTGCAGCATACCTACATACGGTGCTGGTAATATATTAAGGAACGAGTATGCCGTCAAGCATTGTATCGATGGGGCGCTGCTAGATAACGCCACTGGCAAAGCTCAGTGAATCTGACCGGAATGTATCCAAAAGCTGGAAACAGCGGCCGCTTTATTCTTGGTATATGGCGTCCATCATCACATAACCGGTCCAATGAAAAAATTTCTTACCACCAGTACTGTGGCCGTGGTGGTGCCGTCTCAGCTCCGAGTTACTATAATGGTTACACTGCCACTTAGGCAGCTATGCATGATGAGGGCGCTTCCCACCCAAGCTACGTACATTCCTAGCATGCTGCCCCCCTTGCTTGGCACGTGACCTGTTTCGAGCATTAAAAGGAGCGTCCTACAATATTCCTGGTCTGCAGCGCTCAAGAGGGCCAAGATCCGTCATTCACCGCAAACACCCACCAGCCCTTCGAAACCAAAATAGATAGATATGACCCATTATGGATGCATCAACCGGATTCGCGGCCTTATTGACCTGGCAAAGAATATACGACAAACGCACAAGAGACGACGGCAGGATCTGTTACTGGACACAAAGATTTGTCTTGCCAATGAATGGGATCATCTTTGATGAGCCTGACGCTCTATGGCAGTGGAGAACCGAGAACTTCTGGAACTATGAGAAGGGGCAGAGAGGTGAAAGGTAACTACAAGCCCACGGGAATAGTGACGCATCCTTTTAGGCACTAATTAGAGCTGCAGGCCCAAGTCTCTGGTGCTCTACAGCTCTTTAGTTACTGGTAGAAGAAAGTGGACACAATCGCTAGGGGGGACCCAGATCTATACGGAATGTCCGACAATATCTGATTATTGTAATGAGATGAGATGCGACGCCGACTGTATCATCTCCAAAGACTTGGTTGACAACAAACAGCTCCTCGACTTCTATTTCAACTGGGTGTTCGCACAGGAGACATTTGATGTTAGGAAAGCCGCTATGGGCGACGATATGAGTATTAAACCACGGCAACGCCCTATGATCTATATCACGAAGCGTGATCCCAGGGAGGAACAAGGGGCAAATAGCAGCCTCCTCGAGTACATTTTCGATTTCATCCACATAGCTACACCATTGTGTAATGTTGATATCGAGATAGCTGAACTGCAGGCGCAGCGGGATGAGGAGGACCGGATTTACAGGAATTTTTAGTGTTAATCTGGACATGGCGCTCCTGAGCCACTGTGTATCGGTGCTGTTCATTCCATGTCGTCCACCAAGGAGCAAAAGGGGATTGAACAGTAACTGAAATAGAATCGAAAACGGTTGAAGAGAACTCCTTGCAGTTATGATATTTATGCAAAGTCAGGTGGCCCTCATAGGTACCTGGAGTCTATCTGGAGTTTCACTCTCGAAGAGGACCAGCTCCTGAGACAGACCATGTATTCTTGCGTAGCTTTAGCCGTATTTTTCGTTTAACTTACTGAAAATAGGGCTTTTTCCTACTAATGTTGTCAGAAAAACAGCTCAGCCAGCCAGCCAGCCAGCCAGCCAGCCAGCTAGCTGGTTTAAATACGAGTCTCAGTGTTTCACAGCGTGTACTGTGCGCCTGTTACGGGGCTTATGCTGCATTCTCACCGCTCTTCGGCACATGAGTGAATTGGGCGTTCTAGGTGGTATGTGAATCTCTCTCTGAGCAACTAGCGTGGTGAGTTGCTGACTCGATTAGAAGATGATACCGCCTCTTAATCCTACTAGCCGTCTCGAGGCGGGCTTGCAACCCCGATACATTAGATATTGAACTACTGGATATTGGAAATACGTGCTTTAATCCAGGGGCGGCCTTGGCTGCAGGCAGCCGCACAGCACGTACTGGCTACAAACGTTTCAAAGGCGAGTACACGTGTAGGACATGCGCTAGCGCCATTAGGAGAGCCACGCTGGAGCAGAATCTGAGTCCAGCCCATGGATTTATATTGTAAAGTGGAAACGAAGTGTAATATAATATCCTTTTATCGAGTGGTACCACGAGCCGCATTAGTTGAAGAGTGGAAGCCACCCTGCGTACTCGTCAATGCATCGATACACTACTTATAAATAATACTCGATACCTTAGAGGCCCCATTTGCATTTTTTGCACCTTCAGTAGCACGTTGTAAGCATCAGTCTTTCTATGTGGCGCCATAAACTGGAGCATCTGAAGCAGCCTTGGCAGCTCCCTCCATAGGGACCGCGCGAGCAAGGTCACCTCTTTATGACTAACTGTACATCACACTTGTGGAAATCAAAATTATCACGCAGATAGCTGTAATCTATAGCCAGAAGAGCAAGTGGGTGCAGCAAGGCCAATCGAGATAGGAATAACTAGCACACTAGGACAATAATGAAATAGAAATGAAATGCCGACTCTCCTTTGATTACAAGCTGGAGACCTGCGCGACGCAATCGAATTTCCATCACTCCTGCCAGATATATAGTGACGGCAGACAGTAGTTAGTGGGGCTTGCAAACAACCTGCCATGTGAAAAGACCGGCTAGGTGAAGGGGCCTCGATACCCATAACTTCTGTTCCTCCATCCCATCCTTCTTGTATAGGGTGTTGACACCCTCACCAGACTCCGTCGGAAGTGCGTGACCTATAAAAGCCTCAGTATATATCTACTAGGTCTGCGAAAGGTGAAAATACTGACGATATAGATCAAAAACTTTTACGATGTATCTCGACTCCGTAGGTATGGGTATTATCTGCGAAGGACCACGAAAAGATTTGCGCTCTTCTTCCAGACCTGGCTGAAGATAGTCTGCCATGATAGCGGCGATAGCCTCGACGATATCCTTGGTAAGAGAAGCGATGGATTCAAAATGTCTGAAATCAGACAGAAAGGAGTCCATTTCGCACTCGATGAGTTCCGGTTTCTTTTTGTCTCCAGTTTTCGTAACTTTCCATGGTAGACAGACACTCGTAGCTAGGTTGAGCTCCATTCGGTGCAGGCGTGACAAATCTTCCTGGCCTTCAAGCGTGAGCTTCCATTGATCGATCTCGTGCGAAATCAGCTCAATGTAGTCGAGACCGACACGTGGAGACTCGTGATCTATGCCCTTGGGCATGCGACGGAGGTAGGATATGACTTTAGAAACCTCAGGGGGGTACAGCTGCTCCGAAACCAGGGCCTTGTATCGAGTGCCACCGTGGCTGGTGAGCAAGCGCGACACTGGGTATTCAGGACTGGCGAGCCATTGAGAAAGGTCGCTGTTAGAGAAAACGGAGTGATTCATAGCGAAGCGTGATGAATAGGTGCAAGCGTGTCTGGCGATTCGAAAAGGAGCATGAATGTGAGCGGCGATGGAGGGAAGAGACAAGACGCAGGTTTTCTGCCAGTTAATATTATACTTGGTCTCAGTTCATCGCATGAGGGGCCAGGCGACACTTTAATACTACCTTCAGTGTATGGAGATGCTGAGGGCGCACGTTCAGCTACCCGATATCCCCTCACGTTATGCGGCCAGATGGTGGCGCAGGGACCCAAAAGGAGGCGCCACACGCGGCTGCACTTCCTGAAATAGCATCCGCGCTTTCAAAATAAGGGTTAATAAGTCGACGTGCCGTGAGCGGACTAAAGTTCGTCATACGTGGCGCAAGTGGGCTTTCCTGGTTCTCGGCGTAAGTAATATTATCGGAAAAACAGCTCAGCCAGCCAGCCGGTCAGCCGGTCAGCCAGTCACACTAATGTTATACGAAAATAGTGTCAGCCAGCCAGCCAGCCAGCCGGCTGGCCGGCCGGTCGGCCAGTTTGCCACAGGCTGTGGCTGAGATGTCGCCCATCTGCATGACACAAATAATGTGTGGCTGAATAGTCATATGGATGAGCACTGTCTTAAGGGGTACATGAGTTCAGAGGCGGAGATACAGGCACAGGCTGATGCGCCCACCAGCAGTGACCAGTCCACGCCGCATTATAGTGCTCTTACATTAAGCGCATACAGAGCATGCAATTTGATATGCGCGTGAGCTCCACCAGTGTCCAGCGTACTCGATATGTCCAAAGCATCAAGTGGATTGAACCGTAATAGCTTGGCGGCGCTGTTGCACTTCAACAGCTCTAATGCCATAGTAGCATTCATCGCACTCGAACCTGGGCGGATGTATAAGTAATATTCATAGCACTCAAACTTGGGCAGATTCATAAGTAATTGACCATCTCGTCTATTAGTTGATGGAAATTCGATGTCTATATTGAGTAATCCTGTGTTTTCATACCGTAACTCCCAAATCAATGTGTAGATGAACGAATTATTGAGACGTCCCATCGCACAAGGGAATAATAGCGTGATCTTATCTGTGAATATTGATCATACCCCTCGTTCACTCCGTAACTCATGGAACGCTCGTCTGAACATCAATGGCTGCCGTATCTGGGCTGCGGCCTCTCTGGATGGCCATGATAACAGTCCGCCAGTTCGTCTTCGCTGCAATCATACAATTCACCTTCCGATATGTTCAGAATTTCGAACAAAGACCTAGAGGGTGCACATCCAGGCCCTTTCATGTCGTCATCCTGTATATCAAAGTCATAACTCGTTTCTGAATAGAGCCTGCGATCTGGTGTTCCAGGATTAAAGAGCCGAGGGCCAAAATCGCTCCCCAATAATACGTGAGACCACTTCGCGGGTTCGAGCTTGAGTTGCCGAGCTTCCCTCTCGTTATTTGCATCACTTGGCATGACATCTTCCATGGCACGTGCAATCTCATCTATGGGAGCCCCATTAGCGTTTCTTCAAACCAAAGCTGGGCCATCTATAACTCACTAGTGGCAGTGCCATCCCTCCTGGCATAGAGAGGGGTGCGTCGGCTTTCATTGATGTCGTCTCGGGAGAGGCTAATCGGCACCGCAATGAAAGAAGCAAAGAGACTTGACAGTGCTTCGGAATGCTTGCTCATCTGATAGGCGTGTTTCTGGAAAAGCGATAGATCGAGGCCCACGGAATCAGACCATTCCACCGGGGGCGTTTTATCCGTGATCGCTGTCCGAGCATCTTCCATCTGATTGAACTCCGGGTCGGGGTCCCAAAACGTCGAGCATTCACCAGCGAGATCGACTGAACGATCGTTATAGAAACAGAAGTCATCCACAGACAGCATAACCTCTCTTAATTTTGCTTCGGCGTTGATTTGGTACTGGAAGCCGCGCATTAATTCATCATGAGCTGCCGCAACGACTGCCATCCAGCGCTGCATGTTGTGGTTATAATGCTGGACGTGGTATGGTAAGAGTTGAACTGGTTTGCGATCAGCGATATTGGGGCCATATATGTCCTGCACGAGTACATTTGTCTGCGGTTCAGTGTCGCCAGCAAGAATGGCTGGAATGTCGAAGGTGAATGTATCCATTTTGGTGCAATCGCTGTGATTAAGTGGAACGGCATTATACTGGTGATTGATGCGTGAGCCAGAGTGGGCAAGAACATAGATGGAGGTAAAAGCAAGAGGAACAAAGGGCAGGTGAACAGCGGAGCTGACAGCTACTTAAGTGAAATATTTTCGCAGCGATTAATGTTATCGGAAAAGTCACCAGCCAGCCAGCCAGCCAGCCACGTATTGTACCAAGGTGCGGCAGGGTCACTAGAACTGGATGACCTGTGAATACGGATCATCTGCACCGAATACAATCATGCTTTGCATTGAAGTGCCCCATCATTGGTAGGATACTTTCACAAGGTCTTTGCTAAGAAAACAGTACGAAAAGCCATGTTAGCTATAATCATACTTTCAGTGCCTGTTTCTGTCAGGCGCTCTGCACCCATTTTCATCAGACCCAGCCTGTATTGAGAGCTCAGCTCCAACAGGTCATAGACCATGCCTCGACACCAAGGTGATGGGTACATTGGCCAATCTACTATATCAGCTAGGCCTCACACACCACTGGGCTTCGATGACAGCCTGAAACATACATACACACACCGCCGATGATGAACGGGAAGGAAAAAGTGCCATTGAGCAATTCGACGATCAGCGTGTCACTGGATGGCACCATTAGCGAAGGTTAGTGAGCACAGCCTGGGATGTGATAGGACATTGGAGTTAGCGGCGGCTCTATTTGCAGCATATGGCGTGCGCAGCTGTAAAACAGATCCAATGAAAATTTTTCTTTCAGCGCTGAAGCAGGTTGCCTGCCGTCTCAGCCCTGAGTTGGCATACTACTTAAGCTACTACTCGGGCCCGCTCTATGCTCTGTAGGATCATCCTACACAAGCTACGAATATTCCTGATGCACTGCCTCGCGTAGAACGTGGCCCATTTCGAGTATATAAGAGAGACTCCCGCCATCTTACCAGCCTGCTGCATTCGAGAGAGAGTCGGGATTCAAAGGAGCATTCGCCGTGTGCAGCCACCAGCCGTTTACAATCAACCCCACAGATACGATCCAGCATGGACGCGATAAAAAAGCTCACCGACTTATTACATTCTGAAATAGATCACCAAAAATGCGTGAGATACAATGGCATGACCCGGGAATGGAAGCCTACGATATTATCGCCTATCGAAAGGATCGTTGTCAATGAGCCCGAGGCCCTGCGGCAGTGGAGAACCAAGAATTATCGGAATACCGAAGAGGAACAGGCAGACAAAAGGTATTTACAAGCCTGCTATAAGAAGTAAAGCACCTCTGTAGGCACTAACTCAAGCTGCAGGCTGAAGTCTCTGGTGCTCTACAGCCCCGAGCTTTATGGCAAACTGGCATGGGCACAATCGTTGGGGGGCGATAAAGTCTACCAAAATGGCCCCGGAGACCCTCTCTACCATAATAAGATGACGCATGATGCCGACTGCATTGTCTTCCAACATCTGGCAGGTGCTAAAGAGCTCCTCGACCTCCACATGCACTGGATATGCGTGCAAGGAGCATTTGATGCTGAGAAGGATGCCGAGATGGATGCCACGGACGAGGGGGTATATATCTCGCTACGGCAACGCCCGAGCATCTTTCTCATGACTGACGACCCCCGGGACGATTGCGGAGAGGATAGAGACTTGCTTGAGTACCTCTTTGATTTTATTCCGGTGTCTACGCCACTATGTGTGTATGACAGCGAGCCTTCCACGCCGCCGGAGAGGCAGGATGAGCAGGACGAGAGGTGGGAGGATATCATGAGCCGGGTGCATCTATTCAGACATGTAGACGATGAACCAGTGCAGATAGGGGGCATCTGTCGTCCATCACATTCGAGAGATACTGTATTCTGGCGCAGTGCATTGGAGGTGCACATCACCACATCATCCATAGAGGCCTGAAAGCGGGCTTGAGTAGAAACCAAAATGAAACCGAGATTTGCCGAACGAAACGCGATGCAGGCGTGAAAGTTGCGCCAAGCTTACCAGGCCCAGTCGAGGTACATGGGAGCCTAGCGACTAGCGTCCCGCGAGGACAAGCCGTGGAGAGAACACTTGTACTCTTGCGTAGCTTTGTGTAGCTTTCGCCGTACCTTTCAGTCGGCAGACGGAAGCCGGGATTTTTCACCTTTAATGTTATGAGCGGCCGTGGCTAGCAGCTCAAGCCATCGATCAGGTGCTGTGGAGCCGGCGGACGGTCTGGCTGCTTTAACACCGCCCACTCACGATAAAGCGGCAACCAGTGCCACCAATGGCATCAGCAAAACTAGCGGACTGCTCCCGAGGCTGGCACGGCGCTCGCAGGCCCTCGCATCTGCACCCCGAGTGATTCGGGCGCGCGAAGGAGACGCTGCAGAGACGGATATGGCGCCAGCATGAATCCTCAGCGGAGGCGGTCCTGCAAAGCCAAGCGCCGCAGCGTGCGACGCCAGAAATGGACGCGCGGCGGGCGAATTGTGGCCTCGGAAGAACTGTTCCCCCGAACCGGTGCCGCTGGGCTCCCGCAGAGCCGCGCCCGCGCATGGAGGCGTGTCCGTGAATAGCTTCATGCGCTCACGACTGGCTCATGTGCGGCCCCGGCACCTTAAGCTTGGGATTTTACACCGACAAAGAGATATTAGATGTTAAAGGTCTGCTGGTGTAAAAATCGCCGGAAGTGGGCAGGGCGCCATTTTAGTAGGCGCCAAGATTAATGCGATCTCAAAAGTGGCACGCACGCTGATTTTATCTGCGGTATGCTAAGAAGACAGCCCTATGAAAAACGATGAAGCGATGAATCATTCGAAGGAGAAGCGAGCAAGACCAAGAGCGAAGTGAGTAGGGACCATCGGCGTGTTATCGTCATCCAGTATTCCACCTGGCTGTTTCGAGCGACCGGTGTGCATCGTTGGTTAAGTTTTGGCCAGTGTAAAAGCACGCCACGCCTTAGATGTAAACATGACTGTTGGTGACAGATATGTTGCTAGCAGCATCAAAGGATCTGTATGTCACGGGAAAGTTTGTTCACAAGGCGAGAGTTTCGATGATAATGGACGATACGCTAGTCTCTGCTAGTGGCTGATCTGCTCCGCTCGGGTTTAGCGCGTCTCCTCTGATCCCACAGCCCCTGCGCCTGCTGGAAATATTTGGTCCACCATCCTTTGGAATACTTCCTTCGATATTTCGAGCCCTGCCAAAGCAGCTTTAATTTCTTGTTGCGATTTGACCTTGCTCACGATGAGCGTCATCTTTTCAGCGTGCGAGCACAGTCTTGTTGCAATGCTCCCTGCGCGCTCCAAAATCGATCTTGCCTCGACCATAGCTCCCTGCAAAAAGCTTTGAATAGACTCGATCGCGTCATCGAGATGCGATTGGTCTTCTGAGTCGATAGCGCTTAGCATGCCTGAAACCTCGTCGAACAGAGTCAGGACGCGGTCGAGGCTGCCCTTTCTGAGCTCAGCAAGGTCGATATGACGGGTTGCCTTGATTCGCTGCTGCAGTAACTGGACGTGCTCCTCGTACTTCCCCTCGCTCGCTTCGAAGTCTGCAATTGTCGATTCTAGTTCTTCAATTGTCGCATCTCGCTCGTGTAGTGTTTCTGTTAGCCAGGCCCGATGTCTCTTGATGTAACCGATGTTCTGATTGCTCTCTTGGAGCTGGTCCTTCAGCTGCTCCACATATACTCCTTGGCGGTGCTTTTTGACCTCTTGAATCACGCTGTCGAGTCTCTTCTGTAGCTCCCGGTCTTGAGAACGCCAATAGCTACTGGAAATTTCCAACTGATCGGCTGAATCCTCCAGTTGCTTCCGCAGGTCATCTTCAGATTTTATTCTTTGCTGCAGCTCTTGCTCCAGTGCCTCCTTTTCTTCGAGCATTGCCTCGGCTTCCTCGATTCTTCAGTCCTGATCATCTAGCTCAGCTTGTAGCGCGTCAATCTCCGCTTGGGCTTCCGTAAGCTTCTGCTTGCCAATTTTCCCTTTCTTCTTTTCACGTCCTACTCTCCCACCAAGCTGTCTGTTTGCAGCGGCAAGTCATTTGTTGAGATCATCGCGTGCAGCGACGAGCACATCCTTTTCTTTTATCTTCTGTTGGTGCTCTGTTCGATTGCGTTCTCGATCCTTCACTAACTTGTCGACTCTTTTCTGGGACTGCGTGCGCTCGGTGACGAGCTGTAGCTCTGCTTTTGCCTGTTTCTCTTTCGCGTTTTTGAGCTGGGCCTGATCGGCTTGGCTTTTGTCCTCCATGCCTTGAATATTTTTCATAAGCGAGTCCAGGTCCTCTTCACTCCATCTGGCATCAGCTTGAAGCGGATGCTCTATAAGCTTTGCTTTCTCGAGCTGGCTCACCAGCTGGCGGATCGCGTTTTGGGCATTAGCGCCATCACTCGATTGAGCTTGCATGTAGGAGATAGACCGCTGTAGGTAAGACATCTGTTGTTCAAGGCCTTGGATGTGGCAGTCTTTCTCTGTCCACTGCTTGACTGCCAGATCGAGCTGCACTGCCAAGTCATCCCGCTGTACGATTATCTTGCTGCGCTCCCAAGAAAGTGACCGTTCGGTTTCTTGGGCTCGGTGAAGATTGGATTCAAGTCTTTTCGTGTCGACCTCAAGTTCTTTGATTCGCTGTTCTTGAATCTTTGTCGTCTCTTCGAGCCCTCGAATCCTTTCATTTGCTTGTTTGATGATCTGTGTCGGGTCCATGTTGAACAGAGAGGGCTACACACTGAAGTCTGGTTCGACTTGTCAGTCTACATTGCTACAGTGGTATAACTAGTCGGATGACTAGGCGGTGATAGTAGTGTTACGTCTTGAAGTAGTGGGAATTTACAGGTTGAGGATAATATGGGTCTTAAAACCCTAGTTGCTGCTTCTGAAAATGGTGTTGATGGCTGAAATCTTGTATGGCTACGATCTGGTCAGCTAAATGCTGTAATGGGTCTTTTCATAAACAAATTAAGACAATTAGTGCCAAAGACTGTAGCGTTTTACCATTCTGTTGCTCAGAACTCACATTTTGAGGATGGTAGTTCGGAGTTAAGAGAAGAACAAGTGCAGCTGTAAAATCCAAGCTTTGTGCAAGAGCATATATACACACCACTCATCATCCTATATATGCTAAGAGCTGCTCATTGGAATGAAAAATCACGTGGCACATTTAATTATAGAACTTGGCCGCCATTTCTCGGCCGGTAGGAAGCCTGGAACCAAGGAAACAACTAGTCTGCCTATGTTAGTCTCACCCCTTGTTGAGATTTGTTGCTCATTGATGCATTAAAACGCCTGTCAGCTTGACCGTCGGACGGTCAGGGGGGCTCAAATTCAACCCTGCTCGTATGACCACTTGCGTCATTTTAGTGGTACACCTATCGTGTGTCAACCTGCATTGCTCACTTGCAGATTAATTTGCAGAAATCACCAACGCTCATGAAACCATTCCATCACATGGGCAGCTAGGTCTTTCGTCTTATTGGTGCATGTACAATATGGCCAAATCGGGTTGTTCTGTTTATATTCACTGCAGCGTCATTGTTGGCTCTGTATTTAGAGTATCTAGAAAGGACGTAATGAACAAAACTGTAGACAATGGAATGTGTGAGTGTGCTGGGAGACAGTGAGCCCTTGCCTCTTAGCCCTTTAAAATATTGTAGATTATCCCCTTTTTCTTCGAAGATTGTAGCATAATCTGTAATGTTATAAGAAATGCATTCGATGTTAAAATAAAATGCTAGCAGTTCCAAGTCCATATTAGTAAATGCAAGTAGAGAATGTTTGAGGGTAGTACCGCATTAAATAGTCGCCTACAGTGCCTTGTAACACAATTGCGAATAACCCATCTGTGAACCTGTAGCCGTCGAACTCCTACATTAAGAGCCTTTTTTAGTCTCTGTGTACTGCTCTACCAAGAGCTCCTCCGTAGTGCTCTGTCACCAATCCGTTGTCCCACCTGGTTTGTTGCCCTCTTTGCATACCGTCTTATGCCTCTTCAGATGTAGTTTGGCCTCCCGAGTCATTTGAGTCTGCAGATGCAGAATTTGTGGTGCATCTCTTCTCTCTGCGGTGCTTATACCGGAAGTGGTAGATGGCATCCTCAACATTCTCCCAGAGGATGCAAGAGAGGAGGAACAAGATTAAGAGCACCACCAGAGAGAGGTATCCGATCTGCACGCCTGCCAAGGCGCGACACTTTCGGGCAAGGCCCGGATTATCGCTGGAGTCAAACACATTCTTCCATCCCCAGGGAATGATGGCCTCGCAGAGTTGGAAGATAATGAGAATGATAGTGAAGATGATAAGGGCGACAAATTCCCGGCTTCCGATGTAGTGCTCGAGGGACACACAGAATAACTCTACCAGAAAGACTAGGAAGATTAGAGCCGAAATGCAGAAAAAGATAGAGATAGCCAGGGCCCAGTGCGCATTGGTATGCATGTCATGGCTCCCGAAGAAAGACTGTAGCTGGTGTGATGTGACCGCGAAGTAGATAGATTGTGCTTGGCCACCCCCAAAGAGCACCAAGCAAGCGATCCAGAGCAGTAGTTCAGCGCACATCTTTGAGGATTGTAATTGGAGAATTCGTATCAAATCGAGGGGCTGGCGTCTGTGACTGGATTTTGGAGAGGTTAAGCTTTGGGAGCGGTGGAGCGAAGGCGGTAGATGTTTCGACTGTGGTCTTTGAATCTGGAAGGTTCAGCTCTGCAGAAGTAAATGACATTTTATATCTGGCTTGGATCATGGCTAAGAATAGCATTCTCTGATAGTACCCCACTTCTGCCTACTTTCAAATGCTTCGCCACCTCATCATGCGTAATTATGAGGCCTGGTACCTCCAGCTGCAGGGCGCAGTGCTCGCAGAATCCCAGCATAAAAGTGGCAGTTTCTTGTCACACATGTGCCCTCGCTTTTAGAAGAGACTAAGAATACCAGTCAGTGTTCGCCACGGCCACTTGGATCGGAAAATGGCTTGAATCCATACTAGCGTCGGAGTAATCCTGTAGGATAGACAACGAACTGTGTAGGTTAATATTATGAGCGTAAAAATATACGCTGGACTATTTTCGGTACACCGTTGGGTAAAATCTATGGCTAGGGATGAGAGTGGCGGGCGTTAATGAAGGTTGCCATCTTGGGAGCCGCTCTTCATGGTGCAACAAGAGCGCACAGCCCTGAGCGAAAAGCATTTCGTACTTTGATATGAAATTCACCTTCTTGATTGGCCTACTGCTCATCCTATGGGATGGGCGGAAGGCCGACTAAATTGGCGGATCGCGCTATATACTATGGATGAGTGCATGCTCTAAGCAGCCAGCTTGCTTATGTCGAATGGTTTGAACAGGGCAAAATATTAGATCTCACTGCGGCGCTTGTGGTGCGGCTTTGATTTCTGGTAGCTTAATTATCGCCCTGCAGAAGTGCCCAGTGATTATATGCCTCAAGCTAAAGAAGCATCTTCTAAGCGCTAATACCGCTATGAGTGGCACTGCTACGGCTGAGGATATTTCAGTCGCATCTGTAGACCATGAATCTCTCATTGACTGGATAATGAGTGTGTGGCGAGCTAATGAAAGTGGCGTAATATGCAGTTGGTTAAATTAGAAGAGTTGAAGCTGCGCTCTTCATGGCACTTGTTAGGTGCTATGCTGACCACCACTACAGCGGTGGCAGCGTGCTGCCTACCGATACGATTACTTAGCAAAGCCTGAAGTATAATGCAAAAATGATGATGATGATGCAAGCTAGCAAGGTAGGAACTGGAATATCTGTCCGTGGATTGCGCATAGACCAAGCAACTACTTTAAGTGCCTCAAACCCAAGTGAGTGTGTTGTAAGATCCGACCTCTCCCCGTTTCAATCTTTTGCTGGTACCTTTCGCCTGCATTCATTCTGTGCCGGAGTTAGTTCTGCTCCCGCTATACGGTCTTGTGATGCGATCTTTCAACACAAGGATTTGCGCTGTGCACCTGAGCCACTCTTCATCCGCATTCGCGAAATCGGCAAGGTGCAAGGTCCTTCCCTCCTTCACGTCATTCCCAATGGACTCCAAACTTTTCTCAACTGTTTTCTTCTTTTTTTCTAACTCCAAAAGCATCTCTAGCAGGCTCTTTGGGTTGCCCGTCTCGTTCGATCCGGAGGCGACGGCCACGTCTTCATAAGCTGGCTCGGTAGAGGTACTGCCAATATCCTGGATGCATTGTGAAATGAATTGTTGAAAAAGCGCTTCATTACGACACATGGACGGCAGTATCTTTTCGAATTTAGAAAAGAATTCCTGCTGTACGCTGTTCTTTATATCAGCGTCCTTTGCACTCGGTGTAAATGTGGCTGCCCGAGGTTTGGGTGAAAAGGTCTGGATTGGGCTCAAGCTCTTGACGGTTTGGATGGCCTTGTTGGTTCTCACATGGAGAGATAGCTAATGATAGCACAATGTTAGAAGATAAAGGAGTCTAGATGATGAGTTCTCTTGGTGTGCGGCGTTGCGTACCGTACGCTTGGTGTTGGAAGGCATTTTTCTCTGGCAGATTGACAAGGTATTGATCTCAAGCTCAGGTGTAGTGTGACTTGGATGACGGACTGGATACCACGAGCTTCTGTCTAGAATATATACCTCTGGATGTACCGGGAAGTATCGGCTACTTCCTAGACAGGGTGTTTGACGAAGTCATGTCCATGATGTTATTAATAGGATATCGATGCCGTGGAACTGGGCTGGTAGGCCAATGTGGTACAGAATGAGAAACATGACCAATACGATTGAGAGATAATTATAGCGCTCGCCACAGCTGGTTTGATTCAGGCAACACAATGTTGCTGCTTCACTACTGTGGCTGGCTTAGGTGGTTTTACCCATGCATCCACTCCCAGAAGACTGCTGAACCTATAAATAGGACCAACAATGCTCGAGTTGTTTCGGTATAATGAGCTAGACAGCACCAAGTCCTGAATTCTGTGAAATTTGATACGAAGCACCAAGCTGCCTGTCGACCTCGCCGGATTGAGTTTAGAAATGCAGTCCAACTTCAAGTATCGTGTTACTCTGAGGCGATAAAGTGGATCTGGTGATGTTGTCATGGCGAGGCAGCAGTACACGGGTCGAAAAGAACTTCAATCTCAAGAGTGGGCTGTGCACTATTACTGGGATTCGAATCAGCTAGCTGGCCAGCTGATCGTCGGCTTAATGTTATCCGAAAATAAACCAGCCAGCCAGCCAGCCAGTCAATCAGGATATGCAAGAGCCCATCCACTTTTATTTGTGCAAGACAGGCTAGACTTTTTCCTATGCTAGCGCATGTGTACAGGGCAGCACCCCTAGGTGCCAGAACCTAGTACTCTTATTGGTCCGATCAAGAAGCTGAAGTGTGAGCGGACTGCCCCGATGGTGGCTGCATGGACTGTGCTGACGATGCTGATGTGCAGGCTTCGTTACTGCCTAAGCATGCTAGGCTGGAATAGTGTTTCGATCCAGCCTACTGTGCTCGAGTTCTTTTATCAGATTGGGGTGATTCTTTCTGCTTGTATACTCTGTGCGACTTGTAGTCTACGCACGCACTGTCTACGCAGGAATTTTGATCACCCCCCAGCAATCAGGCAGAATAGCCCAAAGCCATGGAGATCCACAGAGATTCGCGTGCACATTCACACCGCCAGTAAGGAATTATCCGATGAAAAGAAGAACAAAACAAAGAGGGTATTGATACCATAAGCAATCTGGAATCGGGGAAGGCCCTGGCGGAAAGGCGCAGCACCAATATCCATATCGTGACCAATGCCGTGGACAGTGACGAGGATATCAAGTGCTTCCAAGTTGATGCCCATAGCTGTAAAATCGAAGAGGACGCCACAATGTCTGTGAAACGCACTAAATCACCTGTATGTCGCGATATCGCGTCCCTGTTTTATGCCATGCATCCTATTACCTGCGGTGACGCGAGACACCCGCGATAGATTGCGGCTTCTCAGGGGTGGCAGGATGCTCATTGGCATACGTACATGAATATAACGCCACCTTGGAGATCGATTGCTGACACTGGTGCGCTAGGGTACTGGGCTTAGCATTTCAGTGACCTTGGAGTACTTAGAATGGCGGTCTTTGATATCATGTAGGGATGGATAGACGGGTTGCTACGAACTGGGCCTTTGGGCTGTTGCTCGCATCTTTGATCATCTAATGTTATCGGAAAATGATCCAGCCAGCCAGCCGACCAGTCAGTGCATGATCTAATGTTATCGAAAAACTTGACCAACCAGCCAGCCAGCCAGCCAGCCAGCTGGTTGCCGAAACGCTAGTTTTAGCTTCAGCGCCCGAGGCAGGGTTCTGGTTCGCCAGAATCCTTGTAAATGAGGGTGCCTCATCCCAGGTATGCACCTTCCAAGGGCACAAATGGCATGAGTATGTGGTTCAAGGCGCGCGAAGTCGCCAGATCGGCGTGGCTGAGTCGATGCAGCTGAACCAGCAGGGTCAGATTTTCGAGGTGGACGGGGCAGTGCAGGCAGTAGGTAAGTCGTACCTTGTGTGCGTTGCCTTGCCCCGCTGCGTGCCAAAGATCTATAAAAGCTAGGTTCGCATCTCGCTTAGTCTGACTTGTCGACATCCAGACTCAGCAGCACATTCCAGTCAACTTCTTTGGAAAGCACGCCTCTATCCTTTCTCATCGCTCTACCTTACTCAATCTACGTCGCGCTACGACACCTCCACCAGCATTTCAAACCACTTCACGCAGACGCAATGGCCTCCTCAGACTTTGTCACATTTGGCAGGTACTGCATCCCTAATGACCTGTGGAATGTCATGGAACGGGAGTACCAGACCACTGTAGAGGGCTCTGACATCCAGATTGGAAGTGACCTCTTGCTCATTGAACTTCGACTGGCGCCAGAACGGTGAAATCAGTACCGATGAAGCCGACTTTACTCGCCTTGTTGAACTTAAAAAGGGAGTCATAGCTGTTGCTGGTGAGGCCCTGAAGTACGACGATGAGATCGAGCAATGGCTCATTACATCCAATGCCAAGTCCGGACGCTTTGTCATAGGCTTGAAGCGCCATAACAAGGGCTTTAAGAGCGTGGCCGACATTAAGGACTTTGTCGATGATAAGTTCAAGGCTGGTGGCAGCACCCCTCTGATCGAGACCTTGGGTGAAGCTCTGGGAGCCTACCTACAGAAGGTTGAGAAGAAGCCCGACGCCAAAGCACTGACGTTAGTCTTCTTGCTCGACGGCCTCGACGACAGTATGACTGGAGCCCGGATAACACGCAACAAGGTGGACCTCAGCCCTATTAAGAACCTGGTTATGTCTACGGTGGTCAGGATCATGAAGCAGATGGGCTGCACCGACGTGCGCCAGAAGATAGGCGTGCAGTTCTGCCTTATTACCAGCAATGAGGAAATCATCCAAGCTTATAACGGCTTCGACAACGCCGGCGTGTACGAGGATCCCAAGACAGGCGAAAAGTTCGAGTGCGACATCTTCGACTGTACCACGCTCAGACAGATCCTGGAGGATATGGGCGGCTGGGACTCACCCCTCACGAAAATGAAGCTTATCGGCGGCCCGCGTAACGAGACTCTCGATAATATCCTGGAGTACCTAAAGGAGTTTGCACTGGGCTACAAGGTGGGCAGCAGTGCCAACCCCCCCAGCTACGATGACTACGAGCGTGACCTCGAAGAGAAGAGAGCAAGGGCTTAGAGGTGTTGCGTGATCGGCGGGCATCTCAGTCCTTTGGCACGCGCCGTGCATTCTTGACAGGCCCCTTTTTCTTTTGCTTACTTGATGGATGCGGGACATTCTTTGTTTGGTGTTGCGGGTGCGCTCCCTTTATAGGGATGTCTTGACCAGTATAATTAGATAAATCGATCGTACATGGGAAACCTACTATGAATACAGTCATTACCCAAACCTTGTCTTTTTGACCTCTCGTTTTGTAATTGATGATATCTACTCTGCCAACATGTCCGAGCTCTTGCGTTCTTAAAAAATTTGAGTAGCTATGGTGATCGCAACATAGACAGAAAGAACAGTGACAGTGGAAACTGGTAGCAATGTTTGCGAGTTAAGTTATTAAGCGGTAGTCTCATGTAGCAGCAAGTACTCGGTACAGGTACTTTTTCGCTTCTGAATAATGTTATCGGAATTTGGCCAGCCAGCCAGCCAGCCAGCCAGCCAGCCAGCCATCCTACAGATGAGAATATTACGGATCAATATCTTGATAAGATAAAACATAGCTGGGGTGCCATTAGTGAGGCCAGTAGTGAGGCCTGCAGTGAGGCCAGTAGTGAGGCCAGTATATCGGACAATTAGCATGCCGGCCTGGAAGGTGTTATTCTCCCCGCACACCTCGCCAGGTAGTAGCGGACAGGGGAGTGAAATGGCCCCATACACTGCCCTGTGTAATGCCAGCTCGAAGATTTCGCACGTCAAGATCAATTTCAGTGTGCCTCTTTTCTTTAAAGACTGACTGCTCTACTTGAAGATTTGGGAGCAGCTTCTTCATGGCACCACTCACCGGCGCGCACCAAACACCTACACTCAGCGCAACCCAATCTTTCTTTGCGTACTACACCAGTCTCTACCAAGAGCGCTGTCAACAAGCTACTTTCACCCCAATAGTGCTTCGAATCACCATTGTATTATGATTTGTCGTATGTAACCTACGCGCCGCGTTATGGTGGTAGAAGCTCACTCTAGAGTAGAAAACATTCAGCAAGCCACCCCCACGCGGCCTACTGTATTGGCATGGGGATTCTTTCCCTACGACATCACTAGCTCGAAATGCTCCAGAGCTCGGGATATCTGCCGATGGAGTAATGTGCGCTCGGCAATCGAGAGCTTGGACCCTTTGCTCGCACAGACTATCAATACTTGCCTTCATCTACACCATCCGAATTATCGCTGCCCTATTGCCTCGGTCACTACGGCACCCGAAGTTACGTGTGCTAAAAGAGGTCTGTGGCCAGGCGACAAGAATGACATCGGCATGGCTTTCACACGCGCGGCCAATCAATATTGGAGTGGTTTCTCCCGGGATGGAAAGGCCCCAATGGTTGTCGTCCATATGACTACCGGCGCCTTCCGGTGCGGAAGCAGTATGCGCGACACCCTTTACCGGAGCATGCTGAACATCCACGCCACATCGGCCCCTCCTAATCAGATAACACTGATCAACTTCGAGGTTGGCAGCCCAGAGACCATGGCCGTGCATGGGCATGACTGTTGTTACAAGGTTCGCGTTGATGCGACAGCTGCGTCACTCAAACTCCTAAGCGAGACTCTAAGATATGGCTTCCTAGAGTGGCTTCCGCACCAAAGGAACGGAAAGAACGATTACACGATTAATCAGCTTATCGCCAAGATCAAGGCTGTTCCCGAGGATCGGGGACTGGGCCAGTACAACATCTTGTATACGATCAAGCTGTCCAACTTGGAAAATGGTATTTTAAGTGATGTCAATATCTGCAAAGTGATTTTAAGAGTGGCCCAGCATCGCACGGACGAGATTAAAACTGAGACGTAATTAGTTAGGATGGATTGGGACTATGGCTCTACAGATTTCATGTCATTTATTGTCTCTTTGAGTTGGGGTTTGGCAAAACAAAAGGATGCCAGAAATGATCTATTCCGTTCATGCGTGATCTTAGATTAAAACACTAGCCCATGCTCTTCCGCCAAGAAAGGACTGAATAGACACATCCCTTCTAGTCAGCTCCCAGGCGGTAAAGTACATTGTGATTGATGGGTGCGTTAAGCAGCGATAAAATGCATCGTCCTCTTCTGTAGGCCATCCAGAACTTAAGGTGTAGCCGAAGACTTGGATTCAGTAGCTGACTTACAGCCAGACCTAGCGAAGATGTGTGCGGTTTCCATCCGGCCTAGCTCTGAGCGCCGAGGTACCGGTGATGCGAGCCCGGCGGCGGACAGAAATTCCGTATTCTAATGTTATCGAAAAATGTACCAGCCAGCCAGCCAGCCAGCTAGCCAACAGATGACCTGCTAGCAAGCCAGGTTTCAAAAACATGTACATGGGCGTACTCATGCGGCAGCATGGGTGGCCTACCACGGAGTGGAGTTGCCGTAAGCGCACTATGTGATAAATGCACGCGGTCATGTCGTAAGTGCACAGTCTTGTAAGGCTGTAATCAAATGTGCTATAAGTGCATATAGGCAACTCGCTGTTGTAATCTCTGCAAGTGCATTCTTTGAGTACAAGCGGGGTCAATGCAGTTGTGCAGTAGCAGCCAAGTTGTTTATCCATACTGCTTGGGAACTAGTCTTGCCAACAAAGCTTCATTCAGTCACAGTAGATGGTATGCAGTGCTGGCCCCTCTCCTCTGGCGAGCGGTGGAGCGAGACTAACACATTAGAGAAACGTCGTAGGCACCACCTGCTAACCACACTAGTGTCTTTAGACAGCCTTTTAGTGGCCAGAACACTTTTACCTAGTGCAATATGTTCTGGTGAGATGCTCTGTGCTGACTGCGAAGCTTTTTTCAGATGCAACATGCCACTGAGCGGGTAAGCGTCTTCTACTTTGCGTATAGCCTTGGATGAGCCCATTTCATCGGCTGCCACGTCACTGCGTTGCACAGAAAACTCGAACCGCCCCACTGTTCGTGTTAGTATACTTTGACTTCGCTGATGGCCCCTCAAAGGCTCTACTTTCTGACTGCATGCGGCCATTTATTGCGCTAGGCCTTGCAAACTGCCATATCTTATCATAGTCCTCCATCGGCAAACAATACGTGCGTGCTACAGATTAAGTCACCGGGGAATGCGAAAACTGAGCACGAATGCTGCTTTGGAGTTTTTCCCTGTAGACCGAGCCACTGGTGCGAGAGTGCTTATCTAATCTGCGGCCTAATTTCTCCTACAGAAACATCAACGACAACGCATCTTATGTTTCGTCGACTGCGACACTAGCAAGCCTGCTAGCGACCTCCACGCAGATGTGCACGTTCTCCAAATCAGCGATAATTTCCTCATCTGTTTTATCGGAGTTGTCCTCATCCATACTTGACTTGATCGCGCTTAATTGAAGCATCATCTCGTCCTCGGAAGGCCCACCCGGGACCTTAAACTTCTTGAATTCCGTATTTTTATGATCCCAAGGGCTGTAATTTGCGTCTGCTATAAAGACACACATCAGCAGAGGTCTCTATAGAGTGGCTTTGCTATACCCTTACGTCGTCTTGGGTACAGAGGCATGCCCCGCAGTTCCTGTTGCCCTGCGCTATGGAGCATAATCATAAGACTCGACGAATCGACCGCTTCATATGCGCTTTCAAAATATTTAAGCATGACTTCCACGTACGAGATCGCGAATGTGACGTTGAGGCCGGCACTGTCCGCCCATTCTGTAGAGGGTGGTGTCTTATCTGTAAGAGCGCCTCGGAGGGTGGCCATGCGCTGGAATCTGTCATCGTCAAGGAATGCAGAAGCTGGACCTTTCAGGGAGGGTTGGCATTCCTCCTCTGCCTCGACAAGTTCTGCGAGACTATGAAGCTTCGATTCCACGTTGATCAGGTGCTGTGCAACGGGGAGTAGCTCGTCGAGGATCTCAACAATGGCTTTCACTGATTTTTGAGTGAAAGGGGGGTAGTGCTGAAGGTGATATGGCAGCGAACAGGCGACCAACTGGTCATCCACTGGACATATATCCTGTATGCGAACGTCCTTCTTAGGAGTGCCGTTCGTGTCGAGGTTGTTAGGAATCGTAAAGTTGAATTCTGCCATGGTGATTATCTTTTCAGAGCGCAGCATGCAAGTGACAAACGAAGTGGAACATGAAAAGAAAAGAGAGAAGAGGAGAGAGAGATGCCATTGTGGGAAGAAATTTTTTTCGCCTTTTAATGTTATCGAAAAACTTGACCAGCCAGCCAGCCAGCCAGCCAACTGGGGGTAGCTGAGTGCAAGTAAGCATGGGTCCTGGTTCGTGCGTCCACTCTCACAAAAGTACATGAATCTACATTGGCTCCTGCTGCGTCATAGTCACTTGGGCATGCATCAAGGCAACCTATAATTCACATCTCAGTGCTACAAGATCTGGTGTGGCCTCACAGCACCTCACTCCTAAAGGCACAGGACACTTGATGCAAGAACCGCTTACCGCGAGCCGTGGGACCTCTGACTCTTAAAATATACCTAAAAAGCTCTTGCTTATGCTGAGGTTATTAGATTTGGTGACGTGGTGTCGGGCTACGGCGAGGAGAGGCACTATATAGCGAGAGGCAGCAACTGTCTAGAAGGCATATGTAGACCAGGATGTAATAGTTGAGTCTTGGATGTGCTCTGAACTGTATACAGCCACGAAATATCTATCTGGAACAAGTGCAGTCCTGCCCAAGTTCAAAGCTCTTCTGGCGTGGCTTAATCTCTACGATACCTGAAAAAGATTCTTGCTTGGCAGCACGGGACCGACTGCGAAAGACGTCTGCTCATAGAAGATGCTACGCGTAAAAGCCAGACACTTTTGAACAGCTCTACACTGGAAGGCTGGTACACGTTCACCAGTTGAGTCCACCCGATTTCGAGCACAGCATTTGAGAACAATAAATGGTGAGCTTGGCCAGACGGCCTCATGTTCTACGAGCCTGGCACAATGCCCAGGCGCTAGGTTCTGTAAGCGTTGGCATCACCGACCATCGAGCCGACATCGGAGACTGGCTCCTGCTTGTGGAGCATACGGTGGACTGAGGGACACAAGTCGGCAGATACATCATTGCGTATCGTTGGGGAATGGCTTCGGTACCTTCCCCGCCCATATAGACTCTGCGGCACGGCATAGGCACAATCGACAGATGCATTTGAAATCCATAGTCAGTATATAGCTAGAAATTGACAGACGTATTTGAAATTCATAGTCCATATATATCTAGAAAGAAGTACATTGTGGATAATGAGGCCATTTCCCCGCCTTGTGTTGATAGCGATGATGCAAGACGAATGAGCACGTTAGTCGTCTGCCCAGGACAGCAAACAGCCACATGCTGTTGCAAGCACTGCAAACACCCAGTTGCCCGCAGTAAACTTCTGAGCTGGCGACGGAGCACGATGGGACTTCTTCTTTTTCCTGGTCCCGGGGGGTGGAGCTCGTCGAGGGCGGCGAGCATGCCTGTTTCTTGACTGGGCCATGGCTGTCTTGCACCAGTTCAGCGCAGCGATGAGGCACAAGCCCTTCCGTGCTCCACGCGTCTAGATTGGTCCTGCAAATTCCTGAGGTCAGCCCCAAGTATCAAAAAAAGAAATCAGTTGATGCTCTTGCAAGAACTGGCAGCGATCTACCTGATTGAGAGCAGGACTTCGCCAAAGGGACGGCACAGGTGGCGCAAGGTTCGTGAGCAGCCGCTGTTCAGCAGCCCAGGGTTGTTTGAAGCTCCCATGAAGGTGCACAGGGCCCAGTAGGTTGCATCTTTGGAGTTTCTTCTCCACGAATGCCCGCAGAGCATAGGCCGGGCCCATTCCAGCAGGCGGTGTATGCCTAGTCCACGTGGGAGCGGCAAGGCCCCTGTACTGCCATTGTACGATGTCAATCACTGATGATACCCTCGCTCACAGACATGTTCCATCGTGTGGGTCAACTCGGCCAAGCCACGACCGCCAGGTGGTGCGCAGATCCAACAGCCGGGGAAACGCGCACCAACGCGGTGTCCGCTGCCATGCCTGGTGTGGCGTTGACGTCCTGCGGTTAGAGCAGGGATGCGTGATGGAGGTCATTTTTTGCACGGACTAATGTTATCGAAAAAACAGCCAGCCAGCCAGCACGCCAGGCCGGTATATGTACTCGCAGCTGGAGCTCCACTCGAGCTCGCACAGTGTGCAACTAAGTGGGGAAAAACTTTTCTCATGCATAGATCCGCGACGCAAGGTCTGCCGTGGTGGGATCAGCTTGCGTCATGTCTCACGCTGCATATCCTATCAGATATTATTTCGCCGCGTTCGACAGCCACCTCTGCTCAGCACCTCCAATAGATAAATCCACTAACGCAAAGGATGCAGAAGCATGGAGAGATGACCAGTGGGAAGCTGACACGCAGCTGACATGGAGAAGCCCCGGTATGTTGACCCGACATGTTAACTCAACGCGGCACCGTGGCTAACCAGTGAGACACGTTGAGAGACGAGCTAGCCATGGAACATCGGTCTCCAAACCGACCTTGGAATGCCGTAAAATGGTGAAGGTGTGCCTTTCTGTTGCACATGTCCCTGCATGTAATTTGCTGGGTGGCTGCGATGCTGGAACAGAGTGTCATCTGGCTACCTTGCCATGCCACATAGATGCAGTAGGTGGTAGCCGATCGCTGGGACGGCTTCACGGGGTGCTCTCGAGCGCTCATTCCTGGGGGATGATAGGGTCGGCGGGTGACTGCTCCTCACGACCGTCCAATGCATCTGCATGACTGAGCCACTGGTCCCTACAATAGCCACGTTCCTTGCGGGGGAGCAAAATACATACAAGCTTGCTGCGAGCAATTGGTGCCAGGAGGATACGACACCGCAGAGGCTAGTCTAGACCAGCAAAAAGCAAGACAATACTTCTTGTAGAGACGCTTGCGCGAAGCAGTCTCAAATAATCTCTTGGAACCGATGCGATTCGCTTTGGTGCGCCGCCAGCCAGCTCAAGGGAAGACATGGAGCATGGCAGACGGACGAGTAGATTTGGTGATTGAAAGCCATAGAACACTACTCGATACCTTAAGAGAGATTGAGAACAATCACATGGAAGGGGTGATAAGTCATTGGAAGATCAAGTCAAATTGCGCAGGATAAATGTCAAGTCTGATGACCGTGTACACTAATTTGATCACTAGAGCTCTATTCCCACCCACATCTTTGGCACCCAGCCTTTCTTTGTAACCATGCCTTGAGGGCCCCACCACCACTGCGCATCGCATTGCTTGTCCATCACCCCGGTGCGGGGCTGGACACGATGACAAGCGCGTCCGCTCCACATAGCCTCCGCCCATTACCAGATAGCATCCTCTGAGGGCTCATGTTAGTCTATCTCAAACAAAATGCAAAGGCTGTGTACGTTCAACATACGTTCCATCCGATCGAACACTCCCTCATGCTCCTCTTTGCTGAGGAGATTCCAGCTCTTTTGGTCAATGCGCGGCTGGCCGTCGTCTTCATCGCTGGTTTCGGACACAGGCATATTGCAGGGAGCCTCATTTTCCTTATTTTCGTCTCCCATATCGTCTTTGTGGATGTCGTTGAACACCGTCCGGGCCCGGTTAACGAATGTTCGACACTGCACCCTCATCGCTGCGCACTTGGTACCAATGGACTCGAGTGCCTTGACGTCGTTTGGCGTTACTTTAGGGCAGCATTCCTTATCTTCGGGAATGGGTTTAATGGACAGTTTCCGAAATCCTTGGGATAAACCCCGGATTTGTTGACGCACTTCGTAAGCCTCGTCGCTCTTGACGCAGGGAAGACTGCGTAGTCCCTTTATCGCGAAACTGTGCAGGCAGTCGATGAGCAAGGCAATTTGGCGTTCATCACCTGGATTGAATTCGTCTGCGACGCAGAGAAAGCTGTCGGCATGGTCGATGGCAGTCTCACCCTTGGGCCACGGGTTGCCGCGAGGCTGCATTAACACCGCGAGTTGCTCCATGAGGTAGACAAAAGTCAAGGATGTTTTGAGCCAAGCTTAATGTTATTCTCGTCGCAACTACTAGCACGAATACGCCTGTAGACCAGTCATGGCGCGTGACGCTCCGGTGTGAAGAGTTGGTGCATAGGAGAGGGCTGGCCTGCGCTGGTTGACACTAAACTACAAGCTGCGGCGATGGGAGTGGGCTAGCGTGGCAGTGCTGTGTAAAAGGTGCCCCGCCGCTCTCAAAAGAGCTGGCCGCTGCCCTATCAAACCCCGACGGGACTCCTGAAACTTGAGCTAATCACGTACAATTTCTGAAATCGTTTACCATCAAGCTACTATAGCCACTTGCACACAGCAGATGAAGAATAAGCTGGCACCGACGCAACCTCGAGAGCACACCAAAAGCATCGTTGGCATCGATGCACCTCACAGAACCACCTTTGCCCGGCCCCTCATCACTGGCCCGCGGCGCAGGTGGCCCGTGTCGAGCCTTGTCTCGTAACCAACATCGGACGCGGGCCGCCTGCGCTTGAGTGCGCTGGCTGCGGCAGTCAGCACTTCCGGCGGGGGCGCAGTGTCCGGGCTGGGTCCACCGTATGACACATCACCCGGGCACGGCGATGCAGGCGTTGCGCTGTCTGTCCTCGGCCATTCGCGGTGGCTCTCCGTCCCCGTGAGCTCCTCAGCATCTCCACTGAGATCTGCGAGCGCTCCGGCCATCAGTGGCGTGCTGTTAGGTGTATGGTGCGCGGGTGGCGTGGCTGGGGCGGCATTGGAGTCGGCACCTGCAGCGCACGCCGGATCGAATCGCACAAGCGGATGCGCGGCGTCAATGTACTGGAACACAAGGTTCCGGTTAAGCCAGTCACGATCTGCTGCCGACACCCGTGGCCCCTTCCGCGGGTCATGGTTCGACAGGTATACACACAACCGGCCCCACTCGATGCTCGTCTTCGCCCGGTACTTGTCCGTCACATGGAAGCGAGCCTGGCAGCCGAGCCAGGACTTGTATGACGGGAGCCCATCCAGACCCCCGCTGATGTCATCGAAGATTAGATAATTCACCTTTGGGTTGAATTCGTCGACATTAAAGTGGTTGCCCATGTACGCGAATGTCCCCCCGAGGTTTTTCACCCACGTGGTCTTGCCCGTGCGCGATGGGCCCCAGAGACACAGCGACTTGCCCCTACCACGCACCGTTAGCCCAGCATGTTACGACGTCCAGCGATCGACTTACCGGATTCCACTCGGCCCACGACCGAGATGCGGCTTCAGCTCGTCGTTCAGCCATCCCTCGATGGCAGGGTACGTGCTGGTGTCGAGCACCAGACCGCTGGGACGCTGGTACGGCTCGGGGGCCCGGGCAAAGGCATGCTTGGATGCTGCGACCAAGTTGATGTGGTTGCGACAGTAATCACTCGGCGCGTACTTGGCGCAGTTGGCCAAGAATTCATCGGGTGTGGCCGATTCCTGCAGGATGAAGCGATACTTGGTGTCTGCCTTGCTCTGCGAAGTGAGAGCGGCCGCCTCCGCTTGTGCCTCCTCGCTGCCACTCCCGAGTTGGGCGGGTCGCAGGTCCAGTGGTGTCTCGGCCTCGTGCCAGCCAATGTCGAAGTCGTTACAGACCATGCATGCGCCTCGTTTGTCCGCACGTCCGACGTAGTCGCAGGCGACATGTTTCATACGTGGGTTGACCTTGGTGAAGTGGGGTTTGTTCTCGCCCACGGTTAGCTTGACCTGCGCGTTACGGATGGAAGGCGTCTTGCGAAATGCGACAAAGGCATGGTAGTGAGGGCCGCCGTCGTCGTGCTCCTCGTGTGCCAGCTTGACACGGAGTCCCTGCTCCGCACCCGGGACCAAACCACGCAGCTTCTGCTCGGCGACAGGCTCGTCGAACTTTGCGTCTACTCGAGACCAGGTGATTAACCAATACATGGATTGCAGCCGGTAGCCCGGGCCGGCGCTGGTGGCTGTGGACCCAACAAGCCCAAGGGGCTGGCGGCCGCCAAGTGCTACACCGTTGGGAGCTGCAAGTCGGGCCTGCAGGTGGGCAGGCGGCATGATGGAGGAGTACGGTGCGGACTATGGGGAAGCTCAGCTGGGGTGTCGACCTGGTGTGGTGGCGAGGTGTTTCTTCCTGAGACCTAAGCGCTATGGACCAGACTCTCCATTATACTCCATCAGGTGCCGTACAGTTGCACCTGGCAGTTCAGCATGGAGGTTGAACCTTCCCCAGATGCTGGCGCACAGAGGAAAGCCATTCCTGCATTCGATAGCAGGCGCGTGGGCTGACAGAAGGCACGGCCTGCGGCAAGCTTGCTGCAGGCACTTGATGGACACGGTGATGCCTTGCTGGTTCCACTTGACTGCCCCAGCATAGTCACAAGCTGACAGCATGCCATGTATCTAGACGCATGGGGAGTGCTGCCCTGCTATGGAACATGGGCATCTTTGTCTGGGCTACGGATCGATGCCGTAGTAAACTAAGCATGTGGCGCAATTTTGAGAGCAGCTAATGCACAGCGTGGGCAGAGGTCTACCGAGATACGCAATGGTGGGACGCCGGTGCTCAGCGAATCTTTACATGGTAGGGCAAGGTCGCACAAAGCCCGCATTCGGGGAGTGCCCTCACAGCCTAAAGTGGTCCAGTCGCTGACTTGCAGGCAAGGTCGATGGGATCGTCTCTCATGTGCCTTCGTAAGTGCCAAAGTGGAAGAGCATTCATGTGCTCCACTGACGGGAAGGGTAGCAGCACGCGAGATGAGCAAGCAGCGGGGAGCAGCGACCCATGAAGTCTAAACGGCCCTCGACCGTATCATGGGGACCGATACTACTCGGTGTTGCGTCAACACTAGGTCTGTAATGTGTTTGTACTGAGGTTATCTTCGCAATTGCTCGATAACATTAGCTCCGTGCGAAAAATTCTGCTGTGCCGCGGCCACTGTCGACCTCGGTGTCCCTGCCTGGTGCATTTACCATTTGCTACATGGCGAGTACCTTGCAGGACATGGGAGAACCCCGGCCACTCGAACCAAACTGTCCGAGGCTCGATAGGCTGAGTCGATGCTGGCGGCCTATGGTGGCCAGGCACCAGATCTACTGGAACCGAGATCTACCACTGCCCACGCATGCATGCATGCATCGTCACGGTACCTTAATCACTAAAGCACCATAGGCCTACAGATAGTTGACCACAGCTGCACAGGAAGTCTTGTGCTACCCGTTTCGTATATCTGGCCAGCGAAGTCTAGAATGATGCGCCTGATACTGTTGACCGCTCTAGATTTCTTGTAGGTCCAAATGAACTCAAGAATGTCCACTTAGATTTGCTGAATTAGACCGGATGGTCAGTTGCGAGACTCATTCTTCACAACATTTTCATGCACGCAGTTGGACAGCTCTATGCATTACACCTCCATAAACATCATGGTGACGTCGCGCTGCCGAAGATGGCTCATCGTGAGACACGTTATTGTATAAATATGCTTATTTACTGCTCTATACTACAAGTACGGCGTGCCCCAAGGCAAACACGCGTAGCATTGATTTCCGCCTCCTTACAGTACAGCACCCGTGCCATCTCCCGCGCAGAACAAAGCAAGATAAGTTGTGGAAGAGACTTAGGCCTCTAGTCATTTTTCACTTTCAAATACACGACGTAAGGATTGTAAAGAGATCGATCCTCGACCTTTTGCTCGTCATCTCGACGACGCCGATGGATTTTTCACGCCGTCACGTCGCTGTTGTCCGGTAGTCGTGGAAATGGGAGACGAGACGCGATCCAAAGTATGTCATGTCGCTCCAGTACGGCATCGCCTGCTTGGACATTGTAGCCGCAGAGGTAGCGTGTGAAGGACTTCACGGAGCCTTTGCGGTTGGGGTCCAGCGACTTGTCTGACTGGTCGTAAAACAGCTCCAGGCACATCCTAACCTTGCCAGGTCCACGTTGTCTGTACCAGACCAAAAACTCGTGGTGACGAGGTCCCTGCATGAATGGGCTGCGTATGTAGGCTGCCCAGTCGAAGGCGTGGATCATGACGGGCTTTCAGCACATCCAGAACCCACGGAACTCGATGCGGCTACGTCTGCATGCTGCAGCCAGCCCAAAGTAATCGGGAAGCCGATCGGTGCCATGGAGTCATCTGTTTTTCTTTGGTATGAGCGCTGTGACTGCGTTCGCATTGGTCTCTAGGAGACGCTCATAGATCCTGACGCGTACCTCTAGAGGTGGTAGTCGTCTTGGTTAATAGAGGCAAGTAGGGGCAAGACGTGGGAGCAATGGGAACCTACTAAGAGGAAGCTGGAACAAGGCGCTGTTCTCCTGTTGATCAATTCTCTTGTCGGTAGCCCTGGTCAAAAGACGGGCTGATACGAGCAGAGACCCCCATTTTTCCAGCTGTGCGGTCATGGCGATCTGTTGTTCTGCTAGGACTGGACAAGAAGAGGAAGAGGTTGAGAGTTATAAACATGGCAAGAAGAGAAAGCTGCGCATACCTTATTTAGTCTGTTCGCTTGTTCGAGGATTTGAGCATGGATTCTCAAAGTAGCGGTGTAGTTACCCCTATGCGTCGAGCGAGGTCTTGGTAGCCCGTGCACACCGAGCTGAAGCATACTTGCTCCACCACGAGACTGTTTCAAATCGTAGGCTGGATCACACAGGAAGGGGCGCAGATGAGTGAAACAAAATAGCCAGAGCTGAGTCGTTCCACCCATAGGCCGTGAATACCCGCTGCTAAGCGCAGCTGGATGGCTGGCTGGCTGGCTGGCTGATCCATTTTTCGATAACATTAACTTGGGCAAAAAGTTTAGAGGTAGACCCCGTGGGCTGCTGCTAGTCACACAGTGCGGTGGGTGTGTGTGAGTGGGGTTGGACCCACGCAAATGGAGCATCAGGCCTGTCGTGCGGTATTCATTCTCGGTGAGCGTTCCATCGAGGCAGACCCCACCGGACTGTAAGTAATTGCTGTGTCACACCGGCACACATGGCTAACCTATGGAGGAGGGCGGTGAGAGCGGGCACATGTCAAGGCAGATTTGCAGGAGCACACGCGGAGTAGAGAATAAAAGGAGGCCGGCGGCTCCTGCCACTGGCTCTCTTCCTTGCCAACACCCGTCTCCATTCGCATCATGGACCCTGCGTTCATCGCCATGGACCAGCCCGACGACGGGCATGAAAATCATCGTGGTCATTGTTACCACTGCATGCTTAGATCATTGTACCTGACTCATTTAATTTCTGGGGCAAGTTTTGTATATACCTCGCCGCCAGTCTATTTCTGGGGGCCGAGCGGCCCAAACAGCTACCTTTCCATCTTCGCCAACATCCCGTTTGAGTCGGAGGGTAATCAGTATGTTAGTGTGCAGCAGTACGCGATGTTCCAGAAAGCAATGGTTTTCAATGATGAGAGCGTGGGACGCAAAATCCTTGACACCACGGACCCAAAGCAGCTTCAGGGCCTGGGCCGAGCAGTCACAGGCTTTGACTCCACAATCTGGGCGGAAGGTAAGCTCCTAACCTTCACTCTTCACGGTGGTTCTCGATGCTTATCTTGTAGCACTATCGGAAATCCTTTGAAGGGGTTTCTATGACATGATCACCAAAAGTGCGGAAGCCTCGGAACTCCAACATCGGCTGTTAGCGACGGAATCAAGATTCATCGCCGCTGTAAGTCCCAATACATCCTCGTGCAGAATGCCTGGTGATGCTAATACGTCCAGGCCGCTCTGCTTGACCGTCTCTATGGCATCGGGCATGCAGAGAAAACCGCTGATGAAAGCGATAAAAGTGAGTGGGGCCTCAACAAGCTGGGTTTCGCGATCATGGAGGTAAGGTTAATGCTTCAGGTCCACCACAAAGTTGCGGTACCCATGTTCGGGCAACCCCCCTGGGAGCGTTTGACGGACTCAACTTCATCGAGAGCGAGAAGGCGTTGGCTGCGTTTGGGATTGGCTGGTGCATATATTTTGAAGATATGGGGGTGGGTGGTGAACTGTTATCGGGCTGCCTTGGCGCGAATGCAGCGTAGCCGAACGACGGCGAGCCACATGGTACGTGGTGGAAGGCATTGACTTTTGTGATGTCGGGATCCTTGATAGTGGCTACTCGGACTGCTGCGAGTTTCAAGAATCACTCATTCATGATTTTCCGAGAGTGAAGCGACTTGGCTGGTGCCATGAGCCGTCGGGTATAGCGTCTCAAATATTGATCGACCATGGCTCTAGAGGACGTCGCTCTTACTATATCCCCGCAGGGTACAAGGGGCGGAGTATTGAGGCGGAAGCAGTGAGGCAGTGCATGACCGCGCGAGCTACTGACTTGCATCTATGGACTTTTGCGGTCGGTGATGGCAATGAGGCTTTGCAGCGCCCATGCATTGGACAGGCAGTCAGCGGCTTCGAGCCCGAGGCAGTATCGAGTCACAATTATTATGTATAATCCTTAATAGACATGATGCGGCCCATTAGGCTCGCTCGTGGTGGTGCGCGGACTATCCAGCTAACCAGTGTGGACTTTTGCACAGCAGTAGTGTCTGGCGCAATCCGATCTCATTCTGAATCGCGTCTTAGAAAAAGAGTTTGGATTTAGCGTCAGGCCTACAAGGCACCTGTGAACATTATTAGTGCTGTCCACTTGGTACCCTCACTGCTAATTTTATTGCGGGCTCAAAATAAGCGCCAGATCCCCAGCTGGCCATTCGGCTGGCTGGCTGGCTGGCTGGTCAACTTTTCGATAACTTTTCGATAGTATTAATCGATCACGTGGCTGGCTGGCTGGGCCAATTCTCTGATAATGATATAATGCAAGGGCTTAGTTGGCTGGCTGGCTGGCTGGCTGGTCAGATTTAGATAATATTAGTTTACGTAGCTGGCTGGCTGGCTGGCTGGAGCATTTACAGTAAAAATAGGTCACTTCGCCACGACAGAGGTCGATCCGTAGGATCTGCAGATGTGTCGCGCAGCTGAGTCGGTTTTGGATTGCTACCCTGGAGAGTATTTTTAGAAATGCAGTTACGGCCGATGGTGTGCTGCGAGTGGCAACACATGTGGCAAGGCGGATGCAACGAAGGTATGCGTCAGCAGCTCGCAGGCTGCACTGATACCTCTGTGAACAGGGGGCGAGGCCTTGTGCAGCACCATCGTGAGCATCCGAGTTCAAGTAGTGTGATTTGCTCTTCCGTGCGGGCACACCAAGATGTCATTTCTGCCGTTCAGTAAATGTATATAAACATGTCCTCCCGCCAAATACCTTTGCACTCTGGTTAGCAGCATTTTGTCCTCGGCATCGCATTCCGAGAAAAACAAAAATTTCTATGGTTATCTTGCATAGTACTGCAAGCTAATATCTTCATTGTATTTTTTTTATGTTCCCTATAGAACAGCGTTCAGCCTCCCTATATCCTCTTACCCAATGGACCCAAACGAGATGATCGAGACGCATTGCGACCTCGAGGACCTGAGGAATAGTCTTGGATCCTATCCAAAACCATTTCAGAGGGCATTCAAGAATGCATGTTTGCTACAAAAGTACACCGTGGGCTGTCAGTTCCAGCAAATGTCAAAATGTTTTGATCGCATCATGGAGAACCTCGAATCCCAAGCGTGGCACCCCGGGCTTTCCAGCGATGAGCCCTACAACAATACCTATCAACTGCACCTCCAAATGATGAAAAAGGCATATTTCGATATTAAAATCGACCTGGATCAAAACCCAAAACTGCATTTCGAGGTGGTCACCGCCACAAGCAATGCAGGTCGGCTTCTGTGGGACTGGATGGACCAATTCAACAGCTTGATAATAGCTCAGGCGGTCACTATTAGGTTTCTTGCAGCATTGATTGCAATTTTGCGCAACAGTGCGATGCGCGAAGGGCTTGTGCATTGGCGGCACGAAGACGCACACTCGATCCATGATTTTGGCACCCCTAGCTGGACTTCGTCCCCGCCGGCATTTGAGTTCTCCAGCCCGCTGCCGGTGGTGAGCACTGCGCTCGATCCACGAGTACTGGAAGGGAACCAGGAGTGTGACGAGTTGCAACTTTCTACAACACTGAAACCACCAACATTGGCACATGGGATCTTGATCCATGGGGAGGAGAGTGTGACGCTCATCGACCCATGGTTGTGCAATGATGCCCTCGCCTCACCACCACCACTAGCGTTTGAATGTTCAAGCCCAGTGTCTGTGGCCAGCACTGCACTCGACCCCCCAATGCTCCAAGAGAACAACGCTTGGAATAGATTTCAAATTTCTAGTGCACCAAAGTCACTGGCACCGAAACATCCTGAGCTAACTGGGGAAGATGAAAGCATGCAATCGATCGACTTGTGGCAGTACGATGACTTCATAACTTTGCCAGGCGGACAGGACGCAGAGCCACAGCAGACAGTTGACAGTTTTGCATGCTCCATGGCATCGAACGACGGACTATGTAGGTCTACATTATCTCTTATTCCTCCAGTTCCAAAGGCTAATACGTGTTAGATTCCGGTGACCCATGGGTCGAGACGGGCTGTGATCGAGGAGGACTGGTGCTCTCTGGGTCAGAGGCAGACGCTTTGCTGCCTCCGCTTCCGGAGCCAATGTCGATCACCGCATTTGACGACATGGAGATTTTTTCGATATAAGTGCCAACATGTTTGGTAATAGAGCACGTACCTCAATCTCCGCACGTGGTGGACTGCAAATCACAATTGCTATTTCAATGGTCAGGACTAACAATACTTATGGTTCGGGAATATCAGTTTCTGATTCTAGCTATTGCTGCTTGTACGGGCATTTGAAACCAGTGTTTCTGCTATAGACTGCTACTGGAGATGAATAGAAGTAAAATTCGAACATTTTGAACGAATTCATGCACATGTATAGTTCAGGCTTGCTGAACATAACCCAGTGAATGGCCACGAAGCCAGTCCGCACCTCGTGCTCAGCGATTTGCGCCACCGTCGATAGCAGTGTGGCTTGCTTCGAGACTGCTTGCGCATAATAAGTCGTTTGACAGGTTTACCTCTTACACCTTCGCCACGAACTGCATCGGCCGAGCATAAAGTGGCCATCATGAGGTACGCAAGGCTGTTTAGGGCTTAAATGTCAGCCATCGGGTCAGCCCCAGTAAGCAATGTGGCGGTGAACACTTATTTCGGGACCAAACACGGTGGTAGGGCTGAAAATAGCGCTTCTTGCTTGTAGATCGTCATCCCTGCTTATCTATGTCTTGAGGCTATACCAGGCGCAGCTCTTCGGATTAGAGCCTAAAAATAACCTAGGCAACAATGCATGAAACCGTCTAATCAATGGGTCTCTGCGGTCACAATCGAGCAGATATATATTTACGCAGGGTTTCATGTGTTTTGGTGGACTACTAGGCATCAGAACTCAACTCTTTGACCAAAACACCATCATTTATTTCTGATCATGTGGTTCTTTGAATGCAACGCACCCCGGGGGGTCATACAACCTGAGATGAGATCAAACGACTGCGAGGGGCATTATTTGAAAACTTGGGTGGACGAGAGCTGCCCAATGGAGAATAATGTGAAGCAGAACTCTCTTGCTGTAAGTTCTTTGATGTAAACCTAGCTTGTCGCCTCAGCTAACCTTTGGCACTCAGAGCACTATTGCATGGTACTTCCCCTTTCTCATTTCATCGCCAGACCTTGCCGGCAATATGCTCAATGAAAAATTGGGACCACCTCCAGGATATGAGACCCCAGGGTCTAGCCACGCTATGCCAAAATGTGAAACGACAGAGTCGAGCAAGCCGGGAGCATTCAATAAATCGACAGAGCCGGAAGCTTCAACAGCACTGAATACATCGACAGTGCCCGGCAAGTCGCCAAGCCACTGCAGGTATTACTACGTCTGCCGGTGGGTTGTATGGGCGGTACTCGTGGCAATCCTGATTTTGCTTATTCTTCTTTGTATATGTGTCGCAATTGCACTACGCTATACGCGTTGATGCTGCGGTATTCACCGTAGACGTGTTGGAGGTTAGTGTAGTATTATTCTGAATATTAGAGCTCTAAGTATCATTTAAACACTGTATTATTCCAAAAGTTTGGGTAGTAGAGTTACAGGAGCATCAAAGACAAATCTTCGTGGCATCTTTTCAGTACACTCATGTCTGAATTGCACACCATACACACGTATGTTATGCTTACATGTGTGTTGACTAGTATGCTTTTGGTATACTAGAACGTGTGTACATTGCCAGCATCACAGAGTCTCTAGATAAGCACATTAATGCTGAAGATTACGGAATGGAAACAGTGCTTCTACCACCATGAAAGGTGGAATATGACAGGACAGATGCATAAGCTGAGTGTCAGACCTATTGGTCAAATGATCTTGCTAGCTACGATAGCAGTATGCCGATGAAAACAATTGTTTTGCTTATCATGCGATAGTATCATATGTTGACAGCTCCAGCAAAAGCTACCGCATTGTGAATTAGGCTCGCTACTCTGAATTTTTGGCTTGTCGAATAACAGTATGGATGCTTGCCTTGGGCAAAGAAGGCTGCATTAGCGCGAATGGTAGGTAGCAGGGCAGAGCATTTATAGGGTGATCGCATACTCGCTGAATGGAGCAGAGTTAACGTATTCTTAGCATTGGCGAGAATTGAAAATAAAAAAGATTTGACAGCATTGAGCGGAGTGTATGTGGTGACCATAACCGGTACAATTTAAACTAGCAGGTCTGTAAAGGGCTGTAACTTTGAGGCTTAACATAGTAGGATAATTGCATCAAATGCTACCCCCTCCACACACCATGCACCAGTCTAACGATAACTATAAGTGATGCCCAGTGACTCACAGAAACTTCGAAATCAACAGTTTAGGAGTACTAAACGCAATAAATTTATGTCTATCTAGTTACCAGTAGCAAATCCAAACAAATAAAGCAGAGCAAAATAATCAATCTAGGGCCCCCCTCCATCCTGAACCGTATCACAAACATGCATTTCCCTGGTCCCCAAGGACGCTAGTAGAGGTATTGATCGTAACCATAGCTGTAGAGAACCTTTTCCGTAGCAAAGTTTTGGCAGTTACGGCTGACCTCGGCGAGTTTGTCTCTAGCGACCGCCTGCTTCTGCGAACAATCGCGAATCTGGCTGTGGAAATGCTCGCACTCGTTGCATGTATGTCCATTCTTTCGTGTGTCGCGGTAACACCTTTCAAAGGCGGCTTTGACAAGATTCACCATCGCGTCCTGCTTCTGCTTGACCACATGCTGGTTGGGCTGTCGAGTGCTCCCATTGCACCGATTCTTGGCAGATGCGTTGAGCAGGATGGCGCCCTCCATGATACTGAAGAGTCCCTCGGCATTCTTCTCATGGGCAGTGGCGGAATGCTGATAGGCCTCAGCGACAAGACTCATGATCTGGGTGTTGTTGGAGTAGATCGTCTCAAAAATGCGCGCGATGTCACTAAGGGGAGATGTAACACGGAGAGCCTCGGCAGTCTCGATGAACTTGACCAGAATGCTATCCAGCTTTTCACTGCCAGAAAGGGGAGTGACCACCGTAGTCATGCGTGCAGTGGCTCTAGGTTTCTTCAGAGTGGACTGAAGCATGGGGGATTTTTTGAGCTGGTCAACTGTTTCGGAAGCAGGAATGTCCTCCTCGGCGAGTTCTGCGTCAAAGTCGTTGTACAGCTCTGTCTCATCATTTGTGGTGACAGCCGTGTGGCCGTAGGTGTGCTCTGTATGCACAGTTAGTCACGACAATAAAACATATGACTTTGCTACTGACAGGGTTACCAACCGTGATGAGGATCCTGAAAGCGGATGGTCGTGGTCTCACCTTCGCCATCCCACCCATCGGCAGACTCATTGTCTGACATGTCGCGCTCATGGTCGGTGAACAGAGCTTCATCTTCAATAATCTCGGAGCGGTCGTACATCACATCGATGATGTTGCGTTTGACCTTGAGCGGCGGCAGATGATTGGATCGATGGTCGGATCTGGCTTTCCGTCCAGTAATCATGCCAGAGCTCGTGAGGGCGAGAAGCAACTGCTGGACGGTAGGGTCACTGCTGGCAGGGCTGTGTTGGACATTTTGAAGAAGAGCAGCCATATCCACTTCAGTAGACGACGGGCGAACAGAGCGCTTCGTAGCCATGGTGGGTTTGCAGGAAATTGAGGTAAATTAGTTGTGAAGTGAGTAGTAATGGATGCGATGATGGAATGAGTGGTAGTAACTGCAATCTGAACAGCGAAGGAGAGCTGAATAAATACCCAACTCTGGGTATCCACTAGACGTGTAAGCTGAGGGGCTGATACTGCTGCCTGGAGGCCGCCAGTAAGATTGCACTGCCTCGATTAGAGGAAGAGGGCCAAGACCGCGTATTTAAGCACTGCCACTCTGAGAATAGAAGCATCTATCCTATTTTTAGAGAGTAATGTACCAGTAAATGATTGTCAGATGAACAACGACCAATAGAGAGAGAGAGGTAACGGTTGCCTATCCTCGAACTCTGGCCATCTATTACGAGGTCTTCGTCACTGGTTGTGGCGCAAGTGGAATTTCTGTAAAGATATGAGTAGCACGGACACATATGAGCTCTAATATATGCGAGAGCTAGTTTCTAACAACAGAGTCTCGACCCGCTGTAACGCTTAAGACTTTTAAAAATATCTATAGACGGAGAGCGAGTCGTGGCAGGCTTTTATGTACAACAACACTGTCAAGTATCCGCCATACTACGCACACTTGGCGCCTACTAGGATATAGATAGCATAAGAATAGATTGGAGAACGAATACAATACACAAGCTAGAATAAGTGAGTGCGATAGATATAGCCCCGGTGCTCTATCTTCGAGAAGAACTAATTCCTGGCAAGTAGAGGAAAATTCTGCTGTTCGCCTAAAGTACATAGCTTGGCATCACGTAATGCCAGGCAGCAATAAAGGCTTGGCAGGCCTTTACACATACACAGCCTTAGGCGGAGCCTCTTGAGAGGCGTGTGATGCGAGCTCGTAGACAAAAGTCAATATGGCGAAAGCAGTAGATTATCAAGTTGAAGAAGAAACTAACTAGGTGCGCACCTGCACGCAGAAGAAAAACATTGCGCGTTCTCAGCCCTAAAGTCTACAAGCCACCTCAGGTATGTACCGCCACCGCACTAGCCACCCTTCTACTCTCACTCCACAACAGGCACAGAGCCAGATGGTTTTGAGGATAAGTCCAATATCCGTAACGGTAAACTCGACTTCCTCTCCGTTTTGTGGAAAGACCCATAGTCTCGGCGCCTTCATGGTAAATCCACTGGCTAATCTAGGAAACAGGTCCTGTATCCAAAGAACCTGGCGCAAGGGTGCCTTCAGGACACTTCAACGCGGCATAATAAACTGGACAAACCTGGCTGATTGGTAGTGCGCTTCAACTTCAGTCAATAGCTGTCCGGGTTCTCTCTCATCGGTAGCAAGATCTCGTCATCAGCTGCAGCTATCAATGACTTCCAAAAGGTGTTTAGCGATCTAGAGGATTTTATGGACCGCTCTTCGATCTCTTCCCTGCCATCAGCATCGTCAAGCAGAACATGCTGATAGACGGAGGTTTCGACGTGGATCTGCAGGAACGTCTTGCAGTACTGCATGGCTGTGGCGTCCTGGCGGCATAAGTCCACCCACACTTGGTTGGGATCGACGGTGGGATGGACTTCGTTCATCCACCTGAAAGAGCAAAGACCGACGTCAGTCAGAAGTCGTGGCAGACAAGAACAGCATGCAGCACTTACTCGTTCCATATAGCCAGAGCTCGACAACGTTGCTTCTCTGTCAATTTTGCTATCTTTGGTTTCCGGAGGTTGGGGCCATCCGTCTTGTGTGCGTGACTCTCGAACACCTTGGCAGATAGTTTTTTCAAGGCGGCAGTTCGTCCAGAGAAGAACGACACCTTGGATGACGTGGTCGTCGACGACAAGGCACAGTTTTTACCTTTCTTAGCTGGCATAGCCAGTGGTGGTGATGGTGGCCGAGAGTCGAGAAAAGAGCAAGGGTGGAAGGGGGTTTGGGGAGGTTAGCAAGCTCAACGTGAAAAGTGGCTCGCCTTTTATCTCGCTCGCCTGCAGCACCATTTCTTTGTCCAAGAGGAACTGATCGTCACTGCCATTAGGGGTCGGAGAGACAGGCCACTGCGGATCAAAAATGGTGGGACAAAATGGAGTGGAGTGCTGGCCGTTGGTCACTTGGCTAGCCTGATTTGAGAGAGCACTCATGCTAGCGGTGTAATAGTTGGCTCAGTAGTTGTGCAGACATTGTGGCAAGTGCGCAAAATGGTGACCCTATTGACATGGGAAAGTGCAGCAACAACTCCGGGCTGGTGTGATGGTGGACGGACTGTGGCAGCTGTTTCCGTTTCAACCCACAGCCTCTCCCTCTCCATATTGGTTTAGCTGCCTTGACAATTCAGACGCCCATTGAAAGCATCGCTATTAGTCCTGAAACTATTTCTCATGTGATGCATTTCTACGTCGAAACTCTGTGCCGGATGACTGCCGTTGCCTGGCATAGTTGACATCACCGATATGCCCATGGCGTTTTAACAGACCCTGTGTTGGAGCGCCTGGCTGTTCAATATCACTGGGCAAGCAATCTTCACGGGCAATGAAAATAGATGCTGCGGATAGAATAGGCTGACTGATGGATCATGCGGACGCTATGCTTCTCCTGGCCTCAAGGCTGCTGCAGAGAGGAGCTGCTGACTGACTATGATCGATGGACCATGTGCAAGGGGATGCTTCTCCCACATGCTGTTTCGACCCCAGACATCGTGAGGTCGTGCTTGGCATCACGCTAGCTGCCGTCTATTCACATGAGTTGTTACCGGCCAAGATCTGATCCATGGACCATGTGGAAGGCAATGGTTCTTCCGTGTCTTGGCACGTCATCGTGCAACAGACTGCTCACCAGACCTTGCATCGCCATTTCGTTAATCTATTCATCGTTGCTTTTACGGCGGTGTTTCACTGCCTCTGTACCGCATGGCAAGGGGCCTGGACTGCCTGCCAAGTGCGCTGATTTCCATCGGATCTTGCGTTGCCTCGTGTTATGTGCCCCTTTCTAGCAGCAAATATGGCCTAGAACTTGACAGGCGCCATCGATAAGCGGGTTTACAACTGAACGGCCATCGATGATCGAGGAGATCGATGAATCAGCCGTCCTTTGGTAATGCTTGTGACACACCGCCTGCCATAGTCGAGCACACCATCTTGAGTCACTCAATCGATGCTGTGTTGTCAGAGAAGTATAAATGCATCGGCCTTTGCGAGGCTAGAGTCCTCCAATCCTTTCAACTGCTTTCGACTATCCCGTCGCCCTCATCTTCAACCAATGCTCTTCTGCAAATCAACCGCTTGTCAAGTAAGCCTCCTCTGTCATACCCCGTCACTACATCATCTGATATACTGCCACTTTCTTGCACCTAGTTTATCAATCATGGCCCTCCGTTACCTCGCATTGAATCCATTCTTGTTCACTATGTTCAAGGTGCTCAGGCCCTAGATTGCTAGTGGGATGCACGTTTCGGTCATTGGCGGCATCTACATGAAGGCGCTTGGCCTTCGTCTTACTAAGGTTAGCTCAAGTTTGTCTTATTCTTCTGTTTTGAGCACATCAATTTTACCCACATCCAAGTTAAAACAGGATGCCGACGTTCTTATCCCAAAGAGCGGTCCCTGGAACCGCTTCAATATCATCAACGAGATCGCCAAGCAGGACCCCTGCTTCACGGTCAATATGGAGGTGAAGTGCGGTCTTACGTTCAAGGAGGGCGATGAAGTTTACACCTGGACCTGATCGACGATGAAGTAGTAAGTCCGAGTTTCCCGTCTTCTTCGTTGTGCAATATTGACCAAGCCACTCTACGTAGGCCATGTATTTGCCCGAGGGCATGCCCCTCGAAGATGCTGTCAAGCTCGAGAATCCGCCCTTGCCCTACATCGTTGAGGCGATCTAGCTCAAACTCTTCACCGCCGGTGATCTCCTCAAACTCACCAAGGCAATCACCGATCTCGATGATGTCGCTCTGCTCCTGAATAAGAGCTGGGAGAAGGACATCGAGATGACGTACATCGACAACGCTGAGCGCGAGAAGGCCAAGTATGCTTTTGACTCTATCTGAACTAGGTACTACTACACCAAGACTAACTTCGAGGGTAACACCGTCTGGGCCGAAAAGGAGTGGCGTGAGTTCCTGAAGCTCGACACGGCGCTCTAGGTTCATCCTTTCTCTCGTTTATCGTATTTATCATCTACTTACCACATTTTTTTCCTGTACAGATGCGCACTTTATCAAGTCATCACGTCTATAGGTGCGTCTGGTTCTTTTGCATTTCTCCTCTCATCGAGTTTGCTGCCCTTCGTCGATAGGTCTATGCTTTCAGCTCGTCGCGCTCATCGTACGGGTTTATATTATCTCATTTATCTCTCTATTTCGCATGGCTGACAAGCCCTTTGCCGTCCAGGTTCTCGGCAACCCAGTACACAATTCGTTTGGTCGATACGATGTTTCATACCCACCCAAGGCTGCCTCGTACTTGTGCTTTTTATGCTCCCGCTGTGTTTTGACTCCCTCGAATATCGTCTCTTCTCTTTTTCTACATCCCCACCCACCGAATCCTTCTGGCCGACAGCTAGGCCAATTTGGGCTATATTTTCTATCGCGAAATCGTGTATCCTGCTCACCCACCTTTGAAATTACATCGTTGATTTGACATATTGTTGGGCCGTGCGTGCCTTAATTTGACGGTCGGTCTCCAGGTAGGTCATGGTCGACAACCGTTGCCTTACCGTCGAAGTTCAAGGTATAACGCTGAAGCCTTCATACTTGGCAAAGAAATCGCTCGAGGGACTAAGTCTGCAAACCTACCGAGATTTATTGTTAACTTACACGTTTGGCCAGACAGCCTATGTCTACTACGTATGATGTGTTGCTCATGTCTTGAAAGCTATCGTCCAGGCCCACCGCGATGTTATAGTTAGCAACTATACTAGTTAGGTAATCGAAGAAATGAAAAACCCATATCTTAGACCTCCAGTCATACTAGAACACAGGCAAAGTACCGGTCTGCCTTTCATTCTAGTTTGCCTTTCAGGCTAGTCCAATACATGGCCAGTCCAACACAAGACCTCGTTGACTGGTCTGCAAAGCACACTTCTTTACTGGTATAGGTACCCGTATCTCCACCTCGGCAACGGATCATGGAACGGCCATCTCGTAGCGAGACCAGAGTGGACGACTATGCCCCAGGGAATGTCTATCCTAGGAACTGCCTAGTCGGATTAGTCGAACAGATCCAGCAGCAAAGCGCCCATCCAGCTAAGCAGGAGCGTGAAGCACAATATCCAAGGCAAACGCAGAAGAGTTCGTAACCATCTACCGACCTTGACTTGTCAAGATATCCATGCCAAGTTATTCGATGATGCTGCCAATGACAGGTCTCACGCCAAAATCGCTTATCGGAATCGTCCAAAGGTCCTCGCTGCAGAATGTCTCCCTCGCGAGTAGAGTAGGATCCCACGAACACTTTCTAGCGACACTGAGCCAAAATTCGGTTAGTAGACCGTTAAGTAGTTTCAATGAGACTGATACGTACTTAGCAATAGGCTAGCTTCTCTTAACTGATTTGCTGGCCGTATGATTGGTGTTGTGAGTCGTAGCACAAGAAAGAGTCAGCCATGGTAGTGCTCGAGACACCGTAAGTGGGCGCCGAAGGGGGCAGTGGAAATAAGTTGTTGTAATTAAAAACTGATAGGGAAAGAGGGGTCAATTCGAAGTAATGTGGTTGCCAATTGCTAATCGTGCCCATGAAGATGTCAGTCGTGACGTATGGATATGCTTCTGTTGCATGGAGAATCGTTGGTGGCAGACACTGTATCATTTGTCCATGTTGAGGTACTTCGGTGTGGCCGACAAGGCGCCGGATCTGTTGTAGAGCTTGCATGCTGTAGAATTGTGGCAACGTACTGCTTCCGTCTGTGGTTATTTGGCGGAGGACAATTACAGGCGCATGAAAAAAAAAGGTGTTGACATGGTCCCTAAATTGTCTCCGAGCTTCACGTTGGTTACTCTCTGTCGTAGATCCATCGCGAGAGAGTAAATCGCGGTACGTAGGAATGGCTGTCTCGAAATGATTGGTGATGCCATCAATGGTTTCTTGAGTAAGCTTGAAAGTGACTCGGTGAAGCTGCTCCGCGGGGTTAACCATATCGACGACTGCTACGTGAGCCTTGATTTCAAGTAACTCTGGAGGTGCGCACCTAGGACACTGCTGGCGGTGGCACTCCTCGTTGGGAAGCGTGAGAAGACCTAATAGCCAGGTGGCGCTATTCTGCGAAAGTATGTCGCACAGAAGTGTGCGAAGCTGAAAGTTGTTTTTGATCCGAGGCTTAGGTGTGAGCACATTTCTTAGCGTAGTTGTAAGCCATAATGGAACTTGGTTGCCCAGGACAATCTCTGCGCCTGATCATGAGGCATATGGCGCAATACTGGCAGGTAGTAGCAGAACCGGCATCGCGAAGAGTGGGAAGTAAAGTGAGAGGATCGCTAATAATGATGATGTAATGGCGCTTCCAAGCCAAGTTCCTAATAGAAGGGTTGCATTGCTGAAAAAGCACTGACGATGTTCCTTAGGCAGCGAGGTCATGGAAGTTGGGCTTGGAGACGAATCATATATTGAATTCGGGCTTCACGTTGCTTTATACCGTGTTGAAGAGCGATGCGATTGGACTTGCGGATTCCTCAATCGACTCCGCCCCAAAATATTATGTAAAGAAACTATTAATAGCTTTTGAGACACGGAATGCGCATCTCTTGTGAGTCAATTAGCTATTTAAGAGTGCAAAAAGAAACCACAGCCTCAAAGAGGTGCTGGTAATCCTTGTAGAAGCTATAGTACGAAATTAATGGTCAAAATTAGAAAGATTGTCTTAAAAAGAGACATACTGGCCAAAGTAATTGATTCCCATTGGTTGAAATCCGAGCTCGAAGGATCAAGAATGCACTGTTGGCCCACCCATGGTACTTAAATAGATGCAAAGGCAGAAGGTGCTTTGAGTGTTTGCTTGGCGTCCCATGACAAGGGCGAAGTAACCCATACAGAGTGACCTGATCTTGTTGGCTCAGGCCTATCGCACCGAATGATGTGCTACCAACAACATTGACGCAAACGAACATGGTATGGGAGACTACAAGAATGCATCCATCTACTGATAGGTTTAAGGAGTAGTTTCGAACACCCACTGTGGGGTATTGCATCGAGATGGGTTAGTCCTATCAGTGGTGGGGTTCAGGCGAGGCCAGGTTGTGTCGGCAGTATCTATAGGCCGATCGGGGATGAGCGCAGGCGCGCGATGCGCGCCGAGTGCTGATGGGGAGAAGTCGCAGGGTTCGCCCCTGCGACTTCTCGGGGGTGCGCGCACGTGTCGATTCGGGGATACAATGATTAATATGAGAGTCAGATGGCTATCGCGAGGTAGGAGAACTGATCATAAGCAAGCAAGCATGGTATTCGCATAGTAGTTACATGATGGGTTTGTTGGTGGTGCCGTCCGACTCGGCGAGGTGCTTCAGCATACCTCCCGCGGGTGCTCCCGTTAGTCATGCTCGGACTCCCGACACCACCAGCATGGAAGTCACTCTGACTGAAAGACAAAACAAGGAGGTAAGCTGCTGGCTCAGGTCTATATCGCCATGGCAACCTTGTTTTTTTAGTAAATTATCATCTTGGAATTGCGCTCCGATGAACATTAGATAAGTTTACTTTGGGTTCTTGCTAGAGAACTATGCGCTAATGCCTGCGCTGCGGGGTCTCATCCCTCCACTAAAGCCATACGACGAAAGCGCTGCACTCTTTCTTTTAGCCTTGGACATGCCCCCTTGCTTCACACTTCTCAAGACAGTATCACTAACCGTATTTACTGTCTCTTCGGAGACAGAAAACCCGCCGGTGATCTTTTCTGTGACAAAACGTGATATATCGCCATTTTTTTGGTATAGGTGTGTGTAAAATCCCGGATATCGGCGATGAACGTCTACGTAGCTGTTGTATATAATGGAGGCCATCTCTTGCAGTTCAGCAGAAGTGTATCCCAGACAAGAGATATGAGCTCGGGACTAAGGCACGAGTCAGCGATGCAGCAACCCAGCAATGAACAGAACGTACTTGAGAATCTTCGCTGAGCATGATCCGTGCCAGAGCATAAGCACCACCAGCGATCAGGCTTGGAGGATGATTCAGGAAACACGCATCGATTATGGTGACCTCTAAGAAGTACTGTGTGACGGCATGTGCTTTTGGAGAGTATCCACCGGTTTGGCCAATCCACGCAAAGAAATCAATGGGACTTGGCCTGCCCAGCTGGAACTCGAGTTTGGAGAGCATCATACGCTCTGCACTCTTTAATTCCGTGTCCGTGCAGCTGTCGTCGGCCCAATAGATCATATCGGTAATAGGAGGCGGCCTCACTTCTTCGTATTTGGCAGCAATGAACAAGGCGGTAATACCGACTAGTTGTAACCTCTCAATGTTAATAGTTTTGCAAGAAAGGAATCTGTCGATACAGTTTGCGCAGAGAAAGAGCATCTCGGGGACGAGGTGTAGACGTTGGTGGACTTCCGCAATCCATTCTATAAGAGTCGACCGGTGTGACCAGTCCATCTGGATCTGTTTGTCGATGTAATAAGGATCTGGTTTCATCTCCGACTACAATCGAGTTAGCCATGGACAATGACCACATTTCGACTAACATACCTCCAGGTCCATCAGAGTCTGCAATATCTCATTCCCATAGTTCTCCATATCGACTTCAGAGCTTTTTGCGCTGAATTTTTCGACCAACCTTCCAAAGATTGCTGTGTCATCCATTCTGCTAGCCATAGAATCCAATCAGGCTGCTAAAAGAGTACTCTGGCGGAACGAAAAAGGCAGCTTGGAATGCAGGTTCTAGATGTTGAAAGACTGTATTCGAATTAATCTGCAGTGGTAGTTGTTGAAATACTCCACGCATTTATGAAAAGCTGGCTTTGGGGCTATCGGCGGCCCTACCAAAATTAGCTCTTGCAAGGCTCAGCTCGAATGCTAAGCCTCGCGAATATCAAGGACTGGATCCGTCTGATTTCTAAGCTACTAAATATAGATATCGAGCTTGGTCAGCAACTCAGTTCCGGATAGCCTTGTGGTAGCGCTGACTTATTGCCTGGGTCAAGTTCCACCACAAAACGCAAGTGGCTTGTCCCGTTAATTGTCAAATCTTTATAGGTTGCATTTCTACTGCTACACCCGGTGTGTGTAACACAAAAGCAGACAATAGAGATTCAAATAAATTGAAAATAGGCTGTCCACTCGGGTCGGGTTACTTGGGTTTCGTGGACAGCCTAATTGAAAAGCAGATGCTAAATCGTGAAATTTTCTGGCTGACTTCACTACAGTCTTATGACTGTACTGACCTGAAGTATGTGAGGTAAGTATCGGTAGTTGTGTAAGTGAGCTCGATGGCAGCAACGAAGTTTTCATTGTGTCGCCTTAGCGATCAGATAAAACTTTGTGAGATCGGCACACAGCGCTTACCTCATAGCAGCTAGTCTCGATCAATCCGCAAATCGCCTAAGTATAGCTTGGAATTAGTCGAACATTCCTTCACCACGTTAGTTATCCCACCTGAGGGTAAGGGTGTACGCATGTAATTCGGACTAAACAATTGTACTGCCGATAGAACAACCCCCCACAGGCTAGCCTATTTCTAGGAGTCTGGAAACTTCAGGTCAGCAAGAAAAGCTCGTTTGGAGCGCCACTTTCGTACTGTCGGCAATCTGAGTATGACTAATGGGATTACCCACAGGAGGCATGCGGAGAGCACCCCGCCGAGTCGGCCGGCAGCACCAAAAACACCAACCCATCATGTAACTACCAGGCGAATACTATGTTTGCTTGCCCATGACTAGTTCTCCTATCCCGCAATAGCTATCTGATTCGTATATTGATCGTTGCAACCCCGAGTCAACACGTACGCACGCCCCCGAGATGTCGCAGGGGCGAACCCTGCGACTTCTCTCCATCAGTACTCTGCGCGCATCGCGTGCCTGCACTCATCCCCAATCGGCCCAGAGACACTGCCGACGCAGCCTGGCCCTGCCTGAACCCCCACCACTGATAGGACTAACCCATCTCGATGCAACACCCCACAATAGGAGTATATTCGAAAGCGAAAGAATTAGAAAAAGGGTAAACAAATTATATTAAACGACCACTTTTTGTTTATAACGCAGAAAGTACTCGTTATTATACAGCAGAACGATACAGACGTGGCCACGTAAAAGCCGAATAAACGGCTACAAAAGCGAATTATCGATATAAACGATGAAAACGTAACTAATATAGATTGAAACTACAATGTAAGCAGCTCCGAGTCTGATTTTATTGAGGTGGGTAGGCGTTGAATGGTGGTGGGCACGATTTTGCGGTTCGTTAGACGATGAGGGCCGGTACACGGTGACTTATGTTATATCCATAACCATAATATATTGACACCAACAAAGGAACCAAGAAAGCATGTTTAACGACTCAACTCTCAAGACTACTAGCATACAATCTCCTAAGAAGCCCTATTACCTGCACTTTTTGACGCATCTGCCTTGGTATCCTCGTCACTAATTTTGAAACGCATTACCAAGGTCTTTTGGTCTGGTTTCATGTCCGCGTTTAGCTCTTCTATTTGCAAATTGTCAGTTTAATCCCGAACGCAAGTCTTCGGTAACAAACATACTTGGTTCTGCCTTGTCGTCATGCACAGTATCCACTGCAGTCTCGTTGACGGCATCTTCGTTGTCATCGGCAGCTGACTGAGTATATGCAAGCCCACCGGCTTTACCAACTTGAGAGTAGTAAAATAGATCACTCGGGTCGTTTTTGGCTCTTTCCATTTGCTCTTCTAGATAACGTCGTTCTTCAGAAGAAAGAGACTTTGCCATCTTGAAGTAACAGTGTAGCTACCCCAAAATTTCATGTGGACAAGTATCTGTAGGAATATGCCCTGACACCGAACCCGTGTCTGGAGATGAAGGTGGGATGCTGTGGATAAAATTGTGCAAGAAAATATCGAAGCTTGAGTGAGCAGTAATGAAGGATAAATTTCAAGTGGTGAAGTATCTGATATCTTTTGCTGGCCAGTGTGGATGTCGAGCTGAGAATGGTGTGAACCAAAGGGTGGCTGATTTTGATAGCATCGGAGTGGGATCTTTATTGTTTTTATCGAAAGTCTAAGCCCAGTGTTGTACCATGAAGATGAGTCAAGTAATAGACTAAAAATAGAAGCTGCAGCGTGCATGCTATTCAGCTAGCAAGGCGCAGTCACCTTGATTATTGCTATGCAGCTAAAAAGTTTGCATAATAGTTGCTATAATTAGCCTGATAAGTTTTGGAATATATGCTACTATTTAGATGCAGCTCAATTATGTCACTGGCTAAGTCTAAGGGGCTCAGTTTACCTCATTAAAGAGTAGTAAGGATGAGCTATTTATTTTTATGGTTCGGGTTAGGATGTAAATTCATTTGTTGGTCAGACCATGGCAGCAAGGTTTAAATAGATATCTTGATTGATGGGCGAAGCGAAGAAAGTACCACCGTTTGCGCATACATACTGCGCATTCCATTGGCTCGCAGACCCCGACAGCATTGATATGAAACTGCGGCTTCCAGTGTGTATATTTGTCTACCTTGCACTCGCATCGATGCACCGCCGTCGTTAGGATTAGCGCTCCGTAGTATGGGGGATTTTGCGCCTCCAGAGTGGCTGAGAGCAGATGGCTGTAGCCTGTCAACTGCGTTGAGCTGACTGGGCTGAGGCCTCCTATTTATAATTGCTACATAGACCCTTCGCGATGCAGTGTCTGCTATCTTTAAAAATTCAGGGATTAGCGTAGGTTCTGGTCTGGACTATCCTGCCATCCAAATTGGCACAGTGCCACATGAAGCTTCGCCCCAATTCTCTTATGCACCCTCTCCATGTGCAAGGAGCCAGCTTTGAGCTCGTGGCATCAGCAGTACCAGTTCTGGTCAAGATTATCACGATGATCCCGGTACTGACTCATATCTTTCTGCGCGACAAGGAAGAGCGCCGTATGCCTCCAGTAGTGCCAGGTCTGAAGGACACGCTGCCTAAGTAATTGAGTTTACTGCACCGTCTATTCATGGCCGACAATCACGATGGTCACTAGCAGTTCATAGACTGATCCAACAGAATTAATCATGCTTCTCCTATAAAACGCACTAATGTTGAAGCGGATTATCTTCCATAGCGGCTGGGCAAAAACACAATTTCTCAGTGTACAGCGCAGAATAACCAGAAATAATATATCACGAGAGATCTGAGCATGTTGGATGAAGATTGCAGCATGAGGTTTGTATCATGTTCAGCTCGCAACTTACTGAGAATGTATATAGAATAAAAGGGGTATAATAGGAGCCTTGCTAGGGGTTTTTGGCTAGACAAAGTTCTTGGCTACTTTTTCTGCACTCAGCGTGCCACTTTCGATTTAATCAAGTGGGATAAGATCACACGGTCTAAGCTAATATTGTCTGTAAAAAAAATATGACGAACCAGCCAGTTAGCTAGCTAGCTAGCCATACTAATGTTATCAAAAAACAGCCAGCCAGCCAGCCAGTCGCACTTACATAATCTGAAAAATTAACCAAGTCAGCAATCTAAGTTTTTTATCAAAGTATAAACTGGAAGATTTCTCGAGAGCGCGAATCTCATAAAGACACTCTGAAAGCATACTGAGAACCACAAGTGTACGTAAATACGCTCAAATGCACTCATAATAGGTCGCAAGTATGTTATGCGTGCACGAGTGACATGAATACCCACTTAGATAGTCATGAGGTGATTAACTCGAAATCGTACGTCACCTATGCTGCATTACAAACATCAAATGTGCGTGCTATGTACAGCTATTTCATTAAGATACTAGGGCTCTCTGCATGCGTACATACCACAAACTCTTTAAATATGTCACGACGAATCAGCATCTCAGGTGAGTAATTTTCACATTGATGGCATCCCTAGAGTCTGACTAACGGCGGAATTCACGGTAGCAAGGTAAGGTACACTATTTAACTTCGTTCACATTATCATAATTACGGTTTTGCTTTTGCTCTATCTCTCCCGAAGTGATGCGAGCTCACAAATCAAGGTCAGTGTGGCAAAAGCAGTTGATTACCAAGTTGAAGAAGAAACTAACTAAGTGCGCGCCAGCACGCAGAAAGAAAACATCACGCATTCTCAGCCCTAACACACACAAGCCACAAGCCACAAGCCACCTCTGGTATGCACCGCCACCCTTCCATTCTCACTCCATAACACGAAGGTCCATAGCTATAGAATTGAGTCGGAGATCTATGCTAGAGGCTCAAAGCCCTTAACAGCATCAACAAGCGTTGGCAATTGACTCAAACACTCTACCGGAGCTGGGGATCGTGGTTGTTGCCTTTTTAATTACGTTGTAACTGATTAACTAAAGGGTTGGCTAGGCCACTGGCGTTATCGTGTTGGTGCATTGCGCTGTCGAGCCTGAGCCGGATTTCCGTATGAACCTGACTCTGGAGGCGCTACAGTGAGCATACTGTACCGTGAGAGAAACCGCTATTCTTCATGACTGAGTCGCTGTTTTATGGCTCCATTCTGCCTTGAACTTTTAGTGACAAGATACCGTCTCATCAGCTCCAAAAAGCAATTTTCAATTACCAGCTAATGTTATCGAAAAAGTGCCAGCCAGCCAGTCAGCCAGCGGGTATTCCCAAGTCTAAGTACTTCTAGGGCCTATTGCCCCGTGCGTGGGCCGTCCAATGCCTGATGAGTAGCAGTGTAAACTGATGTAGGCTTGTCCCACTGTATAGTTTTGTATACAGTATGAGCAAAAAATTTGTGCTCTGCACAGCTCATGCAGGGGGCAACCAACCGCAATGATGATATGATATCATGCAGATATGTCTTTGGATGCTATTTAAAAACAGCCAATTGCCGTAGACTAAGTGGTACGGCATGTTGATGCAGGATTTGCATTGCAGTAGCGCAATCATTTTTTAGGCAGCAGCAGGATATTGATTAAAGCACAAATTTAATTAGCTTCAGGCTGACAAGGTGGATCTTGTAGCTGAAGCAGATAAACGACAGACGAAATGGATCAACACTACTAGTGTGGGGTGGTGCGTCGAGATGAGTTAGTCCTATCAGCGGTGGGAGTTCAGGCAGGGCCAGGCGGCGTCGGCAGCACCTATGGGCCGATCGGGTATGGGTATAGGTGCACGATGCACGCAGAGTACTGATGGAGAGAAGTCGCAGGGTTCGCCCCTGCAACTTCTCGGGGGCGCACGTACGTGTTGACTCGAGACTGCAACAATCAATATGAGAATCAGATAGCCATCACAAGATAGGAGAACTGGTCATAAGCAAGCAAGCATGGTATTCGCATGGTAGTTACATGATGATGGGGTGATGGTGGTGCTGGCCGACTCGGCGAGGTGGTCTCCGCATGCCTCCCGCGGGTAATCTCATTGGTCACACTCATACTGCCGACACTAGCTGTGTCTGCGACAGGTTGTATCAAGCGCTATATACGCGTCGGGAAGGCTGCTGGCATATAGTCAATATGAAGTGATACGGTGCGTGGCGTGGCGGAGTGTGAAGTGGCGCAGTATGAGACGCGGTAGCTGGCTTGGTGCTCGCGAAGAGTCATTTGATAGGATAAGGCTTAGCAGCTGGTAGTGACTTAGCGGCAGTTGCGCGACCGTAGGACTGGCAACCTACGTGTATTTCATTTATGTGCGTAGATATTACTTTCATTCTCCAGCAACTGAGTCCCATTGCTTTTGCACATGAATTTCTTTGTGGCTTCATAAATCCCCCTTGCTGTAGATTTCTATTATACAGAGCTACAGAATGCACAGCTGGGCAGCTTGCCTAATTTTGACAGGGCTGAGAATGCTTAGTCGAGCGGCACTAGCGCCTTCCTGCAGTGTAAATGGGATCTTAGCGCGCTAGATCCTAAGAAATATTTTCGCTAAGTAATCTAAAAATAGATGGCACATCTACATATCCACTTCTACTAAGGAAAGTATATGTGTGTCAGGGGCCACTGTCATATCACGACCATTCGGTCATAGTGGCTTGGCAGCGGATGTAAAACTTGGCAGCAGAGGTCCTCGAGTTTTTAGTTTGTAGTATAGAATCCCCAGCGTGGGCCTTAGTTTAGCCCGAAATGGAGTAGGAATTCAAAAAAAAAAAAAAAAAGAGGCCCTCGAGTTTGAGGACCTCAGCGATTAGTCTCCATTAGAGAACAAACCCATTACTGAGAGCTTCATCTCCAATTACTTGTATTGAGAGTGCTAGACACCCCATCTCCATTTACCTAGGCTACGGCTGACGTACGACATAGGTGTCGTACGTTTGCATCACGCCAGCCCTCTTATAATGCGCTCTTTGGGGGTTAAATGTTATTGAGCAGTAACCAGCCAGTTTGGCCGCAATCCGATATAGAAATCCCTCCTACAGGCAAATCGGATATACAAAACTCAGACTAACTTACCGTACCAGCAACCCCATCTCCCATTTCTATCTAAATAACAGCCGAACACGATCGCTAGGGGGCTTTAGTAGGAAAACTCTTTATTCTGCGCTGTCTAGTGGCGACCAGGCTTAACTATAACAGTTTTTATTTTCGAATCTGCTGGGAGTTACCAAACTTGTTAGACGTTTGCTTGTTTTGACTTTATAACGTTATATGAGACTAGACCTGCATGCCGGTAAAAAGAAGGTGGGACTCGTGAGTGGAGACTTAGTTGGCTCGATTTCTTGACCCCCAAGGATATGAGGATAGTGGGAAACATGCAATAACTGTAGGTGGAGGTCCGAGTATCGGCTTCATACAATATGCCAGATTAAAAGTGGCATGATGATGCCTAAGCTGACTGCTCAGCCGGCCTCCGAATGCCACAGCTCACTCATGCTCGCGGGCAGTTTGCACTCTCTGTGCGTTTTGTCCAAAAATGCCTTTTCCGGTGGCAATATTTCTTGTCGAAGGTTTTCCGTGCGTGGAGCATGAGGTATATTGTCGAGCGGCAGGTTATGAATGAGCATAGTTAAATGATTCATGGCATCGACCGAAGTACCATAGAAGCAGCTAGTGGTGACTGAATTTCGACAAAATGCCGGTCAGTGGTGTTCTTTTTGTGGAAACGCTCATAGAATTCAAACGCTCGGCAGGCTTACAGTCGAAAGTGCTAATACCGTAGCGCGATCCTGAATCACGGCAGATATTGGTGTGGAGTTGGGGATGTGAACGACTTTGCGAAATGTTTGAGGGTAATGTTATCAAAAAATTATCGAAAAATTCACCAGCCAGCCAGCCAGCCAGCTATGCGTGGTTATATACCCCCAGCCCACTAGAGCCACACCCGGTGTGCTAAAAAGACATTGACTCACCGCCATTGTGAACCTGTACGGGCGCACCAGACTAGCCACACTGCCCCACCTACATCCAAAGTACTCATATCCCTGTATTATCGCGATCACCATAACCATTGTGTCTAGCGTTCTTGGTCATGCATTTGGGAAAGCGATCGCGATCGCGGCTGCTTGTAGCGCTTTTCTAGCTCGTTGTTAGCGATTGTAAGCAAAGACTTGATGGAATTTTAATGACCTTGAACAATCCTGTATGGCTTTCACCGAGGAAATGAACAGACCCTCTAAGTCCTTGTGCTACCACATGGCTAGGAGATCTTAGCAGCGTCTCCAAGTGGCCGCCACCCCCCCTGTCGCCTATGCGACCGCAGAAAACCTATGAGCTGGACAAATGGCCATCCTATCGCACGCCGAAATCGTTGTAGACTGGTTTCAGGTAGGAGGGTTGAGCTGTCAGTGTCTGTTTGGGTGGTGCCTTCAGACACCAGCGCGGTCTGAGAAGTCATTGCAGAATTGCAAGATTGAGGTTTGGTAGATCATAGAAAGTGAAGAGACGCTGTACTCGAGTCACCAAGGAGCCCGGGTGCAATCAAAGTTAAACTGATGCAGGAACTAAAAGTTGCAAACTCAGCTAGGACAAGAAGAGCTGTTATGCTACAAGCACTGGCTGATTTTTTGACAGTGCGGTACGCAGTACTGGGCTCGAAGATAAAAAAAGAACCAGCATAGATTAAGAAGCAATAAAACACCCAGAAGCACCAAATCTGTGATCATACTCAAAACAGCTAAGCCACCTCGGAGGAATTGCAAGCGCGCCAGCCATATCTGACAACTGCAACGTTCCATTCTCGATTCTACCTGCGAAGGGGGCCGACGGAGGAGCTCGAAGCAATATCAAGCACTTTACCGTTGACCTGACCGAGTCTTATCATGCAAAGGTACCATCAAAATAGATTAGAGGCACTACAGAGGCACATCGGATGACTTTTACATTGCTAACCCATAGCCCTCCACAGCTGTGTTTTCACCATCGCTACATCCCTCGTCAGCGCTCCTCAAACCCACAGTACGTTGATCGGTAGGTTCCTCCATGCTCTCGTTGTGAGGTGCGGTGGTTTCTAATAACACATTAGTCAGTGTCGCTGACCTGAACGGCAATTGTAGAGCCTGTGACGCACTCGACGGATTGATACAAACCAACAACGGATGCTGCTGAGACTCGGAAAGATTGACCGTAGTGGCTGTCGCGGGACTCGGTGCTGGAGTAATGGTGCAGTCATCTAGCGTATGCATCGTGCTTGCACTTGTGTCCAGTGTTGGCCCCAGTGCCCTCTCACTCGGCGCTGCAGATGGGACGAATGCCGCTGAGCCAATGAACTGTCGAATGATCTGCAAGTGTTGGGCTAAAGAGTCGTTTCCGCTGGCTGCCGCCGACTTGTGTGCGATAAGAGTGTTTACGCTCGTTTCCCAATGTTTAGCTGCAGGGCCAAGCTCATTCAATTCCGGGTTCAGGGAGATGAGAGCTCTCATCGACATCGTGATCCCCATAACGGCGTGTAAAAGGGCCAAGGTGCAGAGGTTCGCCGATGCATCGGTTTCACGCTGAATAGTAGAAGGGACTGGTGCGGTGTCCATGCCCGCTGCCTGAGCCTGCGGCATACTTTGCTGCGGTATAGGCATTTCCGTAGAATCGGAGGCCACACAGGGCTCGGAAGACACAGCATATGCGGGGCCCATGAAATGCGGCTTGCTAAAAAGATTTTTCGGAGATTAATGTTATCGAAAAAGTGCCCAGCCAGCTAGCCAGCCAGCCAGCAGGTACCTCTCCGATTTAAGTACATCGAGGCCCACAGCTGTGTGCACGGGCCATGCTTCTTCCAGGGGGGAGGGGCATGGGGTGACTCTAGTGCGTAAGCTTATCGCATACCTAATTTCGAACATGATTCGGCCAGCAATGTAGATCATGTAGGAGGCCTACCATCTATAGGCGAGGTGTCTCACCAACCAGTTATGTCTCAGTTACTTCGGAGGGAAGTCCAATCGCAACCACCCACGTTCCATTCCGCGCCAGCAATACCTGGATCACAGCGGACTAGGCACTTCTGTGCCACAATCAAGTCCCTTGCTCATGAATAGACATCAGCAGGCTGTGGTATTATCTCAAAGAACCCCGAGCTGAGGCTCTAGGGCCGAGGACCGGTGGAGCTTGTTGGTGAGCTTTATGAGTGCCACGGGTCTACTCTTTTGCAAAACCTATGATCTCTGGCCCTGAGCTTAAGTGTAAAGTAAAAAAGGCCAGAATCGCTGCTGTGAGACGGTGATACGTGCAGATCATTTATTGTGATGAGGAATTCGGCCAACATGCCAACTAGAATGGTGGTCTTTGATACTGTCAGCAAGTATTGGAAATAACGTGCCTCGAACGCCGCTACTAAGCTAGTCATGTGAGTACTTACTCCTGCAATATGGCAAGGCCAGTGGAGAAGCTCAAGCTGCTCACTTCACTGATAGGCAAAGGAAGTGCGGGATGAGGCTTTGCTTGGAGTGGCAGTATCCGTCCTCGGGCACATAATCAAATCCCACCACAGCGGCCTAAAAAGCATTGTTGAAACCAATATGACCTTCCATGATCTGTCGTGGAAATGCTTGTCAACTGTGAAGATTCGTCTCGGAGGCTTCGTGGCACCTATAATCTGTAGTAGGTACTATGAGCAATGTCACGATCAGGCCGTTGGCAAAGTCGCGCGTCCAACTGAGCTTTAAGCTAATTTGTTGATGAATGCCAAATAAATCTAGCCATAAATTGTATACGCCTCATATAGGCACCCAAGAGAACAGAGCGCAGAAGCGCGATAGGAAAGCAACCGCGCTTCGACCAGGTCCCGCAAACAAAGCACAATCATTCTACAACAAACGCATGCTGCATCTTCCCAGCTAATTCACTAAAGGTCAAAAACCACCAACTGTTGCCAAGCCTTCAACCAGACCCAAGTGCCTGGGTCGGTGCATCATCTGCGTCCTTCATATCCACCTCGTCCTCTTCATCAGCTACGCATTTATTAGCAAGCATTCCCGTAAAGATGGTGCAAGTTACTCACAGCTTGGGAATTCAATGTCATAACCAGGATAGCCATTGGGCTTCTCGTATGGCGTGAACCCGCAATTGCACTGAACAGGCTGAGAAAGGCATGGATCCAGTCTGCCAGCAAGTAAAATCGCATGACAGTGTTCAGTTCCTTATTGAAATTGCAGCAAAGTGCAAGCCCACTCGACATCTGGCCCAGGTACCAGCGTGAGTCCTTGAACTTTCGCCCACGGTCGCAGTGATTGTCGTTTTCTCGTGCGTGGCCACCCTGCTTGCATTGTCCTCCAATGTCTTTCGAATTTCTTCCAGCTTTACAAGCTGCATCTCTGATTCTGGCCATGCTCTCAGCGCCTTGATTGCCAGGTCGTAGTGAACGAAGCGGTCTGATACTGAGAAACCGCAGGTACCGGCCAATTCCACATGGTAGAAGATGTGTCGAAAAACCCGAGAGTATTTCCAAATCGGAAGATGAAATGCTGCCTCCATTTGACTCATGCTGGACCTTGCAAGTCCACGGACAGAGATTTGGCGAGGCTCAGGCTTGGGCGGTACAAATGTGTGGCGGAAGCTTTTTCGCATGGAATAATAATGTTATGGAGTGGCTTTCAAAGGTGGCAGTGAGCTAGTTACTATATGCCCACATAGCTTCCTTAGTCGACGGTCAAATACGAATCCCTCCCTTCTGTTCTAAAATTAGCTTAGGTCGATTCGCCGAAAGTAGTCTAAGCAAGTGCGAGCAAAGCAATCCTGCAGAATTTTTGGCTCGAATAGCCTTCACGTCTAATGTTATCGGAAAAGTTCCCAGCCAGCCAGCCAGCCAGCCAGCAGGTACCTCTTGGTTTAAGTACTTCGCTGCAATGCAGGGATTGCGTCTCACCCAATAGGCAGCAATGGCACTGGACCCTGACACGTGGGAGTGGTCCACATCTGATTACGCGTGAGGCATTGGACAACAGGGTTATTCCATTCCTGTTGGTCATACGGAGGCATGGACGTTTCACAGGTGACTAGACACTAGCAAAACAACGGATTTTAGGCAGCAGTGTCTCAAAAACTAGAAATAGGCCGATCGCGGCTGGCTAGACCATTCACCATATCGGCAATAGCTTAGATTTACTGCAGTGCGGTAATCATTTGGCAGCGATTGGCTAACTCGGGCTGATTGCGAAACTGGCTCAGCGAATCTCGTTGCCAAAGCAGCTGATGAGGGTCGGAGATTGATTACCGCGACTTACTCGCTACACATACTAGATGTACAGCTTGCACCTTGAGCCCAACCCAACATGGAGAGAAGTTGGTGTGGTTTGGACGCTGTGCTGACGGGAATGCACATATTGCGCGATCGCTGTGCGACCAATGACCCTGTAGAATATACTGACAGCTGTGGCACACCTTAGCATCGTATCTACATATTTGGCGCGTGTGAATGCGTCTTTGCGGCGACGGTTTGTCAAGCTGAGAATTAGTACAATGCTAGAAATTAATGCTGACTGGCGATCTAAATAGTTTGAGACGTATAAATTGAGGTCTCTGATGGCCTTGTCTCGGCAAGACTAGTGATCCACCAAGAATTCTACTGATAGCGCGGAAATAGGGCCTGGCCGACAAAGCGTGCTCAGAACTGCAACTGCGGAAGCAGTATCTTCCACTCTGCGTGAGAAATAGACGATAGCTATCGAATATTGCTATTGAACGTTGTGATCATACCCTACACCAGACCGTACGAGCGGTATCGTAGCTCAAGAATTTGCAAAAGTAGCGAGATCAAGCGAGATCAAGAGCGTGACAATTCAGTGCATACGTCGAATGAGATTCTTAACCCTCGCTCTCCCACGCTCATGGAACAAGATGCACTGGATAATGAACCTCAATGCCATTGAAAGCCAACCAAACACAGTCAACAGAATAAGATTGATGAAATGACAGACTCCAATCACTTCCGCCTAAGCCTTGCGCTCATCGATGCCACAGCCACTCCAATGAGTTGGGTCTTTCAACAGGATCCGGTCGCTGTCTGTGAGCGCTCATCCTCGTCGTCTGTGGATGCTTCTGTCTCACCCCCGGCTAATCAATTCTCAGCGTGTTTCTTTGGTAAGAAAGAATAAAAGTACTCACGATCTGTAGAATCCATGGCTATGTCAATATCACGACCCGGCCCACAATACGGCGTGAAATCGCATGTGCACTCGGGTTTTGTATGCAGGTACCCCTTCGTGAATTCAGGCTCGAACTCGCAAAGAATACCGCTGACAAGTCTCACACAGTGTCTGATTTGCGCGTGTATATACCCGAGATCGCCTGGAGCTCGGCCAAAGCCCACCAGCTGCTTGCCCATTCCCTCGTATTTCGGGACGCTCTTGCGATTGAGCATCGTCTGTATCTCCTTATCCAACCCTCCGAGTGTGAATTCCAGGTTCTTTTGCATCTTTGAGGCCAATTTCAGCTCTGGCCACATCTGAATAGCCGTGTTTGCATGTCAAATTTGTTGAACAGAGGATTCGCAGTTGGCTAGTGTGAAAGATGTGTATGACTGCTCGATGTGGTAAAAGATATGCTGAACACCCAGCGGATACTCGCATGGATGAAGGCGGAGTATGGTTTTAGGGTCTTTGTCATTCATGGTGGCGATGCTGAATGTGCAGTCAAAATTTTCCGCGTGGAACAATAATGTTATCGAAAAATTGATCAGCCAGCCAGCCAGCCAGCCAGGTGCTACTATATATAATTCGGCCCACCTCTGGGTTCACACCCGCCGTGTGAAGGCAGACAGGTCTCACTGCTCTTTCAGGACTAGGCAATTTGCACTGTGGCCAGCTGTCATACCTGGATGGCATGCGGATGCACAAAGGCTGCCCCACTCCAACCATGCAACAGTGCCGATCACTCCCTGTGAGTCAACTGATAACTCTGACCATCCATGTGGGCATGCTGTGCCACACACTTGGGGTGTCTGCCTGACCTATGACCGACCCCCACGAGGAAGTCTTTGATAACCTTCCTAGAGAGTATTTGTCATATCTATTGCTAGCGCCATGCAACCACTCACAAGCGTGTCTTGGGGGGTGGTCATCGATAAAACTTGTTATAATAATTGCTAATACAATATAGCAGTGGACAGATATAGCTGAAACATGAGCAGCCAGGCTCCTGCGTGGGCACGCTCCCAGCAGATCTTGGCAGGGCTCCGAGGCGAAGCCAGCCTCGCTGCGCCCACGCGATCGCAGTACGTTGACGAGATAGACTATTGCTCACCATAATGCATCTTGACGCCAATATAAGCAGTTTTGAGGCGGAGAAATTGAACTGGGGGCATCTACATGGGTAGCGCTGTTGGCTATTATTACTCTCTCATCCGTCGCAGCAAGATCGAAACTCGGCAGATCGAATCCTGTATCCAGGGACAAAACTTTCGGATGATCAATCGATTGTTAACAGTTGAGCGTAATTTGAATGGACCATAGTAAACAAAAACAGTAGACCAAAGAGCAGAGGCGGTAGATCGAAAAAGACCAAGGCCTCGCAGTTTTGGATCACATTCTACGTCAGCATGCGGACGAAGAGATTAGAACAGTTGCTTTAAAACGTTATGAACTTTCATCGAATAGCTAGGGAAATATAAATTGTTTCTAGAACAGCCGTAGACCACATGTCGTATCTGAAAAGAGACGAGCCACAACGGCTGTGCTTGTAATGTGCCCACGGGATTCAACAATGGGACAATACCGTTCGCATTTTGAGCTACCAAGGGGCTGCGGCTGAGCAACCCCAGCTGAAGTGTCAAGCATTCTGCCCATGACCCTAATCCAGCGATACCCTACACAGATGCAGGTAACGCGTATCCAAAGACAGCCATATCTCACAAAAACCTATCCACCCTTACATTCCTAATCCGATTGTCCCCAAATCTTTACCCGCACCGACACTCTCTCCGCTCGCGTTGAACTCTCTTGTATTACTTGACGGCATGCTAGCTAGTGTCAGTAACCTGAATGGCGAGTAGGTCAAAGTCCAAACTCACGGATTGCCCTTTGTATAAGCCAGCGGCGGGCGTTGCAGCTGCGCCGAAGTGCCTGTAGATGGAACCGTAGTTGCCGGGCTTGGCGCTGGAGTGGCAGAGGCATTACCGATACCCGACGTCTGCATGGTCCAGGGGTTCGTCATCAAGCTCAAGTTCAGCGCTTTGCGCAAGATCTCCAGTTCAGCGAGTGCTGCGGGGTCCACAGCCTTCGAGACATGCTCCGACAACTGCGTACTGGAGCTGTTTTCTTCGCTCTTCAACTGGTTCTTTGTGAGAGCGTCGGTGCTCATCATCAGCTCCGTGACCGTATGAGCAAGCGAACTCAATTCTAAGTCAGAGGAGATGACAGCTTGCAACGTTTGCACGACCCCCACTAGAATTCGAAGTGTCGCAGGCTGCGGAGTGCCTTTGGGTGCCTTCGTGTCGGGCTCGGCATCGTCGTTGGCCACTTGGGTGTCGATTGAGTCTACCTGAGCCTGCGGCATGGTCTGCTCCGATTTCGGCTCTACCGTAGAACTCGTGTCCGTACTGGCCGGAAGAGCTACACCGAACATAGGTCCCATGTTATCGAAGTTGGGGTCAAAATTTTTTCGGAAGTTAATGTTATCTGGGTATGGACCTCGTTAGCTGCCTGGCTGACTGTCAGGTGGTCATAGTGGTCACGATTAGGCGGCTGTTAATTCTATCAGCCGGAATGACAAGCCAGCCAGCCAGACAGCCAGCACTTGGCAATAATGTTATCGAAAAAAGCCCAGCCAGCCAGCCAGCCAGCCAGCCAGCCCGTGGGCTTTCCCGTAACCTGCACATGGCGACTGACCAGCTAAGAAGAATTTGCGCAGCGCAACCACCTGCCGGTATCAGTATCAGTGTGGCGCAGCTAATTAAATTGCTTGGGGGTCCAGTGCAATGCGTTGCGTGCAATACTCGAACAGGGCAGCCGGCGCTAGGACATGCTCCTTGTGCAGGCTGCAATTGTAAGCTCAAGACGTGTAATCATAGACCTCTCGGCACGCAGCTTTTTTAGATGTTTAACCGCAGATGAGTCATATTGGTAACAGTCTCCGCCTGGCCCTGGTGAGGCCTGGCGCACAATTTTTATCATGGCAGATAGTAGCCTCTTCCTACCGTCTCGCATAAAATTCTTAGTCGTGTGGTAGCATCAATGCTGTGATCGGAGCAAGTCGCGCGATGCACGTCACCCACAGTAGAGCAACACGCATCTAGTTCTCCAGACCAAGAGTAGCCATGCACAGTAATCTGCACTACTCTCAAAAGTCTACCAATGAGCATTGCATACGAGAGGCATCTACTTGGCTATCACCAAATGCAATGTTCAGATAATTATAACCTCCAAAACGCAAATATCAATTTAAATTCTAAAAACTGCGTAGCCATACCACAACTCCACCAACGCCATAAGAAATATTCAGAGTAAGCACGGTAGCTGTCAATGATTATGAGGGCCTGACGCCATACTAAGATTCCCCAATCATTATGGCACCATTGCGCTTCCGCGAGCGCTTTGCTGGTTTGTCAGGTGCATTTGCGGCCCGCTCGCGCCCTGACTTCAACGGTGTAGTCGGCTGTGCAGTGACAGAAGATCCTTGTTTCTTAATCTCCGGCAACGGAGTAGGGATCACAAGCTCGAGTTCCTCGGGTTCGGACTCAGTGTCATTGACCTCCACGAGTTGCTTGGGGGGAGCCGAAGTCCTAACATCGACCTGCTGGTTTTCTTCCTTGCTACTGTCAGCGGGTGGTGCCTCGGCTCCCTTTTCCTTCTCCGTGCGTTGCTTCAGCTCCTTCAACTTAGCCAGATGGGTGGCTGTATCCTCGATCTGCTTGACCAGCGTAACTCCTGTTTCCACCTCAAGGTTCTCCTTGCCTTTGCGTTATGTGGTTAGGTTCGTGAAATTTTGGAAACGAGAAGGGTTCGACATTGAGAACCTACGTGTATCGGAATTATTGACTAAAGCCTTGGAAGCGTTCATCAAAACTGGTGTGACCATCTTGACGTGCCCTTGTTTCGTATGGCTGACCAGGACCATGGACATCATCCAAGGCAAGAGTTCAGCCTTTGCCACAGCTTGTGTGTGATGATTTAAAGACGAGAACATGTGCGCCATTTCCGTGCCCAAAGTGATAGGCTTTGTCTCGGACTGATCTTGTTTAGGTTGCCACGGTCTGGTACGAATGGAATTGAGACGATCCTTGGCGACATCTTTCATTGCATTCAAAATGAGCTGCATTGTGCTACTGAAGCAGTTGCACGTCCAGTTCTTGGCCGGCTCAAGGTGCTTGAAACATGCATCGAGATTGCACAGGGAATCTTCATGGCTGCACTGCCAAATGCCACTGGCCAGCTCTGTGGCCTTAAGAAAAGACAGAAAGTCCGATGGATACTCGATCCGTGGTTTATCGAAAACTGCTTGGAGCCAAATGTCCCCACGTTTTGGGAAAAGTACTGAGCTAGACGCCATTTCTGCTAAGGTAGGTGGGGGTTACTGAATGCACAAGAAAAAGGTTAGAGCATGGATTGAATTTCCGACGCACAATCGGGGCGGACATCGGTTTAAGTAGAGAAAAACTGGTGTCACGTGGAATTTTTTCGCGGAAGGTAATGTTATCGAAAAACCGAACAGCCAGCCAGCCAGCCAGCCAGTCAGGTATATATATACGCACGTCCCGCGACTAGAGCTGCATGCTGAGGCACATCTGAACGAGAGCAAAACTCTGCAATGCAAGACAACAGTGAGCTTGAGGCCCCACATCCACTAAGACGTGGCCTACGCGGATTGGCTCGAACAATTGCATGGGTGGTACATGTCCTGCAGCAGCACATTGTGCAGGCCTGGTGCTCATGGGCCCTGCAATCGCCGTGCCAGCTGCCACTGGCCCATTCCCCAGCAGCAAAATCGCCAACCCTACCGCCCTGGGTACCACCATTTCGCTGTCCGTCTCCTTCTACGTGCGAAAGAGTCTCACCTGAGATGCGCTGGTTTCCCGGGCAGCGGTGCACCCATGCCCATCCGCCCCAAGTCGAAACGGGCACGATCACACCACCGTCGTCCGAGCCCATTATCATCGTGGCTCGAACCCATAGGACGAACTCAAATTCAGAACAATGGTACCCGTGATCAGCTCGGTAATCCGAGTGCTAGCCAAAGTAAGACCTGAAATGCATTTTTGTATACACTTATAGCTCTTAGTTGACTTGTCAGTCAGCCACAGTTCCTCTATCTCGGTACCTGCATCGCATGGCTGCTCGCTGGGGTAGACCTAAACTTTGGTGTTCCTATGGATGAGAAGAGCTAGAATATAGCTACAACTGGCTGAGATTGACTTGACCTTGCTGCTTACAGTGCACAGGGGTTGCTCGTCTTTTCTACGCCCGCGCCAAGCCACAGCCCCACAGGAAATTTGGTAGCATAGGTCAGTTGCAGGTGCTGCCAGTTGTCAGAAGAGTAACACATTTTATCAGCGATAATTGCAAAATTCATTGATTATCGTTATCATAATGTTCCATAGCCTGAGACGTCAAAATCCAAATGATATTCCATGAATCCAAGCAAAACACCCATAACGCCATTAGTAGAGCACTTCCGACTAATAGGTTTCCGAGGCTGCCGCTAGCCAGGGTGGACCTCCCTGAATCGTAACGGAGCAGCACCAGTGCGACCACGAGCTGGCAGTGGTGAAGCTGTCCTGGGAACCTGCGTCCAAACCATGTCCGGGGCGCGGAAGTCTTCGCGGCGCCGATCGAAACGAAACGGAAAGGAGATATTTGCGAAAAAGTCATTAAGGTTGATAGTCTGTCCACTGTGATGCTGATGCTCAGACGAAGTGCCTTCTTCGATGACAGTTGCCGTATCGCTGTTGTCTCGAGAATGCCCGTCTTCTGTGTCGGCCATGTCTGGGAGTTTGTAATTAGAAAATGAACTATTAGAAGAGAGAAAAATCTTACCCGAGTAAAGCGAGTCTGCACGATTGTACAATGGGCGCCTGTTTCTTAGCGGGGGGTTCCTGTCTCCCCCCCACCGCTCGCGAAAGATCTCACTCATGGGTCCAAACATCTCGCATAGATGGATCATGTAGTCTGCCATCCAACATGATTGAACCCTCATGCGCACCAGATCGTTGCCAAAGTTGTGCGACCACGTTGATCGGTCAGTGAAGCTACGCATAGTCGCAAATAATGTTGCTTCCGCCTTGTCGCTGGACTGCCGAATTTCTTGCTGCAGAACACAATCGTCCCGCAATTGCATATTTGAAATTTCGCCAGTTATGTCGTCGAGGATGCGTCCTGCATCATGGCAGTGGTTGAAGGCCTCGTGCATGCAGCTGAAAGCCTCGTCCAATTTTTTGGCATACCTTTGGGCGTCTTCTGGAAAATCGCCTATGGGGGCAGAAAGATACTGCTTTCCGGAATAAAAAGATTCTGGATCGCATGAGCCAAAGGCCACTGGGAATTGGTGGCCTACCGTCGACATTGGGCCCTGCAATAAGGGTACCGAGGTGGAGACTGTGTGAGGATTTTTCCAGGTATCTAATGTTATGCAACTTTCAGCCAGCCAGCCAGCCAGCCAGATAGCTAACCTCGACCGCATAGTACTATCACGTGAGTGCTACTTACGGCAGTCATGTGCGCCCGGGCATGGAATCAGGTGGCTTAGACTTAATACTATCGAAAAGCGTACCAGCCAGCCAGCCAGCCAGCCAGCCAGTTAGGCTGAGTTTCGGGTATAAATGAGTGGCTTCCCTCCCCCCCATTCCCCCAATTTTCGGTCAGCCTGCCACTTCATCTTGCACAATTCATTTGTACAGCCCCAAACGCATAGCCCACCACAATGGCTTATGGCAACAACTACGCAAAGCCCTACCGGGGCCGCTCCACCTATGGCTATCAAGCCCGCTACAATCCGCAGGCTGTCGCGTACAAAAAGCGTCGTTTCACAAAATATCCCACGTACTTTAAGAAGTCGGGGTATTACGGCGGTGCCAATTCAGGCTCTCGCAACTGGAGCTCAAGTACCTGGCGATCAGCTACCAAAGCCAATACCAAGACACGCCGCCTCTCTACCAAGACAAAGCCAATGACACCTGCCCAGAAGCGAAAGTGGGAGTTTGTCCGCAACATTGGCATCTACAAGACTAGCGGTCGCATCAGCTCAGAGTCTGAGAGTTACTCACTGGCAAAGAATGAGGACACTATTTGCATTGCCGAGTCCATGACAAGGTGCAGCTTCAGCAGATCATATATTGGCCTGGCCAGCGTGACAGACAAGTCGGTCATCAACCTCGACGTGGATACCAGTTGGGCAGTGCGCATCGTGGGTTTCATGTTGAAGCCCATTGGCAAGCGGGAGGATCTTAACGTCGGACAACTCGCACAATTTGGTGCGGCATCAGCAGGGCGCCACCAACTCAAATCCAATGAGATGAAAATCTTCAAGGCTGCCATCTGGAACAAGAAGAAGGACTTGGACGATGTGGACATCATGACAACTTGCACATATAGCGACCAAGTTGAGATTTTCCTCGATGACACGAAGTACTACAAACAGGGCACGGAGGTGTGCGTAGTGCCTGAGAAGCACAGCATTCACAGCATGATGACGCTGGGACCAAATGGGACACCGCTGATGAGCGACCAGAGCGATGGCTGCAACTACATCATCTTACGCATGTTCCGTCCTCGGAGCGCAGACGCAGAAGTCGAATTCTTCAAAACCGACTTGACTACGGGGTACTGGGACCTTCCTCAAAGCTTGCTTCTTCAAACTCCGGGTGTAACGGAAGTCAAGCAAGAGATGGATATCTAGATAGTCTGACAGAGTGCGAATAGATTGTTATTTCCTAATACCTGGCCTGCAATGAAGCATTACAAGAGACACCCAAAAAGCAAACCCAGTAAACTCCCTCTAACCACAGATGAAAACGTTCCGCTCGATTTCCTCTTATGCTTTCTTCTAGAGGGCTGCGCCCTAGCAGTGCTCCCATGTGTACGCCTGTGTTCCTCTCTCGGATATGGGCGACGGTGATAGCGGTCGGGCGACGAGTATTGAGGCATTGTCTAGAGTGTATTCGTGTAGCGCAAGCGACGATCGGAAGCGCAAAAGCACGTGGCTGGGTCTGATCTGCAAGCTAGCAGGGATTAGTCCCGGCACACAAAGAAAAAAAGGTTAAAACCCCTACAGAGAATGAAAACAGACATGCTCCAAATAGCGGCCTTCAGTAGTGCCAGTACTCCGAGTGAATGTGCTGGAGCATTTTGGGGACTCAGCGAAACTGAGGGCGGAGGGCTGTATTTGTGCTCACCATGGTAACATTTACGCAGAGCCTCACCAGCGATTTAATGGCTATGCATGTGTCGTGTAATTTGGTGCATCAACTCACCACCTCGCTGCCTTGTTGCAGGTTCGCCCGGCCAGTATGGACTGCAGCTGCATGCGTGGAAGGGCCCGGGGGGAGCTCCCGCCCTGCACCTCGCAAAAGTGGACACAGCGTGCCCTTAGTACGATAGGTTAAAATGAAACGGACTTGTTCCACATGGTAGAGTGACATTGGCAGATGTACTGGCGCTGACAAAGTCGGTTTTCATAAGCTCTAATGTTATCGAAAAACTAGTCAGCCAGCCAGCCAGCATGTCCGCTAGCAAGGCCATCGTCTAACTGGCCAGTAGACAGGTTGGCGCAGAAACGCTGGTAATTACAAGTCACCGACTAAATCTTGGACGACGCCAAGCCATAGTAAATGGAGCGGAAGGCGGGACTAAGCGTTGGGGTACAAGGCATGTAGCTGTGGAGTCTGGATGAGTGTGTACCACAACCTCGCATTCACCAAGGACAAGTAATATACGGTATCGCGCGTCAGCAGGGTCCATGCTTGACGCGGCTGTAATCTAATGCTCGACATTGCAGCCATTAGAGGTATGCACGTATCCTCAAGTGAACCCTCCCCACCACCTTGAGCGTCAAATTGGGTACCGGTGACAAAGACACGTGGGTTTAGCAACTGGAGCCCCGCCCACCGTTTCTGCCCACCGTTTCGTTCGATCATTACGGCTTGGTTTCTCGGGCTTCCGCTTTCAGAGTAGGAAATGAACGCTCCTGTCTCACCGTTGCGGATCCCATCTAGCAAACAGACAGCGTCAAGAGGTTATCAAGGTGCAAGGGGCAGATGGACACGTCTTGTTTCCAGTACCAGAAGCCCTAGAGGCCGCTGAGACTGCAAAGATGGCGATGCACTCGATGAATATTCTAGTAACATGTGTTTGCTAGTTACTCATTGCTCAAATACGCCCATGGTCATACCACTGCCCACATCTAAGCTAGGTCAACTGCATGCCAGCTTGGCCTCAGGAGCTGTAGGCTTAGTACCACAGCTCATGCTTCATTCTTCCCCGCCCACCGGCATCTGCTCCACACACGTATTTTCTTGGGAGCCCCAGCCTACCACGCTCTCACTATCCGGAAAGGGGGTTGGAGACATGACGAACTCATTTCCCAGCCACTGATCGTAAAGATTGTATCCACTAGAAGGCGGTGAAGAACCGCCGTGTGTTGTGCTTATTTCACTGAGCGTTGAATTCGATAGTGAGCTCAGAGTCCCTGTCTGGCATTAGCAGAAGCTGTGTCAAGAAAATCAGGTGCAGTACATACCATCAAAAGGAAGCCTCATCCCCGCAGTGGGCAATGTTGCCTGAGAAAAACCATCCTCCTCGGTAATAGGCTCTTTGTCCTCATCCGACGAGTCCTCAATTACCATGAGGTAGCTGAAACCCATTCCGTTGTGTCCTACTTGCGATGGTGGGCACCGGACAAGCTCCTCCAAGTCACTGCGTGTGTTGCGTGTCAACGTTCTCCTCGCTTCTGCCTGGCATAGAGCCACCACACTGCGGAGAAATTGACCCAGGTACTTTAGAAAGTGTATGGCGTGCGATGGCCAAGGATCCATCTTTCGGCCCAGGGCTGGGGTCTTGCGGGAGCGATGACCTTCTGAGGCCCTCTTTTGAATGCCTTTGGCTTTTTTGTGCCTGTTGCTTGCATTCAAGGGCACTGAACCAACGACACCGTTCGTAATTTCGATTCCCATGGCTTGCATCGAACTTTCCATCCGGAGGCGCAATATTGCGTCTTCTGTGCGTCCAGTCGAGCACAATGCGTCTTCTTTGCACAAATAACCCCAGATGTTGATAGCGTCGAGGATCGCATCATGGCAGTTGTCGTTTGCAACGTGTCGCTGGAACAAATATGCAAGACTGATCGTTAACTGGACCGCCTCGGGGTATGCATCGGCTTTGGTAGGCAGGCCCTGTAAAGGTTTCACTAGACTCAAGACTTGTGATGATTCCATTCTGACGGCCGGTCCGTCGTGAAAGATAGATTTTGAAAGTGAAAAACTAGAAGCGGAGCCTCACTGACTGTGGGATTTGAAGACTTATAGGGTGCAAGAGGCTACGCATGGCTGCTGTAGGTGCGCTAGCAGCGCTGATGGTGGGAGCCTAGCACGAATGGAAGGATCAGCGAACAGTTTTTCGTCGGCTAATGTTATCGAAAATCCACCAGCCAGCCAGCCAGCCAGCCAGCCAGCCAGCCCGGTATATGTACTTGGGCCGCGCACAACCATGTACATGTTTCGTGTCAGAAGTGGCCGCTCTGTTGCATTAAAAAAGGCTTATCTTGCTGGCTGCGGCGTACAGTCCATTCGCACGATGTTTCATCTGACATGTCCCAAGCCTATAGCATGCAATCATTCCACAGAGACCGCCTCCTGTCTCTGCCGATCACCGATGATCCCACAGCAGCTATGCAGAAGGACTGATAACGTGGGAGGGGACCAATGGAGTAGTGACAATGCAGCAGCGACGGAGGTGCCGATGCAGAGTAAGCCGTTGCCATGCAGATGAGAGGCACAACACAGCAGACTGGCCTCTCGTCGATGAGTGGCGCTCAGCTGGATCTCACCGCTGTTCAAAGTGCACTGCGGGAGCACGGGAGACGGTTCACGCGGTTGAACTGTGTCGCCTCCGGCAGAGCATAGTAGTTGGACCGGCTGCATGTGGAAGATGCAGAATAATTGGAAAGACGAAGCATACTGCAATTGTCGAGAGAACATGTGAGGAGCACCATGACAGTTCCAAGGAACGGATAGCCTGCCAACTGGCCAGGATTGGTAGGTGGAAGGGCTAAATTAAACATAGACCCAACAAGGGCACGGCACATCACATTATTTTACATGTGATGGGTTGCATGCCTGATGGCCATGGACCGCTCTCCAATGACTGGAACTTGTCTCCTAGGCCTAGAGCGTGCACTTCTTATTTGGCAGCGCGTGGTCGGAAAAGGCATCACGCGTGTTGGTCCTATATCAAATGTGCACGTTACGCGTCGGGTCGATAACCTTCCGAGCATACTTTTATCGCGAGTCTGCAATGTGCTGCGTGGTGGTAGATGCGTATACATCGCCTACCTAACGCATGTCTATGGGAAGTCAAAAGCATGTACTTGCAAATAGCTTGAGCGATGGAGCAAAAATGAATATGTATTGCAAAAGCGTGTAAATTAAAGAATATATGGGAATCGCATTTCTTTCCTATGGCAAGGCTCTAAGGTGCCATGCTCGCTCTTTGAGGCAGCAGCCTTGGCGTGCGTGGAATATCTTACTGCTGCAAACAGCTCCTTTCACACTGTCGGTAACCCGTATCAACCACCACGACAAGTCATCTGTTTCTCTGTCGCGCATCATGCGTAGCAAGAGAATCACAGAAGACGCGCATCACCACACCTCTGTAACCAAGGTTTTAGTAAAGAATGGAAGACAGATATGGGAGGTTTGGTACTTACCGCAATCCAGCACTTTGTAGCCAAATGGCTCATCATCAGCTCTAAAGCTGCTCCACGGATCTGACAAGAACTGTCCGTCGGAACTCATACGGCCAATCTTAGCCCTGTTCAAATCGTCAGGATCGATGTTTTCCTTGTTGTCGTCAAAGTTCTTGAGCTCCGCCTCTCGCATTGACTTGTATCATGTAATCAGTGCTTCGGTCACGTCGTGCAAGGCACTGCAGGCTTTTTTTGCTTGCTCGCAGGTCGCCAAATTGACATGACATAGAGGCTTGGAAGCAGCCTCCCGGTCCGCATTGGTGTTTGCCTCTTTGATGTACACCTGCTGACAGCAGCTCCTCAGACTGGTTATCAACGCATTTAATATCTTGATGTCGCCCTCGGAGGCATACACCACCCTAGTAAGCTGGTTGTTGACGAGGTTCGCATACTGATTGGCGACTGCGAGAAAGTTGCCCTCGCGCTGGACATTGCGAGCAAAGGAGAGGATGCGTTCAGCGCTGCAGATGCCGTCGTCACCTGGAACTGGTTCAGGAGAGACGCAGGCCGGTGGGGGTGGCAGACCGGTAGCCTGCGCCTGCTTGAAAAGAACGCTAAGCATTGTTAAGGCAGACAACAAGGCAGATTTTCGCAAGTGATTAATGTTATTGCTAAATCGGATTGCTAAATCGGCCAGCCAGCCAGCCAGCCAGCCAGCCAGAGTGCGTGGGGCCCTCTTTATAGTTTTTCAAGGGAAAATTTTTGCTTGGCTGGCGCTCGGGCCACCTAGTGGTAGGGCACAAGGTACCGCCGTGTACCAGTATGCAAGACATGTCAGCCACAGCGCCACATGAGCCACGGTGGCATGTGAGGAATGCGATAAGCCAAAAATTCATTCTATCTATAGATCTAAAAAACATGGTCTGGCACAACAAAGCCTTCGAGATGGCCATCTTCATCCTCGTCGTCCTCCTGCTCGTCTTCATCACCAGAAACGCCCGCCTCATCGTCCACGAAGGGATTGGATCCTCGCTTGCGCTTGATGCCTCGTGGCACCACCATCGGCGCCTCTGGCGCTGGGGGCGACTCCGTATCCAGAGAAGACAGCGGCGAAGAGTCGTCTTCAGGGAAATTGGGCTCCTCATGCACTGGCTCGGGCCCCCAGAGCGTCGACTCCCACTCCGTGTTGGCCACGAAGAGCTCATCCTCCGACTGCGAGTCATCTGCCAGCGACCATGGAGGCGAAAAGCCCTCGAGAGGCACCATAGCTACCTCTTCAGTGGCACGCAGCGCCTCCTGCTCCGCGGTGGCTTTCGCTAGGTCCACCTGTTCGGAGTCGACCCATGCAAGCTTGTGTTCCCCTGTGACTTCTACGAATATCATGTTCATATTCAGCGAGTCGATATCACCAGGGGTGAGCTTGGGACCGTTGCGAGGGTCGTCATTCTCGAGGCAGATAGCAGGACGCCCCCATGTAACCATCTCTTTGGGTTTGTACTTGTCTGTAATGGTGAACCTATGCTGCTGCCTGTACCAGCACTTGAATGAGGGCAAATATTCGAGGCTCCGAAAGTCATCGAAGATGGCAAAGTCTGCTTCTGGCTTCGATAAGAACTCAGTTGAATTGAACAGGTGGTGCATGTAAATGTGGTTTCCAGGAAGGCTCCTGAAAAATAGGGTTTTTCCTGTCCTGGACTCTCCGTAAAGACACAAAGACTTGCCCCTGGAGAATGTTAGTGACATACGGCACCATATGCATGACTGTACGTACCTGCTACCTTGCGAGCCTTTGCCGAGTCGCGGTTTCAACTCATTTTCGACCCAGTCGGAAATTTCAGGGTAGTGCTCAAGGTCAATGACCAGCCCCAGTGGGCGCTCGTATGGCACTTCGGGAGGCTTGAAAGCGTTTTTGGACGCCGTATTGATGTTGACGAAATTCTTGAAGTAGTCAGAGGTAGCGTGCTGGAGCATATATTTCATAAACTCGTCAGAGGTGGTGGACATGTCGCGAATGTGAGTGTAGTTGTGATTAGCCTTGTTTTTTAGGGCTTCGAGGGCCTGCTCATGTGAGCCATCCTCGACAGCCTCAGCCAATTCTGTGGCCACCGAGCGCACCTCCTGTCTGGGAGGGGGCCGAAAGTGACCGGGCGGGAAGTAATCCTGCACTACGAATGTGCTGGCCTTGTCGGAGTCTCCAACGTACTTCCAGACCTTTTCTGGAGTCCTGACCACGGGTTGGAATGACGGCTTGTTTCCGTTGACGGTAAGCCGGTTCTGCGCATCGCGGATGGATGGCTGAGATTGGAACTCGATGTACGCATGATAGTGCGGTGTACCATCTGCATGATCCTTGTGCGCAATCTTGAGCCTGATTCCCTCCCCCAGCCCCCGCATGAGTTCGATCACCTTCTCCTCGTCGAATTGCTCTGCTTTGGGCCACATCACCAGTACCTTTGGCGACTGCAGCTTATAGGGTGCCCTGCCACTACCCTCTGCGGGTTCATCTCCATTGCTGCCAGTCGATCGACGACCTGCATGCGGCCATGCGTGGCCGTTGTTACCACGTCTGCATTTAGGTGGCATGGTGAATGCAGATGTCCGGTGCTCAAAAAATGAAATTTGTGGGTCATGTGACCGTGTTGAATGCCGATTTTGCAGCTTAATGTTATTTAAAATTGTCTGATGGGAGGAACCAAAGAAAAGTCGGGCGAGGTTCTGCGAGATGGCTTCAGTCGTCTGCCGGGCCCTTTTGTAAGCTCTCAGCTGACACGAAACCAGCGCATAGGAGCGGCAGCATTTGCGAATTGCCGCGGTCAGAATTTTCGAGCGGAGCATATGGCATGGGGACGTGCATTGGCGGTAATGTAGTGGGCTAACAGCAAAGTAGATGGCGTGCATCTCCATACACGCAACGTAGGTGAGGTCTGATTAGAGCTACCTCAGGTGCGCCCTAGCGCGAGTGGCTTCGACGCGAATGCACGGACGAGTGGGTAAAGCGCCAATTGTAGTTTACCATTGCCTATGCATCCCTGCCGGTAAACAATACTAGATGATCCAGCGGCTGCATGTACCCTTGGAGCTGACAGCTGATTGGACACGCAGAAGTATGCGTAGCTATTCATAGATTCACCAAATAAGGGAGGCTTAAGCGAAACTGAGTCCGCATGACTAAGAGCAGCGGGTTAATGGTGCGGCATAGTGGGCTGCGGCCGGAATTGCATTAGAGAGGTATTAACCAAGTAATCGTAGGCTCTAGTTATGTTAGAACATAAACCGCTGGGATGCAGCCACAAAAAGTTAATTAAATAATACTGGCAATGCGTAAATGCGAGTGCTGTTGTCATCAGTGAGGAGATAGCGATTATTAGCTGTATCAGTAGGCCGCGGTGCATCGCATTCAATTACACATTCGCGCGTAGTTTATCCCTGCCGCATACGAGGCTAGGTGATCACCCCGCCACGGAAATGAGCGGCAGAAACACTGCCGTCATAACACCAGATCCGCCATGGTCCTGGAACAAGTCTCGTCAACTTTTCTTCGTGGCTTGGCCCCGAGGTCTTCCAAAGCGCAATCATCAATTTGCAGGACTTGTACAAAGCGATGGGCCAGAATGCATAGTGTAGCTAACCAATCCAGGGGAGCGTAACATCTTGGTTAGAAGCACCCATGGCGGATCTAAATGTGGATGATGCATGTCACATTAAGGGCTGAGTGAAGGAGGTCAGATCACGTTTACTCTATGGAATAGCAAATACAGTCGCAGGGAGCTGGCCACTGGGAGGCATCTTCAGGAACTCCGAAGTTAGCCACGTCGTAAATTGAGCAGAGAGGACTCTGCCACATATGTGCCGGTCTATAACTAACTTAATGCTATTGGAATTTCGCCAGCCAGCCAGCCAGCCAGCCAGCTTACGTGTGGGCGCGATCGGCACCAATCAGGCTTGTCAGATGCAGCATTAGTGTGCATCTTGGCACTTTTCCTCATAACAATGCGACAACTTCTCATTGCACAGCGGCAGTTGGTGGCTTGCAAAATCTTCGGACCCGGTCGAGTCAGGCGCCGCCACGGACCTTTCTTATACACGGCATCACATGCAGACGAGGGGCAGGCTAGCACTCCCTTGTTTCGCTGAGCTGTGCAGAGTTGCGGAAAAAAATTTCTCGCCGCGCGCTAGGGCATAGCTGAGCGCCGTCTGGCAGTATAAAGAGTGAAAGCCCTTATCCGGGTCCCGGAAACACCATCTCCTCCGCAATTAAAACCCGGCAAAGACATCTTCCTTGCCTCCTCAAATTGCCATAGCTGGCTGCCTGCTCACCATGTCTGCGCCAGTGGGTGCGTAGTGAGCTTTCTACACAAATCCTCAACCGAGACTAACCGTACCCTAGAAATCACCGAGGACGACTGCAAGGTATTGGACCAAATGGACGTTAACCTCATCCCTAGTAGCTTAGAAAATATGTTTCATGGGTACTACGGCGAAAAGGACGAAGGCCGTATCGCAGAGCTGGCAACCATTATCGAGGCCATTTTCCCCATTATCGGTGGCGACTCCTCGGATGGTATTGGCCTGATGAGTTGTGACGAGGCAGGTTTCCACGACAAGAAGCAGTCTGCCGGCCAGATTGGTGCTGCTCTTAACAACCTCGCGCCATCTACCCTGTCGCCAGTCGATGAAACACTTGACTTCCTATTGAGCTGCCACTGGAATCAATTCGTAGGGGACCTCACCGGCATGAAACCTCTCTGCACCATCGTCATTATCCATGGCGCTCCGCCTAATCCAGACTGCCTCAAGCGTGTCATCTTCCGATCCATGTTCCAGAGTTATCTCTTCAACGCAAAAAGACACCAAGTCCGATTATTCTTCTTCCAGATGGGCAACCCAGACAAGTTGAAGGGCCAGGATGGCCACGACCTCTATATACAAACCACCAATTCAGCCACGGCCTTTCTTTGGGACCTGGATGAAAACCTCAAAAAGGATTACCTGGGCTGACTGTCAGAACAGGCAGGCGAAGAATCTTTTCTTCGCCCCAAGATTCGGACACTAATGGAGACCATCCATGCGATTCCCAAGGAGGATGGCTTCGGCATGTTCAGCATCGTCGAGACTACAAAATTAGAGGACCTCGAGGGAGGCATTCTGAATGAACAGGTTATCAAAGAGGTCCTCCTTAGAGGACTAAGATCGTTCATGGACTGAATGGCTCCCGGGCTGCACACATGAGCTAGTTAGACAGGGCAAGGTGTTTTTTCCGTCTTTTGGTTTCCCCTTGGTTCAGTTAGTCCCTGATGAGATGCGCAAGACTCAGGAACTTTTCAACCGCACCATGTTTCCTTACTTTGTTATTTCTCTAAAAGCGTCAGTGCAGATGCTTTCTCTTGCACAAAGATAGCCCTAAGTATGCCGTCTCCATTCCCAACTCATTCGCTGCCTTGTCTAGTGAACAAAACCTACCGTGGCCATTGAACAGGCAGGCTCAATGTCCCACATATGAACGGCAACAGAAATGTGGCCAGAAAACTCTGCACGGAAGTTAAAATACGGCCGACTAGATTTGTACGGGGAGGGCCGCTTCCACCGCTCGGCCGTGCCGCTTCCACCACTCCGCCACACCGCAAAGACCCACGCCGTAAGACTTCGTGTACCACAGAAGTGCAGCTTTGGTCAATTTAGTCACCTATCAGTCGGCCATAGTGCTGGCGATGATCCCATTCATTAATATTATCGAAAAACCTGCCAGCGAGCCAGCCAGCCAGCCTGCCAGCCAGCCAGAAGGTCTATGTACCTGTCTTGGCATTGGACGGGAGGTACACCATGTGCATCCGTGCAAGGCTCACACCGTGATTCGCACATGGTTGCCCCTCCACCAATCTATACACGCAATGACTTAGTGTGTGCAGCATGCGCAGCTTCTGTCCTTGAAATGCACCTACTTCGGTGACAATGAGCGGGCAATCCCCGGCTTGGTCTCGGAAATTAGTTAGGGAGCTAGGTTTAACATCCAATATCTTATGCATTGCTGGGAGCCTTGCCGGACCTCCAGTCACGGGACACTTTGGGGACGGAAACAGTGGCCACATCGCAGGCACCAGCCAAAAATTCCTCTCATCGATACGTGCGAGATGACCTGTGCCACTGCGATGGCTATACCGGAACTGAAATCCGAGCCAGACCAAAGGATTGCATTCTTCAGTGGCTGTGGAGATTCAGAGGGCTGAAAGGCTGTGGTCATGCCCCTCTGGATGCATCGCGCAACTGCCAACGTTTGTGGAATGGAGCGATCGGAGAGGCCACGTCGGAATCTTGAAAGAATCTGCCGCTAGCTTACATACCGTGTGCGGACATGGCATCATTGATTCTCGTACCAGCCAACTGCGTTTAGGCTCACACTCTGGCTCGTACCATGGAGCGTCACAATAGCTTACATAGCACAACTGCTAGCCTCGGCGTGAGTCTTGGCCGTCCCCACGCTGAAGGCAATCGCCATCCGTGCAGAAACGCGCGGATGCTGTCTTTTAGCACATCACGAAGGAATTTTTACTATAAAACCGATGAGACAATGTGGATTGCATAGAAAATGACAATTTATGGATGATAGAATTCACCCCTTCCAATAACGCAAATAGCACCAATAACAGAAAACGCGCTACCCTCTATCCTCCGTCCTCGACTATTGTAGCCTACTCTGGCTCGTTGCATTCACACCGATGGCCACAGTAAGCGCGCAACCACCTACCGCCCTTGACCTTGATGATGATCTTCCCCTCTCCGGTCCCAAATTCGTCCTCGCCCTCCATACCGGTGTATTCAATGCGAGAGGTTACACCATTCTCGCCAGGATCTTGCGGAAGAAAATGGCCTTTGTCATCGCCAGCATCAGTCTCACGCTGTGCAATAGCATCGATTGCTGAAGCATAAACCTACTAAATTCTTGATAGCCTGTGTAATCGTCAGGCGTAAGTATGCGTTGGACGTATTTCGACATTCTGGGTTTGCTGCAGACCCGAGAAGACTCGACACGTGCCTTTCGGCTTGTTTGCGTCTGATCATCAGAGAGGTAGCTCGAAATTAGTATGGCCGTGAATTGCGTGAAGTCTCTCAGGATGCGAGCGGTCTCGATCATGAAGTCGAAATCGGACGCGATAACATCCATACTTTGTCCGAGGGAGTTCTTAGTCGCCTCCTCAGTACAGAGGGTTCTTGCTGATTGGAGAAGCTTCTCTGCGAGCGTGTATTCTAGATCATGTAACATGTCCAAGATTTGCTGGCCATCCGTGGGCAGCAGCCATTGATCCAGCTCGTAGAGGATCAACTCAGCATAGTCCAGCGGAGCTCGTTGGAGACCAGGCTTTCGGTCGCTCACACCCTTGGGAATGTGGAAAAGGAGGCGCAAGACTTTCTTGACTTCTGGACGCGACGTCTGCGTCAAAGTATGGACAGAATATTCAAATGCAGTGGTCGAGCTCTCGGTGAGTGAATCCATGGCAATGATCTGGTGATTTATGGCTATCGATGATTGTAGTCAGATTCAGGGAAATGGCAGAATGAGCATGCACCAAAAATATCGAAGAATGGAGGCGGAGTTTTCGCGGGCTAATGTTATCGAAAAACCTTCCAGCCAGCCAGCCAGCCAGTCAGCCAAGGGGCAGACCTCGGACTTTATAGTATTTGCTTGGTGCATACGTAATTCACACTGTGCTGTTCGCTGTGACGATTTTGCTCAACTATACTGGTTCTGCGTGTCCCGTAATAGTGGCTGTTAGGCTAGCACGTGCTATGACAACGGCCAATGGCGCCTCATGCACCATCAGCCGGCACCGTGAAAATATTTCTATTGTCTGAGCGTCATGGCGGTCCTCACGATTGGATGGAGACTTGAAGGGGCGCTGTCGTGGACAAATCACTGGAGGCATGCTGCTGCCTTCGTCTGCACCTGGTCGAGAAACGCTTAAGTTGGAATTTCTGGTTGACACAGCATTGGCATGAGAAACACACTATTTCAGCTCGTGCGCAGATCTTGTGGATCGACAGATGATCATTCTCTTCACGAATATTGTGCTGACCACCTACACCAGCGAGAATCGATGTACGCACAGCAGAATCAGTTGCGAGTAATCTATCGCAAAGAATATAACGTAAATGGAATTAATACGCCCAGGGCACAGTTTTCGTTCGGATACGATCAATTCAGTGTTAGTAGGTTGGATATAGAAGCTAGTTTGTAGAGCAATCTGCTAACCAGGTCTCAGCATTTCTGCGCTTCAGCTGGGTGAATACTACGCACCACGGAATACCAATGTATACGAGATGATATTGCGGCATTTAAGGAGCAGACCACAACCTGTACTGATCCATGCTGGGCTGCACCACATCCCGAGTCAATGGATTCTCGCAGCGTCACAGTTAATATAGCGTCCAAGTTCAAGAATGTTGGTTGGCTACGTGTATACATCTTTGACAAACAAACGGGCATTTTACATATTGTGGCTATTTTAGTCACGTACATATACTGGCTAGCCGTTGCGTACACCAGTGCCTCAACTAGCGCTGGTGGTAAATGCCCCTTTATACCTTCGATGAGCGGAACCATTGGTGCTCCAAGATGTTATCCATTGCAGTTTGGATGTTCAAATCACCAAGTTGTCATCCCTCGACTTGGTCTTGCCCATTCGCATCCACACACCATCCATCACCGAAGCTTTGGATACTGGGGTTCTCCCCGGTTGACTGTCGGTGCATTTCGCCTCTTGCTTGCTCTGATGAATCGTAACCTAGTTCAAACTTCATTAGCTTATTGCCTTCAGCTCGCATACTGGATGCTACTCATAAGGTTGAAGCGCAATGCCCTGGTGTGCTCCGTCGGAGATCGAGGCTCCGTGCATGGGACGACTCCAGGACTGGCTGCAGGGCATACTCATCGTGCGCGGTCTCAGTCTGTGACTGTGGCAATGATAGATGATCGTTACCAGCTGCTTGGTGAACTCGGCTAGGATATGCGAGGTCGAAGAAGCAGAAGCAAAGGTCTGCACGAGAGTGTCTAGAGCATGTCCCATACATCCTTCGCGCGGCCCAGGTGGATATCTGTACTGCTTTGGTTGAGGAAATGCATTGAAGAGCAAGTCCTGCAACTCACGCATGCGTCGCAAAGACTCTCCGCAGGAATCAGACAGGCCCCAGCGGTCGACCTTTTCCAAGACAATTCTAGTGTAGTTCGCCGGTGCACTGGTTGCGTTTGGCTGGTTGAAGCATTCCAACGTGCTACCAAGAAGACGGATCACCTCTTGGATCTCATTGTGCTCATCGGAAATGTCTGTGGAGAGCGACAAGACCGCGAATTTGTAGTCGTCCGGCGAATCCATACTAGAGACGATGGCTGCGTTTAGCGAGATGGGAAATGACAAGGGTCAGGTTTTTGGCAGTACTAATGTTATGATGGTGCAGGCTCACATTGGAAAGGCGCCGTGTATATGTTCAATGGCTTCAGAATTTTGCAGCCCACTGGGCTAGGCTAGGGGTCGTGCTAGGGTTACATGACAGATTAGCTCTTTCCTGATTTGGCAGTTCGTGACCTCATTGAAGTCTTCCAGGGCACCATGCTTAGTGATGTAATCAGGCCGCCCACTTCCAAATGAGACACAGACGGCTTCGCCATGTCCAGCTGGCTGTTCAATCTGAAAGCATGTTCTTGGCTTCACATAGAAAACTCCATCCCAGTTAGACATAAATCAATGCGATGGCTGCAAGTAAACTCTTGGTGAAAATGATGAGTAATATTATCGAAAAACCAGCCAGCCAGCCAGCCAGCCACTAATCTCAGAGATAGATAAGGGCTACTCAGTTTCCGACTCGGTTTCCGGGTGGAATGAGACTGGCCCTAAAGTCATGATCGGTGCCTGGTACAAACATATTGTTTAGCGCAAGTCCCCAGGCAGCATGACGGCTTTTGACTAGAGCTGCAACGCAAAGCGTAGACGCATGGGTGACCCCAGGACATGGCTGAGATTCCATGATGGCAGGGGCTGCGGCACTCACTGAGAGACAGTGACAAGCGGCCACCTGGAGTTGGCATATGGAGCAGCGCTTCTGCCCGTCGTTCGACATCGACCAGGCTGTAGGCTGCTACAACCCAAGATATTATCTTGCTGGCAGACAAATGCAGTTCTACGATAGCTTGGGGAGACCAGTGTCATCTCTATCTAGTGATCAACTTCTGTATGTTGGTATCACTAAGCCGGCTGCTTACGAGCCCACAATTTTGCTCGCGCTAGGTGGCTGTGCGTCAAAAATAAGTGAGACCAAGTGTCAATTCCACTAGCTCATAGATCTAAAACCATCTAGTTATCTCATCCTCTGCTCGAAATCCTTGTATACCATAGATACTGCTATTGGAATCGACCGAGTCGGGCCTGCTCCAAAGCAATAATCCCGCCAATGCCGGAGCTTAGGCCGCCTTAGCCACTTCCATTGCGTCCATACACTTACTGAGCTGCTCAACAGCTGCGCAAAGTCCAGTAAGCTTGTCCATACTGGAAGAATCCAGCTCATCAGCCGTAGGCGCCGGAGTGTCCTCCCAGTCATCTTCAGTGCTCATGATCTCGATATCAAAATCGTATGTGGCAGGCCTGGAGGTAGCACCTGGCAAAGGTTGAGCTTCTTCCACTAGCCTGCGCCTCACTTCCATGAGAGCTTTGCCCATTATATTGCCCCCCCAAAATTGCTGCTTGGACAGTGCAATGCTTTCACCATAACCAATACCCGAAAATCGGTCACAAGGCGAAGCCTGGACGTGTTAGCTCTCATCGAGTCATCGAGCTACGGGACTGACTCACCTTGACCAACGTCCGATCACCCGTCTCTAGCAGCTTCGCCTTTAAGTCCGGCGCTTGGAGACTGGCGGTGAACTTCAAGTAGCTGCCGTCCACCGCAGCCTTGCCCATCACTATTCCGTGTCAGATACTAAAGTGCATGAGGTGATAGAAGGAATACAAACTGCTACCCCACTTCTTGGCGCCATCTCCTTTGATTCCAGCTGCTATAGTACTGATGTCCTCTGGATCAATGGTTTCGTGCAATTTCTCCTCGGCAGACTTGTCGCCGAAGAATCGAGCCTTCTGGACTGCCATCCATTGATGCACGGTGAGGTAAATATAACCCTCATGCATGAATGGACTCAGGTGCCATGCCGATAGATAGCCGTTGGGCAGCTCTTTCCCCGTCTTCCAGAAAAACACGAACTGATCAGAACGCTGGTGAAGAGAGGATGACATTCCGGCTGTATTTTGCGGCACGGTGGGCGTAGGAACTTTGTTTTGCATGGTTGTTGATGATCGATACCGACGAGCTAAGGATTAAAATTGGAGAAGAAAATTTTTTCAGATGAGTAGGGGCCGCGGTCCTTTTATGGGCCGGGCTCATCCTTCGACACGGACTCATGCTCAAGCGAGCGTGCAGCTTACATGAAATTCCGTACAGTACATGTCGGCTTCGCGTCGAAGCCTTTCCACGGTGCATAGTAGCTATGCAACAACTGATCAATCAGATCGCAGTATGTCTGGTTCCTTGTACAGCTATACAGCTGAGCCCGTTGCTCTTGTACATATTGGTCAGGCATGAGGTATCACTGCAGCCGAATGTGCTCATCGCCAAGTTTTTCGCTTGTACCTAATGTTATCGAAAAATATGCTAGCCAGCCAGCCAGCCAGCCAGCAAGCTGGACGAAGCCCACTTATCTGATACCGAAAGAGGGGGTGGCGGTGCCCCCGCCCTGCAGTGTGACATATGCAGCTCTGAGGTGCAGCCGGTGGCCTGGTCACTCTAATGGCAGCACCGTCAGCAGGCATAGATATCGTAATATGCGATAATTGCATTAGCCATGCTAATAGACCCCAAGCCTTACAAGCTCCCCGCTGATTGCAATAAAAATAGGCGGATGTGGACTACCATTGCACAACTAGTTGGGAAGCATGCTAAAATACAGATATTGTGCACCACTGACGCTCTTCGGGAACTACAAACCTCTACGACCCTCTACGATTCACTTTATACTTTCTCGCAGTGGCTAGTAAGCGGGAGAGATCGCGGAATATCTATTGATGTCGGCTTGCTAAAGCTATGTTAGATCCAGGACCGAGCGTTGTGCCGTACGAAGCAGTGACCGTAGGCGGGTTCACCACAAACCTACTTTTGTACTTGGCGGAGTTGTACGATGCACCGTATCATCTCGACGCGGGGAACACTCGGCGTCTCGGTGTTTCAGATCGAGATACAAGGGTCGCTGAGCTTATGCCTTTTGGCTGCTCATGGAAGGCATCTATCGCTCCTAGAGCGGCTAAACTCAACGCATTCTGAGCCAATCGATGTTGGATTGCTAATGATGCTTTACAACTCTTCACAAATTTTTTATTCGACACAGAGATGTGTGCTCTCATGTCCGTGAAAGTCGGAGCAGAGCACTGACTCCTGATATCAGAAAGGCCATGAATAAGTCTATTCCACTGTTGAAGCTATAAATCCATCCAGAACTGTGCACCACAACATCATCCTCATGAACAGAAGCAGAGGTTCAATGGCGCGCCTCACTAGTGACCCAGCCCTGCATATTGCAAGGCGCAACTGCCTTGACCACGTCTCAAGCGTCCTTCCCACTTCTCCGCAGTCTGCATCCGATCTATGATTAGGCGACATAGGTCGTACGTAGAAGGGGTCCGCATCTCTAGTACAGCCCACTGTTAGAGCGGTCAGTCTGCAGCCGCTGGGACTGGCCCCGAGCGACTTCCCTTGACACCGAGGTCGTCTCCATGTGACAAATCTTGATAGGTGAGGATTAGCCAGAATTCTAGACAAACGTTGTAGCCGAGCTTAGTCGACTGTGAGGGGAGGCTTACCTCGATCTTGTGCTTTTGCTTCATCTTTCCGGCCAGACTTCTCTTCCATGAGGCTGTGATGCTCGCAAGATGGTACGGCTTGCTTTGTTCTTGAGAGCTTGGTCCCGCTTCGACGGGAGAGCAGCGCTCGCAGAGCAGGTGAGACAGCTCAAAGAACATGCTATGTAGATCCTGAAACTGAGCTGCCATCATCTCCATCCTCGATTGGAAGTACTCTGGCCTCGTGCCGATGCTGCATGCCTGGTTGGGGCCTTTGATCATACCGGGGCTCACTTCCACATGGAAGAAGAGTTGCGAAAGTGCAGCAAAGCAGTTCCGTGCGGTATTCTGCAATTCCAAGTTCCCCTCAAATAGAGAGCCGTAGGCCATCCGAAGCTTGCTTGTTGCTGCCGCAACTTCGGCGTGCGGAAATGCTTGGTAGATTATGTCAAAGGTGGCGCCCATGCTTTCCACGGCGTCCACTGCATCTTCAGGGCACGAATGAGCCTTACCAAGGACGCTGCTGGTCAAAATCATGGCGCCGTCGGAGGTCACCGGCATAGTGACTTCAGTCGCACCTTCGATGTCTGCAGAGGTCGACGCCATGTTGTTCCGTGAGGTAAGCTAGTGAATGAGGTAGACGGGGCTGCAGGAAGAGGGAATGCTACAAGCACGAGAGGTAGCAAAAATTTTTCGCGCCGCACAGCCTTAATATTATCGAAAAACTCAATCAGCCAGCCAGCCAGCCAGCAGCTATATATATGGCTCCGGGTCTGTCTAGGTTCGCCCCGCCGTGCACAGTGGAGCACCCTCGCGGTCCATTCAGCACCACTCGCCGCCCTTTGTGCAGCTGCAGGTCTCACCGGCATCCTGCGCACTCTGCGGTACTCCTTGCTGAACAGTGCGCCTGCACAGACCCACGACCAATCGCCAGACTTTGTACGATTTTAACATGTCCATTATCATATATCAGACCGCTGGTGTTTCAAGCTATTTCCCATTAGGTCAGAAGCAATGCTCGGGGCATATGAGCCATGACCCGCACCAGCCCGTGGGCGCACACGAGAGGCTCCAGGCTGTGGATCATCATGCAAGACCGTACGCATATCAGCAAACGGAGAGCCAGTCGATTACTGCCATGCGTTCAATTGGTGCTCCTGACCGGCAGTCTGAGCTGAGGTCTCCGGTCGACGCTGCGTCCGACACCGGCAAAGAATGCCTGCTACGTTGTCGATTAGGCCCTGCGCCAAAGGTCCGCTGCGATGCAGGTCAGCAGCGCTTGGAAGACCTGCACTGGTTCATACCCGCCACCAAACCACAGACAGCATTATCGCGCACGAATCGAAACTGGTATCAAAGGAATTATAGGCGACAAGGCCTTGCAGAACCGAAATATCCACGGGATAAGCAAAAGCCATCCGATACCGCGACGAAAAGACCAACACCCGAGAACGATCGAGCACGTCGTGCGATGCGACGACCTCCCTGGGTCCACTACAGACGGGCGAGGGGCTAGCAGAACTGATGGGTGCCCAAGGGGCATAATAGCAGATACGACACGCAGACAATCAAGTTGTAGCCAGAATCGAGCTTTATTCATAAGAGTTGCTATAAACCAGATGTGCAGGTCGTGACACCTCATGTACAGAACGTGTTGAAGTGAAGTCCAAGTTCTCTCCAAAGCACTTTTAAAACGCATCAACCCAAATATACCACTAGTCACCAAAATCCTTCAAGGGGCTCCGGCGTAGGAGCTCCTAGAAATCAGGCATCGATAACAGTAAAGAGAGTACCATATATCGACAAGGCAGAAAAGGACCATCCCGACCCCCGAGAGGGTAAAGATCGAGAAAAGAAGAAGAAACCATTCGGAAGCGGTCATCCTGATGGTGGCCGCTTCACATCTTGCAGCTCACTTGCTGGGTTGGAGGTACTGTATCGCTAGCTGGAACAGCGTCTGTTGCAGATTCGTCAATCGGTCCAAGATGAGTTGAATGAGTGTCCGTGAAGCCCACAAGACTGGAACCCAGGTCTGTATAGGTATTAGCAATATGCCGAGGGAGCCTGAAGGTGGAACAGAGCTCCCACCCACTAGGACGGGATGCACTGACAATGGACTTACGGCGCACGTGAGAAGAATCATTCGAAGGAAGCGGGGTACCTGGATCGTTCACGGTCGGGGTATTGGTCGGCGTGTTTCCCAAACCGGTATTCAGCGTTGCTAATTTGCGCCCCTGGGTCTCGTGGGACTCTGTCTGAGATGACGTTCGGGCAGGGGCCACTTCAGTCAAGGTTGCAGGAACCGTGAGATTCGTGAGGTCCTGAAGCTTCCGAGCGTACTCGGTCTCTTCATCGACGCTGTCGATCGTAGCCTTGATGTGGTTGTCCAGCAAGTTCTTTAGTTGCTCGCCCGGCCCAGTAAATGCTTTATGCCCGGCCTTGTCTCTGCAATGAGCAGGAGCTGCCCGACAATCAAGGCAATCTGCGAATAGTCTTGCAGTCGTTGTGCCTGCCTCTCCAACCCGAATTGATTGGTGTCAGTCATGCTCTGTCGGAAGGCAGAGGTGGCCTGCCCCTGTGTGGGCATCTTACCGAGGGAACTCTACAAGGGTGGGTCACAATGTATTCGAAGAGTGTGGCAGTGTTCGGGTGACCGGGGCGATGAGTTTTTTTGTTAATGTTATCGGAAAATCAGCCAGCCAGCCAGCCAGCCAAACCGCTATTCATCGCAAAGTTGTGGTCTCGACCACGCATCTGAGCAATAATTGCTTTTTCCTTTACCAGAATCCCGTCGCCTAGGTACTGCGCAGCTGCGTACCGACGCAACCAGGCAATGGCGCAATTGAGCACGCCGAGTGGCCCCAGCTGCGCAGTCCCAAGGCAGACATTAGGCACCAGCGCAGATCTTAACACCCGTACACAAACGAATCAGAGCCAATTAAGGGAATTGGAAATTAAGACTCGTCGAGGACCATTGGTTCGGCATTCGTGCTTTACGCAGCTAAGTGGGTTGATGTGATGACAGTGCAGATATCACACCATGCACGGAACTTTCGGTGGTCCTTCCAGAGCCGTTGCACGCTAATGCAGCAGAGTAGCTGCGATGTCCTCACACATCCTCACTATCCGGCCTCATTTCAAGACCGATCAGCAACCAACTGACGGTTTCTGATAAGACCTACATGACATCTGTCGCGAAGACAAACCAATCAAGTACAGTCTAGCGGGTCAAAAGGTCACTGCACATGCCCAAATATGCAGCCTCCTCCTCCTCCTCCTCCTCCTCCTCCATGCAGGAGGCCCACTATAAAAAATTGTCCTCACGACTAAAATATACAGGCCCATCAGCACTAACCAGGATGCGGATCCTGTGAGCACAGATCACACGGCGCAGCCTTTGCACATGTGGCTGGGAATCCACGAATGTGTACACATGTGTGTACTGAAACATAGCAGTAGCTATCTATGCTGCTGCCTGGGTGCAACAGTGAGAGCCAATAGACCTCTACAGCCTCACTGAAAATATCTCTGGCCCCCACATGAGAGTTTAGGCTCACACCGTCTCTTGAAACAAGGGGGTCAGCCTCGCAAGCTGTCGGTGAAAGGACCTTGACCAAAATAGTCCACAAGGTCTTTGTAAAGGGCCTCGAAGGTCAAAAAAGGGTCTCGAAGGTCAAAAGGGCCTCAAAGGTCCACAAAAAGCCATAAAGGGCTACCAAAGGGTCACGGAGGGCCATGGAGGGCTACGAAGGGTCACAAAGGGCCTCAAAGGGCCTCAAATGACCTCAAAATATCTCAAATGACTTGAAAGAACCTTAAATGAAATTGAATTGGGTATCACTATAGAGTTGAGAAACCAAGATGATGCAGATAACCCAGACCTGACCACCCACCAGGCCTTGCGGCCAGAAAACCTATAACCCGTAGAAGAAAAAGAACTAAAACCGGTCCAACGTGATAGATAGTAAGCTGTTTAGGGGTTGCGGCCTAGCAACTCCTTGCTGAGCTGAAGAGGAGACTGGGTGCAGAGCGAGTGGATAGGATGTCGAAGACAGATTCTAGCATCGGACTAGCTGAAAGCATCAGTTGCTGGAATGGAATATAGAGTATCGCGGAAGAAGTAACCCCACAATGTGAAACGTGCTGCAGAATACTGCGGTCGGGAGTTCGAGTCTGATAGATCGTAGCTGTATCGGGTTGATCCAGATGTTGTTCATCCTCGTGTGTCAACGTAGAGTGCTCCGTGCCGCGGCCACTCCCCTGAACCAGCCCATCCCTGACACCGAAGGATGAAGTCTCGATGAGGGTGGTGCAAGCCGATGCTAGTAGGTGCTACGTACCGGCAACTCGTGGTTGACGAGAGTCCGTTCAGATTCGAGTCTGGGGGGGCGGTTCCCTGATAAACGTTGATGCCAAACTGGCGCATAAGGAATGTCGTGGGCGGTGACCAGCACCGCTGAGGAGAAAAGTTCAAGCTCTGTGATATCTAGGAGACATGCCACTGATATACGAGATGACTGGCCAGATTAGCCGTTGATTTTCCGCGCTATAATGTTATCGGAAAATCAACCAGCCAGCCAGCCAGCCAGCCAACTCATTGCTCATCAAGATGGCCTGCTTGAGCGTACGCATGTGCGTGATTCTCTCACGCCCGGGGTCATGAAGTTGACGCCATTGCGCGTACTAAACTGCGCAATTGCGCAGTCCTAGGTTCCGCATCTGAGCATAGCCAGACCGCGCAGTTGCGCAACCCGGTGTCCTCTATCTCGTCGTAGCCTAGATCTCAGGGCTACAGGTATAGGCCGTATGTTGCAGGGCCCCACTAGGACCACTGTATGCTCCTGCGTGAACTGAAACTAGCAACAACAAGGCCCTAGACTGGTACGATGAGTTATCTGAGGTCTTTGTGTCAGCACTCGCAGACGCATAGCTGAGCAAACGAGCAAACCAATCAGGCTCTCAGCTCCAGCCAAAAAGGGAAACTTCAAACCCAGGATCGCAGGATCGAGAGCAGAGGCGTAGGACTCAGGCGTGCAGATCCTTCAAAGGCTTATTACGCTAATGCAGTCAGCACTAATGCCGTCAGCGCTGTGTAGCCTTTGCGGCGACCAATGGGCCATTCACCGTGTGACTTAGGGTTAGACCTACGTGCCCCTCGGGATATGAAGCGCCAATGAATTCAAAACACGGTGCAGTAGCGAAAAAAAATCTTCCACGCATGACAAAAGTCTTACTTACTGGGCTTACCGCTAATGCACCGGGCTTACCAGTCAGATTGCAAGACGTGGTTTTTGCTTAGACGTGGCATCTGCGGCTGATGCGCATCGTGCTCATAAGCGATGCAAGTCCACTACGCACACACCCCGCCGGTACAAGCAACAGGAGGTAGTTGCAAAGCTACTTTTGAACACAGTGCAGGAAATCAATTGGCTAGAAAGATTGCTGCCCGGACAGTAGATTGTTAGGGCATTGATAGCCCCAAAGTATGCTGCGTTGCTAGCTGTAGACCAAACTCTAGGCACCAAACATGCCCTACGCCCCCCATAACGATCCGTCTCCAGCGCTATAGTCCCCTGTGGATTCCGACTACACAGCAGGAAGCAAACTCCAGACGCCATACCGTTGAACCGGGTATCAAACACAGGGGTATCATAAAGCCAGAGCACCATAATGCAAGAGTATCATACAGGGTATCATAAAGAAAAGATGTCATTCCACCCGAGACCTGCCACGTAAAAACAAACAATTAAAATGCCAGTAGATCCAATGCCAATAATAGGCCACCATGATCCAAAAAACACATAGGAAGAATATGTCCTGATGGACAGAAGTCGGCAGACGATACATCCCGCGATCCACCACCGCTTGATCTATCAGTTGGGTCACAGGAGCCATGTCTCCTAAGATTGTGACTGAGTAGCTCTCCAGGTTTCGAACAGAAGGTGGGCGTGGAGTAAGCCGGCGAGATGCGGAAATGCATTTCGGTATCGGTGACGGAGGGTCCCAAGTGGCTCAGGTTTGGCATGAAGCACGGCTTGCGGCGAGGAAGAGCCTCAATGCCGGTGACGGTCTGTTTGTACATGCTATTCAAGCACCATCGAAGCCTTTGATGGGATATCGAGTGAAAAGAGTGAAGTGCCAGATGCGTGTTGTGCAAGCCTGTCCTGGCAGTGGACGCATGTGAGTCGGAGTAGTCGGCTCGTCGTCAAAGACCGCAGTGCTCTGCGCCGGTGAAGGTTTCAAGGTCCAGCAAATCGTTAACCGAGCCTTCAAACTGTGGGATTACCGCTCAATGGTTTTGGTCTCGGGTGTTGTCGACAATTAAAAGTTATGGTAGTAAAAGTACAGCGGTGGCCAGCACCACCGAGCAGATTCCCTTGAGCTCCCAGCAGCGGAGCTGCGCTATATTTATACCCATTGACCCAGAGTGGCGTGGATTTTGCATGACCTAATATTATCGACGAATCCGCGAGCCACGGAGCTACTGGGCCACCCAGGCCGCTGAGTGTCGATCCCAGCGTCAGTCGACTAATCGCTGAGTAAAGCATCAGGTGCGAGATGTCGACGGCTGCTGCCATGTCCAGTAGGACAGCATCTGCCATCGAGGGCAAAGCCTTGGCACACGCCGTCGGCATGAAGACTCTTGAAACCGCTGGCCCGACGACCCGGATGCCGCATCTGTACTTTTGATAATGCTTAGAACAGTCTCTGGATCTCGAGTATATGCTGATGGTCTATAGAAAGCCTCTTACATCCAAATATGGAATGGATGTATACATATTATAGTCGATCTGAATACAAGCCCTTGGTAATATGCGATAGAAAATAGCGCCTCGTTTACCAATATCCCTAAGTACCTATCTGATCTGCTATAGCCCCACGGTAATCACCATAGGAACCCTCTGGAATGCTAATAACATTAGGACCGAAAAACTTGTGGGAACATAAATAGCGCGTGGTCTACTCCCCGCCGTTGTATCTCTCTCTCGCTCGTTAACTTTTCTGGTGTACTACGGCCGTTCCAACTGCTGACCGCAACCACAACGACTGCAAAGACACAAGCAACGACCATGCACTTCACAAATAACAGCCTCATTTATAATAAGCGCTTGCGCGATTATGAGGATCGGGCCAGCGTGGCGATCTCGAAGCTTTTCGAGGCCCAGAGAGCCGTCGCTGATGAGGACTACCCGAGTGCTCTTGAAGCAATGGAGCAAGTGGCAAAGGAGTGGCAGGGGGTCCAAACCGCGAATTCGAAGCGCGATGCGGACACGTTGAGGCCTCTTTACATCACGCTGGCAGGAGCGTGGGCAAAGCTGCAGGCTGCAGAAATGGCAAAGGGGGATCGGATGGTCGCAGTGCAGGAGACTCTGGTTGCTCGACAGACAGGCGCTAGCGTTATGCTTGAATTCCACGAGACCTTCGAAACCATCTTAGCTCATTACCTTTTTCACGATGAGCGGGCCCTCCGTGATTATTGCACGAAGAATGGCCGCGCCGAGTTGATCGGCCGCTGGAAGGAATACGATCAGGCAGGCCTGCAGCACTCAACTGCTATGGAGGCCGCTCCAGCAACCCCGGAGAGGATCCCCTCGACCCAAGAGACTATTCCAGCGACTCCCGAGATGATCCCAGCGACCCAAGAGACTATTCCAGCGATGCAAAATGGCAGTGCCGATGAAGTGCCAGTAACGCCAGCATGGCAGGACTCGGCCTCTCCGCAGCCTCCGGCAGCTCCTGAACGGCGCGTCACATCACGCCCAAAGAAGCGCGGGCTCCCGATATCTTTTTTGCTGCAGAAATCGGACCCCGAGCATGCACGCGAGAGTGGTAAGTCATCAAGCGGCATCGTGTCGCTTCCCACTTGATTTACATACACCGGCAGAACTCGGTCGCACTCACAGCTCATCCACTAACTCGGTGAGATAGATGACATTGATGAAAACATCACGCCACTGTCATCGGGTCGGTATGCCGCAGAGTATGAAGACCTCATCAGCTCAAAGAGGGCGAAGCTCGGACAGTCAACTGGAGCGGACAGGTGGGACTTTTCACATGGGATCCCAGTGAATTATCCAGGTAATGCATATTGGATGCGGAACTAGCTTGGAGCCTACCGTTGGTGTGGGTGCTGAAGATGTTTGGAGTTTCATGAAAACCCAACCAGATGTTTTTATTGCTTGGTGAATCAGATCTACGCCTGACTCAATACTGGTTTTCTTGTTACCTCATAACGATGTAAGCTAGGCACCAGTCATTCTAGTAAAAAGTATCCACCTAGGGCTATGATACGTGCGGGCTTAGTCAATAGTGTCGACGCGTGAAATTGGCTACGTCGAGACAAGATATGCGCTACTGATGAGATTTACTCCATTATTTGTCCATGCTCCAGATCACATTATAGTCACATGATCCTATTCACCGGCCAACCTAGAGGCCTCAGTTCACGTATTAGTCTTGTTCAGGATGGCGAGTTGACTAGTAACGAAGGATGTACGCGTAGAACGTGCCAGCATTTCGAATCGCGAGCGTTCCTATATGCGGCCCAATCAATCTTGATTTGAACCTCATAGGACGCGTTTGGTTGCCAGTGCAATCAGGTGCTGGCGACTGGCATGCATTACGACTGGCGACAGATTGCCCAATAAGCACTAACACACACAGTGCGGGAAACCCGTGGAGATGTAGAGTCGCTATCGGTCAAGCCTTTGGTCAATGGTATTTTGGGGCAGTGACCACCCCTGCTGTTACATGCAGCACCCGTAAAAGCCACTGGCTGGCTGGCTGGCTGGCTGGCAAGTTTTTCGATAGCATTATGTCGCGCCCGTCCAAAGAATTTGCGGCTGAAGTTCCAGATGCGGAAGGATAGGCAGATTGTCGAGTTAGATACACTGCCTCCTTCGTGGCTGTGCAAGACCGGAGGCGCTGCGGTGTAGCCCCGACATAGATCTACCTGTGCCCTTGGTTCTGCTACCCAGCCAGTGCTCATGTCAGAGTTTCATCACGGCTGTTGGGGCTGAGCGCGCCATGATCTCAGAGCCTAGTCCGCCTCCATCTAATCTATAAATAAGTCCTTGGATAGTTGAATCTAACCAGAATCTCACACTGTAGGTATGCCAAAAAGCAACTCCGGCACCGATACCACAATTCCACACAGTGCATAGAAGGAAGGCTCTGCCAGATAGCTCTGAGGGGTTGCTATTATTGGCACTAGCAGATGCCGAGTCTCTTGTGGACCACAAATTATCGAGTTTCTGCTCGGCATGTAGGTGACAAACTACCACGCAATTGACTGATATATACTTAGTAATGCCACACACAAACTCGTCAGAAATGCACCCCAGAGCTCTTTCTGATGCTAAAAATTTCCAGGTTAGGAAGTACCTTGCTTTCCTTTTGTACCCTAACCCTTGGTCCGCCTCCATCGCTCTCGTGCGTATCCGCTTAGTACCTAGGCGATCAAGCTGCTAGATGCCTTGGTCTCTAGATTACCGAGCTATTCTGTCTTACTCTTTTAGCCGTCGTCTTCTACTACTAGGCTCCGTTTAGTCAACTAAGGTATACTTTGCCCAGCGTTCCACCATATTTATATCCCGATGGTACCAGTCTTTAGTAGGAAGCATACTTAGCTACTTGCTGCTATATAAGGTACCTGCTGCCCGCTAACTTGGGCTCTCCGATAACATTAGCTACGGAAAAGTCAGCTGACCCTGGTTGAAGGTACCTCGCGGAATTTTGGATCTCAACTTCCCCTTGTGATCTTCGATACTGCACAGCTCGAACCTGACGGACCATGGCCGACAATCAGAGTGGTGACGGCAGTACCAGCGCACCTAATGTGCTCAAAGTCCTCGAGCTACCTCCGGCCTGCTATCCATGGCTGATGCGCAGGCTCATCACACCCGCGACCATCCCTTTTCTTCACATAAGCAGTCGCGACCTTGATAAAGCTGTACAGTCACTGGGTGACTTTGGAATGTCTGGGACGTTGGAATGGGATTGCTCTTGCAACGAACGCATTGAATCCTTACGGGAAAACGCCAGAGACCTGTTCACCGGGTACTATGGAGCTTTCAACTGGCCTCCCAAGGTCGACGGACTGGGCGAGCTAATGATGCGGCTCGACGCGCATCTTGAGCGGATGGAATCTTTTGCGCGTGGATATCGGGAGTTGATGAAGAGCTTTAGGGGGGTGTTTTACGACCATATTAGCCAGGAACATGAAATTCCTCGCGCTCTTGAGGTGGCCGAGGACTTTTACGATGGTGAGGTCCAACTTTTGTCTGCGCAAACGGACATTACTTCACTTTTATAGACGCTAACATACTCAAACTTTCTTTATAGCTGATTTTCATGACGACGAGTTTAAAGAGATGTTGGAGCAGGTCGTGCGACAAGTCGAGCGGGATCAGGGACTGATAGAGGAACCACTCAAAATTGCCCGCGTATCCACGCTAGACTGCTCTAGCAACTCACCGCCCATAAATATGGACTCAAGAAAGTTCGGTACATGGCACGAAACAGCAGATGGAGATTTTATATTTCGACGATACAGTAAAGCGCCCGAAGAATGATCCAGAAGGCTCCCTACTACTGAAGGCGGAAGCGAACGTGACTCTCTCAGACTGAAATTTGACAATGGCATGGGCATAGTGGATGTGGGAAGCATTGGGATACATGCTGAGGGGCTAGTAGGTGGATCGATTCGCGTTGACGCGAGGTCGGCAGTGCGCAGTCAGATATCTACTCTGGCGATGCCTGGATCATTTACACCACTGCCATTTTTACGAAGTTCACTATATTTTGTCACAGGAAACTTGTCAGTTGCACAGGGGATATTAGTACAGTGGGTGTTAGCAGATCAGCTCCAAGGCCATGGAGCTCGCTAGGTAGACTATCGCACTGGTTTCTACCACAAAGGTGCGTCGTGTTGCTTGCTCAATGCACCGTCTTTCCGAGCAGCGCGTTGATGAGCCTATAAATTGTCTGTGATGCTATCTGCTTTTGGGGCCTACCAGTAATCTTCACGCAGAAGCACTCATGCAAAGCCGCAGCAGGTAGGACCAGTGTACCATTGCGAGCCAAAGGCCAACGCGTATGAGTTTGGTGTTGGCTACATCGCGGCGACGCGCTGATGTAGGGCGCGGCTAGCGGTGAGACTGGCTTATCTCACTCTGCCTAAGTGGCTGGGAGCACCACAAGATCCGCCATGAGCTAAGCAGATTATATATCTTCGTAGGGCACTTTAAGCCAGCATTAACCCTACTAGCTATAGCGCTAGTACCTCGCACGTATATCATGGGAAATATTGGCTTCGGCATAGATCATCACTACTAATAGAAGTATTCTTAGAAATGAAGGCATTCATGAATTGTAATGCTGTGTACTTGACCGTTATGAATGAATGGCATACGCAGCGGTGAGCATTCACATTTCGGTATGCACTTACGCACAATAGTCATCCACCAAGTTGATATTGCATTCAACGAGATAACCGTTTAGCGAGGCGCCATATGGCTACGCTGGCTGGCTGGCTGGCTGGTGACTTTTCCGATAGCATTAGTGTGAACCATTGGCCGGTTGGCCAACTGGCTGATCCATTCTCACGTAGCGTTACTCATGATAGGAAAGAGTAGGTACGGCAGGCTGCGCTTGCTGGATGCCTACCGCCAATTGACAATGCAGCTGAAATAGGTTGTCCAGCCGCTTCATGCAGGCATACATTGGCAGCTATACATAGAAGCTACGTATACAGGCTGTGAGCCTAGAAGGTGGCGGCAATTCCATGCACAACGATTTTAGAGGTATAGCGCTTAGAAATACAATGGGTGAGTCTAGGGCGCTGGCTGAGTCGCAAAAGCACGAGACCGAACCTCGAACGACCCAGCTGCTACACGGGAGGCTGCCAACTGCCACTCTAGATTCTTGCGGCGTAACTCCGTTGGCGAACGACCCATCACATGGCGTGCCTATGCTGACTTACTGCAGAGGTTCAGCGGACTCGAAGTACGGAATGGTGCTCAGACTCAGTGGCATGGGCTGAATTAGCCCAACGTTCATTCAATCTGCCCATAACACCCACCCCGCTTGGCCTACTTCAGTACTAGCACTTAGAATGGCTTTAATACAAGTGGCTGAGCGCTCACAATTTCTTACTTCCTACGCCCTCATATACATCAGGAACCTGTACCATTATATCAACACTGAGGCTCAGCTCAAGTTGGTGTCATTGCACAGCCGCTGCTAGTGCCTAGCGGTAAGATAAAGGCAGCTAGGTACTACTGGCAGTTCCGCCAGATCAAGGTTTACAGTGCCGGCCGGCAGATTGGTTGGGTGAAGTAGTGACGATAACATTATAGAGAAAATTCAGTCACACATTCCAGCACTATAAAAACCTGAGTCGCTGGCCTAAAACCTCTGCATACTTTGCATAACTGAGCATTTTCAAGTATCGTTCAAACATACTACGTTTCATAATGCCTCTCTATGTGCAACTGATCGAGTACAATGAGTTTGCTCGACATGTCTCGCTTTCTACCGTCGGCTGCCCAGCGGCAGTTGAAGAGACCACCAGACGACTACACGAAGCCACGAAGCTAGTCCTCAGACAAAAACACTTTAGCCACGAGTTTGCGGATGCTATGGAGACAGCGGTGGCCAAGGTATCCGCATGGTGGCTTTCTGCTGCCGGCAAGAGGCATTTGAAAGACACGAAAACATGTCATGCTCACGTAAACCCGGGTGTTTTGATGTTCTATATCATGGAAAATGCCGAATCGCTCAACTATTTGCATAGAGCATTTAGTGCATTCCTAAACGAATATAAAGCCATCGTCGGCGAGCCAGGTAAGATTATGTTTCATCTTTAGAGCATGTCCACGACTTCGGCCAACTCACAGAGGTCTAACGAGCACTCAACTAACGTGAATACAGTGGCTGCCATTTCTTGTAGTCCCAATGTCAAAGAGGAAGTGCCTAATGTCAAGAAAGTGCCAGACGCCAAAGAGAAATCAGTTATGAAGGAGGGGTTAGATGTCGAGAAAGATGCATAGCTACTAAGCTATGGACCAAGCGTCAGAGTGCTTTCTAGGATTTAACAGTGTCAATAAGCCTGTGGGAGGAAAACTTTGTGAAGCGGCGGCAGTCTTCAATGAAAAGCCGTAGAGGGAGAAGATGTCTGTGATGCAATGGCATTGTTACAAGATCACAAAACTTGACCTAAGATCAACTTTAAGGATAGGGCTACACTGTGAATTTGGACATCGCTGGATCTGTCGGCAGTATTTCAAGTGATTTTGTAGGATTGTCTATTGGCTCTGTGTAATTCAGGTATTCAGTTCTTTTCTATGCGTCACTCCTCTGCATCCGTGACATTCGCGTGTAACATTCTACCGTGCATGATCGAGGCACGATGCTCACTGGCTACATTAGTCCGAAACTATGATGTAGCCAAAATTTGTACTGGCTAATGTAGTCTTTCATGCTGGTTGTCAGTAGTCGCAGTAAGTCGCATTGCCATGCTCGATCGCCATAGGCCTTTTGGAATGATGTGATCCTGCATCTCACAGTATTGGCCGCTGTGGAGCGGCAGAACCCTGCCTCTGCGCCTGCTTATTGCACGGAGTAGCATTTGGTCTACCTTGTAGAGTGTCTCAAGCAGTCCTATGAGCGATCATTGGATAGCATGTCAAAGTGGAAAAAGGCAGTGGGAGCCGCCTTTTCCATTCCTGCTCGTTCAAAACACCCAGCTCTACAGAATAGTGAACGTGTTTGAATGCCGTTGAAGCTTGAGTGGCTTAGAAGGCAGACATTGATGAAAGCAATGATATTTTAGGCAGCAGCTGATTTAGGACAAGGATTGTTCCTTGGCAGCTCCAGAGGCAGCCAGCTTTATTTCACTTTTGTTGATCCGTGGGACCGTACAAATATGGCCCGTGGCTTGCGATGACGGCAGAAAATTATGCCTTGGGGGTGGCTCGTAAGGCATTCTTTCCATGCATAGCCTCCCATGGGCGTCAGCTGTTGTTAGAGTACGTTGTACATGTTAAGCATGCTACCCGCTATGCATACCGCGTCTACGAGAGTGCCAGGGAGCGCGGCGTCTATGCGCTTAAGCTATATATACTATGCGGGAACTATGCGCTAGACAAGGATAAGCTCTATGGGCATTATGAGCTTAAATGTAATAAGCTTGAACGTGATCTAGATGCAACTTCGGTAAATCGAATATTACACTATGCAAAGTCACTTTGTGAAAATCTACTTCCATCACTAACTCGCCTTATGGTGAGCAGCGTAGAGCATCCGAGATAACATTACCACTGTACAAAAAATCTGTAATCTAGCCAAGTATAAAAGCAGCACGTTCGTGTATTTTTTGTAGCATTGCTTACCACACTTGTAATATTCGTGTTTATTTACACCCGCATTGGTACAAAATTTCCCAAAATGCTTAGTAACAGAGTTCTTTTCGCCGACGCCCCGGACACGGACAACCCCCTCATGTGTCTTGAGCACACCTTTCAGTCATGTTACCTGAACTGAACTCCCATTTACCCTGACATTGTCATGAACTGGACAGCCAGCGGACGTCGGCCCATTGTCACCATGTTGACCTCTACCAGCAGTGGGCCCATACCTTTCATGTGTGGGATACTAGCAGTGGGCCCACCGCTAGTGTTCTTATCCCAGTGCTCGGCCCACTAGCAGGGCATATTACAGTGTTGTAACCGTTAAGCAATGGGCCCACCGCCACAGGTCAGAGGGTGGGCTGACGCCAGAGCATGTTATCGCCATCGATGGGCCCACTGCCAAAGTATGATCAATGAGCAGTGGGCCCATCGCCACGAGTGTAAGATGACGGATGGGCCCACCGCCAAAGGTCAGAGTGTTGGCCATGGCCAGAGCATGTTTGTCTGAGCAATCGGCCCACCACCAGAGTATGACGAATGAGCAGTGGGCCGATCGCCCAGAGTGTAACCTGAAGGATGGGCCCATCGCCAAAGGTTAGAGGGTTGACGATTGCCAGAGCATGTTATCACCAGCAGTCGGCCCATCGCCAAAGCACCCTCAGTGAGGGCCTTACTGCAAGCACCCATGGGATAGGTCATCGCCAGGACATGTTTCCGCCAGCAATCGGCCCACCGCCAAAAGCCAGTGGGTTGGCCAACGCCAGAGCATGTTATCGCCAGCAATCGGCCCACCGCCAAAGGCCAGTGGGTTGACGATCACCAGGATATGTCATCGCCACCAATGGGCCCATTGTCACATACAGCCCTGCAGTTTCCGGGCGCATTGGTGGTGATGACGTGCTCTGGTGATCGCCAATCCTCTGACCTTTGCCGGTGGGCCCATCACTCACCAGCACTCATGGCAGAGGGCCAATTGGTGGCGAAAACACGGCTTGGCGATGGCCAACCCTCTGACCCTTGGCAGTGGGCCCTTTGCTGGCGGAGCGATATTCCCATGCAGTGAAGCTTTCACTCAGGTCCTTTGGCGATGGGCCAATTGCTGGCAACAACATGCCTTGGTGATGGCGAGCGCAGTCCGCCCATCTGAAGAGTACACTGGAGGAGTGATGGGCTTTAGAGCTTAGTGATGCAGAAGTGAATGTATCCATTTTGTACTGG